CCAGGCCTCCCTCTGCTTTCCCTGACAACTTAATGCATGCCCGTTAAGATCGTTTCGTCCTCAAGGGAGCTGAAGTTGCATCGGCAACGGCCTACGGCGATAGGCCAACCTGCCATTCCCACCCATCCCTCCGGCTCGTCCCCATTGCACCTATCAGCGTCCGCGCCGACTCCCCTCCGTGCCACCCGTCCGGACCTGCCCCTCACAACCGCCGGACAAAAGTGTGGGCCCCACCTCCGTCTCCGAGGCTCGACCTCTCCTTCGGCTGCCCCTATTCCCACCTCATACCACCCCACCCTCCCCCATCACGCACCTCCCAACGGCGCCATCGCGCACCGCGCATCGCGCTACTCTCATTAGCCACATTGCGACCGCCAGCCAACAAGCCCTCATCAAGCCCTCATAAGCCACCTCGAGGGTACTTTCTCCAAGGCTTCCCCCTAACTGTGCGTACTGTGTGCCTCTTGCACCCATTAGGACGAATCATCAAGCACCCGCTAGCCTCACGCCCGTCGCCAGTCTCCACGCCGTAGCCAGACTTGCCAGGCGAAAGATGTTGGCGCCGCCTAGAAGAGCCCGCCAACAACCTCTGCGACGCATCCGTCCTGCCTACCACCACCACGCCCCTAGGTGGTCTAGCTATGGCGAAGCTAACCACCCGTTTCGTTTCCCACCTTCTTCCCATCCGGCAGCTTGGAGAGCTGCAAGGCCGGTTGCGGGGACTGGAGGCGGCGCGCAGTCCCAAGGCCCCGTCTCCCAGCCAGCCCCCCCGCGAGCCGTCCTTCTTTTTGGCTTCTACGCGTTAACGCAGTCGTCGGGCCAAACCTCGCAGTAGCCAGAAAAGGTCTCTGCACCACGCGTTGTGGCTGGTCGAGACCACGCTTGCTGGCGTGATGAAGATGGCTGAAAGCAGGCAAATCCGACGGTGATCCTCTTTGATGTACAGCGTGCAAAACATGGCAGCTCCCAGGAAACCGGCTGCTGGGAGCTGGGCTGACCGCCAAACGCGCGAGACGTGAAAACGGCCTGTGAGAGCCTCCCACGGCCGTTGGCCAGATTACGGGAGATGAGCGACTGCCCGCCATCTCCCGCATCTGCCTGGGTCGTGGAAATGAACCGTAATGTTGATCGAGGGAGGCGTCGACGTGAAGCCCTCTTCACCAGCCACCTGTGGGTCCGAGCCCGGAAGTCCGAGCTCCCTTTTCTTCTTTGCGGACGAGCACGGCTCGCTCATACCCAAATCAAAGTTGGGATGGCACCTTTCAGGGCTGCCAAATTGCCAGCCCACACAGTGGCATGCTAGCGTGCGCAGAGTCTTGCGCCACGGGTGTGAGTACGGAAAGCACTATGGCGCCGAGGACCGTCTAGTGATGGTTAGCTCTTGTACGTGTCGTCCGAGCGGGCAAGGGAAAGGACTCTGAGGCTGGATCTAGCTGAGCAGCCCGTCGACGGGAAAGGTGGACATCGGAGCCGGGACAACCAGGCCAGGCGGCGGGCGGGCGGCGGCGGCGGCGGAAATGAAGCTTGCCTAACGTCCGCAACCCGAAGATTGTGGGTGCCTGGTCGACGTGGGCATCTGTAACCTCCATGGCGTTTGTATGGGGCTTCCCAGTCCGAGAGCGAAAAGTTTGCCGGGCCTCGTGGGAATGGACGGAAGCTATCGTGAGGAGCGTTGCCCCTTCAAGATCGCCTGTGGCTTCCGGCCAGTGGAGGTGGGCTCAAACAAGCCCAGAGACTGTACGTGATTCGAAACATGCTGAATCGCCCTGATCTCCAGGGCAGCCAAACCGCCCAGCAGGTTCAGCATTGCGACATCGTGCCGTGCTTGGTCTGAACCCGAGGCCGTGGCTTTCGAGACCCGATTGACATAATCGAGCTCCATCGCTCTGGATTTCGTCAGCGAGGGCTGTCTCATGATGTTGCTCGTCATCAGAATCCGTGCGCCATGAGGCTCGTTGATATTGTCAACAGGCCCGTGGCCCGACGCCTTCTCCCAAAAGGGATGGCATCTCTCCGGCGTCCAGACTGCAGCATCTAGCAACATCCCGTATGCCCCCGACAGTCGCGCATCCAGGCTGGCATTCTTCCCACCGGGAACTACCGGTCGTCCCAGCGCCCGCGATGCCGCCCAGACAGCATCTCAGACGTCTCGAGACGAGGCAAACCTCGAACCCCCAGGGCGAGTTGTGCGTTCGCGAACTATCGATTCGTTAGGGACAACTGCCCTCGGTCAGAGCGTCTTGTCATCGGGGGACTCACCAGCATTGACGCCTTTCAAATCTCGAGCTGGCGTTCGACGAAGGTGGGTCCGAGTCACAGGCAGCAGGTCAGGACCGGAGATTTCTCCCCGCTTGTTCTGTGTGTTGTCACCTGCAGACACTCGGACGCGACAGCACTGACTCTGGCGGGTGCGTGGTTTTGTTGCAAGCGCTTGCTTGCTTCCGTGGCAGGAGATTGCGGTTGCCCGGAGCGCAGATGTTGCCAACCTCACGGCTAGGGGCTTCAATGGACCCTCTGCGCTTTCTTCTATGGGTGATGTTCCGAATTAACACGTTGCACTGTCTAGTTTGCCGTCTTGAGCATCTGATGGTGTCCATATGCTGTGGATGCGGGTTCGGTGGATGAGCGACCGCGGTCGTTGGAGTCGATGGCCCCCCGGACCACAGGGCTTGAAGCTGAAGCTATGATTGTGAGAAGATGTGGCTTAAGTTGTGTTTCTGTGTATCGAAGCAAGGCCGTCTGTTCAGTCTCGGTGACGGGGCTGGTATCGCAACGGGTCTCTGGGGGAGACAGACGTTGGTACGGGTGGGCATCCGCAATGCTGCAGTCATCTTCATCGACCGGAGCTCTGAAAGCTCCCCATACGAATTTTCCTGTAGCTATGCTAGGACTTGCACAAGAATCCAACCGGAGTGCAGGCCTTTTGCCTCGTGGTGAGGCCATCCAGGCCACATCAGCCGAGAAATCTACGAGGGACCGTAGTGTCGAGCCATACCGACTTCCTTGAAGGCCTTCAACATCACCTCATGGCTAGATGTACAAGAAGTTGAGGTTCTTGAAACCCTGGTTTGTTTCATACTGTATGATAGGTAGACAAGTTCAACACCTTTCTTATCCACTTGATCCTATTCCCCCATGCGGTGTAGAGAACGGACACACTTCGAACCTGTGTGTTCCAATCTGGGCACTCGATGAATGTACCAACTCGGAGTGACTGTTCATATGTTTTGAGAAGCAGAACTTGTCTTTTGAGTTTAGCATCCATGTTCGGATGGAACCAGGAAAAGGACAGCAGCTTTGGAATTGAAGCTGTGGTGGATTCGGGGATGGGCATATGCTCCGGACATAGTTATGTTGCGATGTAATCAAAAACTCTTGGCTTGAAGCACTTATCAAGCAAGATAAAGACAGTGGCTATCCTACGAACTCTTTGCTTTCGTTCTTGGACTATGCAACGGAGGGCCTGAAGAAAGTCGGGCGGGCATCTGTCAACCTCCGTCGCTGGGCTGCTATGCGCTGGACATGGATTCCAGGACTTCTGCTCCTGTTTCTAAGCTGAATTCAAGTCCGGACCTTATCCAGCTCGATAGTGTACCAGTGTCCGCTCTTCAACGATGGTCCTCCTTCGACGGTTCAGTGCCAGTATACTACGGGAACCAGCAGCACGTCTGCAGTACATCACTCTCTGCTAGAGTCTTGAAATAGAAATGGTAGAAGACTACTTGATTTACAGCCAACTGAATGCAAGTAGCCACAAGCCTCTTCGTCCCAATCATAACATTGCTAGACCAATCAATATTGTACTCCTCCCCCTTTCCTCTACTGCATCTCTGGCTCTTACTTTGTAAGATGAGGACAACGCTGCGACCATAAGAAACTATTTGGAAGCACGAACTCAAAAGCATCATGAGCTATAACATCGGCTGCGAGAGTGCTTCGTAGACCACGTCTTAGCTGCAAGGAGCAGCGTAGATGCTGCGAACAGCGTTGATCGCTTAACACAAAGATGGGCACAGCCTATGGGTGTATCTCAAACCACAGCTGCATTTCACATGCTTAACTTCATTGAATGACATGTTGCCATATGTGTATAAGAAGGAAAGACAGAAGAACTGCGTAAAGCATGGGTCGTATTAAGCTGGACTTCCAGTCAACTTCCTTGATGGAGACCATCGTCTACCTTGACTTTCAGGCTTCTCGCACTGTATTTATACAACAAAAACAGTAACATGATGTATTACAAAGTTGATTCCAAGCGTCCCAGGATTATATCACGCTGACGCTATTAACAGCCTACTTACACACGGCTAGCCCGGTGAGTAATGTAAGCGGCCGTTACAACTTAGAGATACACTTATGGCTGAGGGAGAGTGGCCCAGCAATGAACATATTCCAAATGTCATAGCCAAATACTGCAGGGGTTTCTGATGTGGCATATTCCGTGGAGCGGTTGCAGGGCATCACCGGGTGCTCGGCAGCCAACCTGCTCTGGGTCCGCTATGACATTCTCTAACAAAGTATGTTAGGAAAGATGATCTGCTCTGCAGAATCGAGTTATACGTTACGCACACCACCATGGTGATACAACAACAATAAATAGTCTTGGTGTCTCTTCGTCACATAGTTACGGAATCTCCAAATGGGTTCACCTTCGGCAAATACAAAATGTCACGGCCGGCACCGGGGCGGAACTCCTGCGCCGCGGCACCCCGCTTCCGAACGTGTGCTCGGGAATAAGATCGGATAGTGGTTGTGCAGGTCCTTCTCGGTGACACCGCATCCCCAAAGTGAGGGGAAGACTTGAGATGGAAGCAGGATGCAGGTGGCCCGGGTCTCATTGACATCATTGCTAGTAAGCATCGCGGACCCCTCACAAGACACAACCACCCCAGAAAACCACTTCAGCATGTTCACACCCCAAGCTTATAGACAGTTTAAACGTAATGAAGCGTATTCAGCAGCTCGGAAGCCAACTCTCACAACGCCCTCAACTCGACACCATGACCCCCGCATCCTCTGACTACCCACTCAACGAGAACGGCATACCCCCCTTCGACGCCCTGCCGCTCGGCAAGGACAACCCAAGGTTCTCCGCCTGGGGCCTCTACGGTGACAAGGACGAGTTGGGAACGCTCAACAGACTAACCGACGAGCGCGTTGCCGCCGCAGCCAGAAACGAGATCAGGACCGGTGCAAGGTAGACCAGCCCACCCGGTCCCCTTCAAGCTCCCCGCGACCTTCTCTTCACATTTCACATCTCATCACTGATTACCAACTCACAACGACCCCAGAGTCTCCCTCAACTGGTCCCTCAAAGCCCAGCCGGCCCCCTTCTTCGCCCGCCGCGCCTTCCACCACGACCTCATGCGCAAGCACCCGCGCTTCGTCAACGACGACGTCTGGACCTTCAACTCGCAGTCCTCCTCGCAGTGGGACGGGCTGAGGCACGTTGGCTACCAGAAGGAAGAAAAGTTCTATAACGGTGTCTCCATGGACGAGGTTCACGCCGTCGACGAGGAGGGAAGGCGGTCGACAGTCAACGGTATCCAAGGTCAGTTTTGTCCGTCTCATTGTTCGTACTGTCTCAGAGCTACCTTTGGGGGGACCAACAGAGGCTGATGTGGGCTTCGCGAGGACGCTCGAGAGGCCGAGGACTGACGAGCCGAGCAGCATGGCAGAAGCACGGCATCGTCGGCAGAGGCATCCTCGTAGACTACCATAGCTGGCGCCTCGAGCAGAACATACCCTACGACCCCTTCGCCCGCGACGCCATCCCCGTCTCGGACCTGAAAGCTTGTCTTGAGGCACAAGGTACCGAGGTCAAGTTCGGCGACATCCTCCTGACACGAACAGGTATCCCGCCCTTCCTATTCTTCCGAGCAAGTGAGACGACTAATACAACTCACAGGCTTCATGGCCGCTCACGCCAGCAAGTCCCCCAGCGACCTCGAAATCTACCGGACCGCCACCCCGCAGACCTTCAGCGGCGTCGCCCAGTCCGAGGAGACGCTCCGCTGGGTCTGGGACAACTTCTCGGCCGTCGCCGGCGACCAGCCGGCCTTTGAGTGCTGGCCCCACCGTGACCCGAAGCACTGGATGCACGAGGTCCTGCTCGCCGGCTGGGGCATGCCCATCGGCGAGCTTTTCGACCTCGAGGCCCTCGCCGAGCGGTGCCGCCAAGAGAAGCGGTGGAGCTTCTTCGTCGCGAGCGAGCCGTGCAACGTTCCCGGCGGTGTTGCAAGGTGAGAAACCCCCCCTGTTGATGACTGTCCTGGCCGGGAGTTTGATAAGCCTCGTTTACTGACGCGATGCGAAGCCCGCCTAATATTCTGGCGATTTTCTAAGACCTCCGCGGTCCTTGAGTTGAGATGCTATGGCTTGTGACACATTCGACAGCCATAATCTTGGAAGGAAATGACTCCTGTATATGAAGCACCGCCTACTGTTGGGTTCGGTCGCGCCGAAGTGGCAAACGTAAGTGCTCGAACAAGACAATCAAGACCTTCTCGTCCAGTGGCCTCTCGACAGATGAAGAGTTGGACAAATCATGCCTTGGGTCGGTAGTGGGTACAGCACATGTGTTTGCGGCCACCCGCTTCGTTAGCACGCAGTTAGCAATTACAGCCTGGAGCCACAACCCGATGGTTCATAAATTCAATCGCATGAAACCTGAAGCGGAATGCCTTCGAAGTATATTCGTATGTCAGCTTTCCTAGCTGAACTAAATTGTTGCAACAAACCAAGCCTGACGCCTTAGTGTGCTTTCAACTGCCGCAGGCCCTCTATCACAACCCCCTCCCCTCTATCCCGATACTGCCAGCTTATCCCTTATGACTCTTGCGATCACTGGCATTTTGTTAGTCAGAATCCTCAAGTCAGGAGCAACCGCCAACTTACGTGCTCAATCTCCTAGACAGCTGCTGCAACTTCTTATCGTTGGCCGCATCTTCGGCCGCCTTCTCAAACGCTTGCTTCCGCTCTTCCTCCTGGTGCTTAACAACCTCGTCGTGACTGGGGGGGAGCCTCTCGTTCTGTATGTCGACCTTGCGAGCATCCTCGAATGTGTTGATGGCGTTCTTGATGCCCTCGGCACCCAGCATCAGGGTACCAGCGGGCAGTCTGCCGCCAGAGACGGTCTTAAGCTCAGTGACACGCTCGGACTCCTCGCGCAACACCTGGAAAACACGCGAAAGACGACCAATGGCCAAAATCTTGTTCTTGATCGCTCGTCTCTTGTACTCGATCGACTCGGGATCTTGCGAGGCACCCGAGAGGGGTGGCGACATGGGGCCAGGCGATGTGGAAGAGGGAGTAGCGTCCTCCTTCAACTCCTCCTCGGAGCATGTGCTGAGGATGGCGATAAGCATATCGGTGATCTTTTCACCGACGAAGGGCAGAGACCACGTGAAAACGTCCATGAAGTTCGGCAGCCAGTACGGGTGGGGCGTGCAGTTGAACTGTCGGATGTTCATGACGTTGTTCTCGTACTTGAGAACGGCAGCCTTGTTGTTGTAAACGTCGAGGTAATTCGGCGCCGAGAAGATGGTCATGACACTGGGGAAACCCGTGGTGCGAGTCTTACGGTACATGCGGTATCCAGCATCTTGCGCTTCGTGGGCTCGAATGACGGACAGGAGGTTATTCTTCTCGAGGAACGCACAAGCGGCCGGGTACGAGAAGAAGTAGGAGCATCCACGGACGTGGTTATGCAAGAAATAGTCGCTCGTCTTTTCTTGTCCAAAGTCTTCCAGAGGATCGGCCCAGAGGATATCGCACATCAAGCCCTGCGTGGGCGGCTCGCGGAAACGGTCAATCTGTACGCCATGTCAGTTGATGCGCCTCGAGGGTCGAGAGCTCGACTCACGCTTCGCAAATCGTCGAGGGTGTGGAGCTCGGGACTAAGACCGCCGTGGATGCACAAGAACTGCTTGTTCATGACAGCAGCCAGAGGCAGGCAGCAGAACGACTCCATGCAGGCCTCGTAAATGGCCTCGGAATACTTGTGCTTGCACTCGAGCTTGAAGGTGAAGTAATCGGTCAAGTGGCGACACTCGTGGTTGCCGCGGAGCAACCACAGGGTCTTGGGGTAGTGGATCTTCAAGCACCAGAGGTACAAGACGCACTCGATACTGAAGTATCCTCTGTCGACGTAGTCGCCGAGGAAAAGGTATCGGGTCTCGGACGGGTCACCTCCGACTTCGAACAGCTTCATGAGGTCGTAGTACTGGCCATGGACGTCACCGCAGACGGTGATGGGCGCATCCATTTCGAGCAGGTTGGGCTCAGCACGGAGCAGCTCCGTGCAGGTCCTGATGATCCACAAGGCCTGCTCCTCGGTCAAGCGACCCTCGCGGTAGAAGTGCTGCTTGAGGAAGTTGATGTTGGGCTTGGTATGGGTCTCGTCCTCGAAGAACTGCTCGTCGGAGGGCGTGAACATGGCGGGGGCCTGCACATCTGTGGCGACAATCAGGTTAGCAGCTCGACCGCGGTACAGCGAGGGGCATTGCGGTTGCAACGGTCACAGCATCGACGATCGAAAGCGTGGCAAGAGGGACATGCGTACCTTTGCAGACTCGCTCCATGGTGTTCACTTGGGTGCCATCCTCCATGGTGTGGATGGTGAAGTCGATCTCGGGCAGCGGCTTCTTCTCGCGAATGGCGCGAATGGCATTGTCGACCTGCTGCTGGGTGCGACGGTCTTCGCCAGGCGCGCTGGCTCCTTCGGGATCCATGATGGCTGGTGAGCTGGGGGAGACGGTGACGGCGACGTAAGGGGTGGTGGTCGAGGGGCTCGGTCGGGGTATCGATGATGGATACGAAGGAAAGTCGATTGTTTATGGAGAGATCAGAGCGGTGAGGGACGGTTAGGCGAGAACCAGCTCTGGGTCGAGTCGCGATGGGGGCCTACAAAGAGGCGAGCTGGGTTGCGGCGAGTCGTTGGGCACGAGACAAGACCAGGCGAAAGGTAATGCGAGGCAAGGTGAGGCGAGGGGTAAAAATTGAGGTGAGGAAAGATAGGGCTGAGAGCAGGTTGGGTGAAGGGGAATGGGACGGGATGGGATGCACTCGGCCAGAGGTCTCCTGCGGTAGACTCGTTCAGTCCCCAGTTTCTCGCTACGCTACCCTGCACTACCAGCACGGGAGGCGCCTCTCACTCGCTTCGAATTACGGTGGTTGCTTGCTGGGAGGGAGCTGGTTTTTTGCTGGGCACCTCGCTGGGGTAAGGGTGGTCAGCCACTAATACCATTAAAGGACGCTCACGTCTGCGACTCAGCGACCCGCCCCTTCTGATCTCAGGGTGCAGGGTGCTGCAATGCTGCTGGTGCGGTGGGTTGCTAAGGTAAGCTGAAGCTGGGAACGCACACCTCAGATGAATTGGCAGGTGGCAGACGCCAAATGCCCGCGGACGGCGGATGTGGAAGTCGGTATACATCACTGCCATGGAGATTTGCAAGAGCGGCCGTGTACCTCGACTTGGCCCCTCTCTCCCACCTCGCGTCTGAGAGGCGAGAGGCAACCGCAGCCTGTCACAGGCGTCCAGTTGCCTCTTCTGACCCCACCCCGCCCGGAAGGGTCAGGTACGTACCACGCGACCTTCCCCTCCCCCTCATGGAGTGGCATTTTTCCACTTTGCTTCACCTCCACAGCTCGGTTCGGCCTTGGCTAAGATGGCCAGCAACATATATCACGGCGCGCATTGGACACAATCCGACCAGCACCCCTCCTCCCCCTCCAATCTTGTCATCAAGCGAGATGGACGTTCTGGACTGCCAACTGGCTTCAATGGTCTCTGTTGTCATCTATCACATCCGTCTGCCAGCTGGCTTCTATCTGCCTTTGTGCGATTCGTTGCCTGTCTGTTACTACATCATCTGCAGCCTGCTCCCGGCTACTCTATATTCGAGTTCAAGCTCAATCTAGCCTACGCTGAGCTGTCGTTACAATATTTGCCCTTGCCCGAACGGCCCAATTGACAGCCAAGCTCCCGCTCGGCTCTCCAACCTATCAGGCGGTATCCGAGCTTCGCGCGCCAGCAAAGGGTCTTGCAGGGTCACCATGACGTTCTCCATCCATCTCTAGGGGTATCATCCTTCGTTTCTTCATGGCAAGCAGTAGCCTCCGTCGACGACGAGATCGCAACCGGTGGTGTATGAGGCGGCGTCCGAGGCAAGATACAGATATGCGCCCTTGAGCTCGCCGGGTTCACCCTCGCGTCTACTGGAGGTCAGCGTGGAACTTGGCGTCAAAGCTGTCGCATCTACTCACCCCATGGGTGTCTTGTCCTTCCACTGCTTCTTGGCTTCGGCTCCAGCGAAAGCAGAAATCTCCGTCTTGATGTACCCGGGCGAGACGGTATTGACACGGGCGAAATCAACCCATTCAACAGCCAAGCTCTTGCCTGATTGACATGTTAGCCAAAGATTGCCGGATAAACCGCATCACTTACACATGTGAATCACGGCCGCCTTGGACGAGTTGTACACCGTCTGCGACTGCGGTACGTTGACTATATGGGCACTCATGCTGGCGGTCGCGATCAAGCTGCCGTAGGTGAAGCCCTCGAGCTTCTTGCCGTCCAGCGTCGTGCCCTCCTTCTTCTGGCGACGGAAGTGCTCGCCGGCAACCTGGGCGCAATAGATAGTGCCGTTGACGTTCACGGCCATGACTCTGTCGGCGACATCCATGGGGCCATCGATCAGTGGGCCTTCTTCCCACGCAATGCCCGAGTTGGCAACAAAGATGTCAAGGCGGCCGTTGAATTCAGACACGATCTGCTGGACAGACTCTTTGATCTCTTGGTGGGAGGTGACGTTGACCTGGTAGGCCTTGCCTGTGGTATGTTAGCAGGCGAGCACCGTGTCTCTGAACGACCTCCACGCACACTTGACACCATATTCTTTTTCGATCTCGGCAGCGCGGTCCAGGGCCTTCTTATTACTATTATACCAGATGGCAACGTTGGCACCAGCTTCAGCGTATGCGTGGGCGATTTGCAGGCCAATACCAGCGCCTGCACCAGAGACGATGGCCGTCTTGCCCTTGAGGGAGAACAGAGGCAGCACACGGTTGCTGGGTGGGGGCACCGTGGCGTCGTGCTTGAAAGCGCCGTCCTTCATTTCTGCCATGTTTGCGATGGTCGTGGAAAAGGGTTGGAGTTTGGTGATTCTGCTGGCGGTTGCGACACGAGGGGCACACAGGAATCGAGGCCGCGAGACCGCAGCGCGGAGGACAGAGCCGAACATTATATCGACGGGCGGCAGGGAGAATATGCCGCAAGATACCCTTTCTTTTGAGATTAACGCGACAGGGTTCTAGGGAGAAGCTTCACCGTATCCTACGATGTTGGGGATTCGATTCGACAAGGCGGCGAAGGAAGAGCTAATACTAATACCAGCATAGTCGGTACGCCGCGGCTATAAGTCCCTGGTTCATGTACCGGAACAATCTTGAGCGAGGTGACGTGGTGGAGCTTAGGGGAAGGATAGAGCTCTGTGCTGTGCCGCCATACGCTAGGTGGAATGGAGGGGTCCGTGGCAGCGGCAGCAGTCCGTGCATGTCTCAAGAGCATCGTGGCCGTCATTGACCCTGAAGGCGGCACTAGGGAGATCCCTTGGGGGCTGCATGCTGCATGTGTTCTTCACCCCTCGGGCGCCGCCGGGGCATGTGGGGGTGATTTTATGCCATGGCCCATGGGGTACCGAGCCTCGGGGCTATTCGGCTCGCATTGCTCCAGAACATGCCGTCTCCAACATGCGAAAGTCTATTTTACCGCAACTGTTCATGGTATCGAGGACCTGGGGAGGGCCTGAATCGCGGGGCCATCGGGGCTAGACCAATCCCCGCCTCGACTCGACTGGCGCGCTTCTACGTACAGCCGCCTAAATACAGGGACATGCAGGCACACGAGACCTGCCAGAACTAGCCAACGCGACGATGTAATGTAATGCCCAATGTGTTGTGCCTTCATATTGACAACCCGCTCGTTTCAACACTATGTGCTGTATGCCAATCTTTACCAAAGCACAACACCTCATACGCCTCGCTATGCTTTTTCATCCGACAACCTGGTTCAGGACGTGCTCGCGGGGGAAGTTGGTGTTTCTCCAGCGCGAGATGTAGTCATCTCGGTTGACTGGTGTCTGTTAGATGCCACCCACTCGACAGATTGCATGGAGAACTTACTGTAGGCGCCGGCGATGCGTCTTCTCCCTTCGAATGCACTTCGACCGTGCATCACTCGCCAATTGTCAAAGACTGAAGCTCGTTAGACATCGATTGGCGTACTCGGAAAAAACGGCTGCACTCACTCAAAACCTGGCCGGGTTTCAGCTGCACCCAATACTCGACATCATGCCTCCGAAGGATGGCATCCCACTTGCGAGCTGCCGCGTACCACTCTGTTGGCGAAACATCCTTGGTGAAGGGCACGACGCCCCGGTCGTCATTGTTCCACCGCACCCGTTGCAGCTCGCCCGTCTCCTCGTCCACCTCGAGCACGGGGTACCGCTTGTCCGGGGATATCGTGATGCCCTTGTTGCCGCTCGCGTGCCATGGCAAGCGTACCTTTGAGAGAATCTCATACGCCTTGGGGTCCTCCTTCTGCAAGATCCGGGCCGCATGGAAGGCGTCAACCAGTAGCGACTCTCCCCCTAGTTTGCCGTCCTTGGGCAGTTCCTGTCCCGGCGGGGCCTCGTGCGAGAGCATGTGGAAGGCCTGCAAGCCGGCCGGGTCCGTGAAGTAGGTCGTATCTGTGTGGGCTGGGAGGGCGATGTTGGTGTACGCCGTGTCGGCCATGGCAAGGTCGGGGATGAAGTCGTAGAATCCGCCGTAGTGCGTCTCGCGGATGAAGGCAATCCTTTCCAACACGCGCTGCGTCGGCTCAGGGGTTTCGTAGGGGGTCCCGTCGACGAAGGCGAATCCATATTCTCGCTGTACGGGTCAGTCTGTGATTTTTGTCACCGCGTGCGGATTTTCTTACGATGAGATTCGTCAACTTTGCGACCCCGGACTCGTCCTCCGAGGCCATAAGGTGGTCATAGTCGACAACGGGGCGTCTGCCGCCAATGTTGGAGCCCCAGAAGTGGTAGCTGGGGATGTCAGCGATAACAAGTCTTGGGATATGGGGACCCTTACTTAACCTGCTCCGGACTACGGTGGTCATTCTGCAGGTAATGCTTGATGAACTGCCAGGGGTAGAAGCTCTGATGGCCGTCTTGCTCCCCTGTTCTCGTCGTCAGCTTCCACACTCGCCCCAGGTGATTCAGACGACTCACATGTCACGCTGATTCCTTGCTTCTCCGACTTAATGTCTGAAGGACGAACGTCTTCATTGATCTACGGTTTTTACACTTTGTTAGAAAATGAGATGATTTAGGGTTGCAGCAACATCGGGTGGCATACAGAGTATGTGTCGAAGTTTCTTTGCGTGGTGTCTTGGTTCACGCAGTGGCTGCAACGGCAGTTATCTCTGGATGAAGTGTCAATTGGGCGGGTTTCGTGTGTGGCAGATATCCTGTGTCACATACCTCAACCAAAAGTGCGGGCTATGTTGCAGGCGCGTGTTAGCAGAGATCTTTCACGAGCGACCGCGATGCCAACTCATCCTGAGGAACAGGTCACCCGGAGCCGAGCCGGCGGCGGGGGGGAGGAGCAGGGCAGCCGACTTACAGTGTCGATCTAGGGGCAGAGCCGTCGGCCAGACCATCAAACTGGATTCCGTCCTTGACAATCTTTACATTCAAGTGCTGAGACCGTGCAACAGCGGATGCGGACAGATGTCTCGTGGGCCCGAAAGCAGCCGTGATGCGGGGTGGTGCTCCAAACGCAGCGGCACGCCTAAACCGGGAGAAAAGAGCAGAGTGTGAGTGAGACCTTCAGGTGCCACTTTGAGACAGTCGACTACGAATGAGAGTATATACCTTGCGGCTCGGGGGCCGATATTCCTCCAGGGGAGCATTCTTGCAACGGTCTATTTGGGTTCGTATGTAGATGGGAACTCTGAATGATTGGCAAAGTCGGCCAAATGTCGTTGGAAACCCTGAGAGGAAAGATTGGTCCGGGATGTGTTGGGGGTTTCCAGTCCAGGTTGTCGTTTGAGAAATGCGACGGGATCTCGGAATTGGGGGCGGATGGATGGACAGAGGGCAATCCGGGGCTGGGGTATGTACTCTCGGGTCCCACTCGCCCCTCTAGATGGTCCTGGAGGACGCCGAAGATGCTGTGGTTTTTTTTTTTTTGGTTTTTTGCACTGACATCAGCTGATGGTCGAGCATCCCCTCACTGTAAATCTCTTTGTCAATTTGCTGCGTCGATTTTGGGACAATGGACCTCGGCCTAGCGGCTTGTGTTAAGTCTTGGTGGCCTTCTTTTCGAACATGAAAGGATTGAACAAAGATTGGCCGGACTGAGCCGTTTCCTCTTGTCAGATCCGCCTATCCCACTCGCTACGACTCTCTCGGCTGAACACAGAGAGAGACTCGATCGGATCTCGAGGCCGCCTGGGTACCAGCCAAGCTCCACTTGCCTCCATCGACGCCCACGGCGGCAATGTTTCCATCGGACCATGCTTTGGCCGGCGATGAGCATATCATGCCCATGTTCCTCGCGCTCTCTCCGGCTTGGTACGTCGGAATGATGAGGGGGACACAATTGCCGCGTCGAACATCGGCGCCGGCCTACTCCGCCTCCGGATCACGTCGGTACAACACCGTTCGGGCTCGTATCCCCCAGGACATTCTAGGCGGTACACGGTGGTCGGTTCGGCTTCGGACTATGTGTGTCTCGGCCTTCCCACGCATTGCCCCGGTCTGCTCTGGGATCAAGCCTCCTTGACTCCACCCTACGACAAGAGAGAGACAAGTTCCACCGGATCCTATATCGCCAAGCAAACCGGAACCAGCAACGAAAGCGGCTGAAGCGCATCACAGAGAAGGCCTTGGCCCCAGCATGCCTCCATGGTGATAGTGCCTCGCAAGACTTATCCCGCCCCAAGCTATTCGCTTTTCCATGCAACGGATGCTAGGGAAGACTGTAGAGCATAGTTCCGCATTGGTTGTTTCACTTCCATTTGTCATTCCTTTCGGGTTTGTTCGCCTCTTTTTTATTCTCACTGCAACATGCATCAGCACGCAACCCAACAACTTCCAGCTCCTTTGTCCTTCGTCCGTCCATCCGTCATTCCCACTCCGGCGTCGTCAAAAAGCCTGCCACGTCGCCAAATATGCCTCGCTTCGCCCGCTGCGTCTGATCGTCTCTTCCAGACCGCTCTTCGAGGCTCTTTCACCACCACAAAACCGAGCAGGTGGATTCTCCCAGTAGGAATAGCCGCCATGCCGTTTTCTCGGATTTGCGATTGCCTCTCCTGCCTCGTCTATAGCCACTCATATTCTTGGACCTGCATCGTGGCAACCGGGACCCAGTTGCGTTGACCCTCAAAGAAACAAGCGCCGGAAGTGCAGCCGAGCTCTCTCCCCGTTTGGGTTTCTTCTGTCGAAATAGCCCAACGGGGCAAGGCACACCCTCTCTTCTCTTTCGTTTGTCCACTCACATGACCCAGAGGGCACCGACACAATGGTTCAGATGCCTGTCCTCTCTCCCTTTTACTGTCTCGTCTCCTGCGGGTTGATGTTGGCGTTGAGCGTTGGCTGTTTGTGTCGCGCGTAGACGGCTCCTCTGATTGGCTGCTCTTGGCGACAAGCAGGACTTGGACCTACGTTGAACATCAAACCCATCGTCGCGGCACCGTCTGGCCTGCGGTTGGTCGAACAAAAGTACGAACCAACAGTGTCATGTCGCCTTTGCAATTGATGACCGCAGGGGACGAGATGTTGATATACCATGATGGCCGCTGAACCTGCACTCGCCGAGTGGTATTGTCTCGGAATTGATGGTGCTGAGCTTAGTTGGATCTTATTTTCTGCCGTGTTTTCTTTATCCCCGATATTCTTGCCTAATTATCGTCAACGTTATGGTCTCAGAAACAAGCTGGCGCAGGCTATGCGTCATTGCATGGCTCGTCTGCCATGAACATTTTGTCTGCGGAGTTGAAGTCAGACCCCAATCACCGACAACACTGCAAGCCCACGAAACACGTCAACTTACACCCAGAGCATTACGGCCAAACGCCAGCTGCCCAGTCAAGGGGTACAATGCCTGCGGAAACGGCATGGCAGACTACTTTTGCTGTCCCAGCGATACGACATGTCTGGTCCTGGCAGAGAAAACTACGGCCCTGTGCTGCCCAAAGGGAGCTTCATGCGACATCATCTCGCCCATCATCTGCGATATCACGGCGCAAGATGTCGTCGAAAACCCGACGAGCCCGATCCATACCACAAAACTCAAGGAGGCCCTGCCATCGTGCGGTAGTAGGTGTTGTCCATTCGGCTACACTTGTCGGGGCGGTTCTGCCTGCGTCTTGAATCAGGAGCAGAAGTCTCAAACTAGCAGTTCGGTCTTGCCCACAACAAGCACAAAGACCACAACGTCGGAGACACAGGCGACCACCCAGGCAGTGATATCGACATCCTCTGAGAGCATTCCAGCCGCACCCACACCATCAGCCAGCCAGGGCCAGGAGCCTTCAGCACCATCGGCCACAGTGCCAGCAGAGACACCTGCTGCAGCCACGTCCACTGGGAACTCAACTTCAGGAGGCATCATCGCAGGTACCACCGTCGCGGCAGTCGCCTCCGTCGCCGGGCTGACGTGTCTCCTCTGGTTGAAGCGGCGTTCCATCTCCGAAAAGGTCGGCTCCGTGCGGTTCCCGCGGCCCTGGCAGCAGCTCCGCGAACAGAGCTCGGAGCAGGACGTCTCGTTGCCGCGGTACAACTCGCCGCCGCCGGCGTACACGATAGAAATGAAGGCGCCGCCGAAGCACACGGCGTTCAGACACTACAGTCCAGAGTCCGTGGGGGATGTCGTGCCCGTCGAATTGCCAGCCACGCCAGTTTCCTTTAGCGTGTGGACCGTTCGTACGGAGGGGGAGGCGAGGAGGCCGCGGTCTCACTATGAGCCCTACCGACGTCCTTGAGGGGAGTCTCGGAGGACTAGGTTTCTTCATTAGACAGCTGTTTTACTACTCTCTTTGTATTTACGCACGCCATGGTGCATTTCTTTAATGAGAGATGAGACACGTCCTGTACATTACCACGAAAACGGGGAGGCGTACAATGGGATCATGATTCGTCTGCCTGCTGCTGTCGACTGAAGTCTTCTCGTGTCTTCAGGGTCGTGTCACTCGCGCCTGTCATCATGGAGGGACATCGCTGTCTGGCGTATATGAATAGCTCAGAGGTCGTCAGGGCCAAACCGCCCCCATCTCTCAAGCCAAGTAGCTTTAGCCCCTTCAGACAGCTTTTCGACATTGACTTGGACCAGCGCTCGAAGCAATCTCGCAAGATGCCTCGCCCCACGCCGGACCGCGTTTTCCATGATTGCACATTCGTCACCCTTCCCCTGACCATGGTCTTCGTCCTCCTCATCTTCACCGTCCTCGCCCTAGTCTACAGCATCGGTGTCAAGACGCCCATTCCCGAGGACCTGGCCATCGCCTTCGCCGGCATCGTCTGCGGCCTCTTTGGGCTCTGGATGATTGGTCACCTCGTACGCTACTGCAGGGGACATTACACGCGGGGAGGCATCGCTGAGGCGGTGACGCCCCCTCCGCTGTCGCTGGCGAATATCGCAACCGGGGTGGGAAGCACGACGGTGGGGGCGCCGTTGGTTTCGCAGCCAGCGGGGGCTTCCATTGTGTTGCCAATTAGTTACCAGCAGCCACAGCAGCAGACTCAGCAGGACCACCGGGAGCAGAAGAGGCAGCATGCTCAGCAGTACCAACATTCACAGCGTCAAGAGCAACATCACCAGCAGCAACGCTCGCAGGAACCTTCATCGCGGCCTCACATACAGCCGCAACCGCCACCGCGGAGCCAGTTTCAACAGCAGCAACGGCCACAACGCGAACAGCAACAGCCACGGCAGCAGCATGTTCACCATCAGAAACGAGACCAACATCCAACTTCACCTCCCAAAAAAGCACGGAGGCCGAACGAGCCTGGAAATGGATATCTCAACCAAGTGCCGACCGTTCTGAGACCTGGGCCGAAGCAGAGACAGCAACCATCAGACTCCAACCCGAGGATCGACCAGAAGCCCTTGCCTATACAACGCAAATCGAGCGTGCAGCGAACCCCCGTGGAAGCGTACACCGGTCATCGTAGTCGTAGTTTAGATGGCCCACGCCCCCTACACCGCGAGGGTCGACAGGTATCGAGGGGTTCTCGCCTGCCGAGAATGACCAGGGGCGCACCGTCTGACGATGCCTCCGGGCTTACTGACAGAGACCGGCATCTTCCAGCGAACCAAAGCCGTCTACCACCGCATCAGGGGGACGTGGAACAAGATCCCAGCTGCGCTTCGATCCGGTCAACGAGTTTGGATTCTGGTATCCGGCGATCTCTACAGGTGAGGACTTCTATGCTGCCGGCGATAATCCCATTCGGGTCAGAGTGGGCTAATCCTGACCAGCCTGCCCCTCTGGAGATCGCCCCTCTGCGAATTCAGAAAGGAGTCGACCAGAGTCAAGCGCCCAAGCTTTACGAATCGTATCCTAGTGCCTGGATCCCCGCAGATCAGCAACTGCAGATGGGCCAGCGAGCTGGCCAAGCAAAGACAAACTTACACGGCCCCAGGCCACAGCCGCAAAGCGACCGCAGAGTCAGCGGACCCCACGCCATTCGAATGGTTTCCGAATCACCTCCAAGTAACAATATCGCTACCACGCAGCCCGGACAAGCTGAGGTACGTGATCACTACGTCGTCTCCATTCCCGCCCCTCCTTCTCCTTCTCCTCCCGCACGAAGGTTTGAAGATATAGACCACCCCGGGGTGCAGCGGGCAGCACAGACAGGTAGCATTTTCAAGACTGCGGCTGATGAGATTCGCAAGCATGTGTCGAGGGAGTCGATCATCAGCAACCCTGCCATAAACCTCGTACTCTTACCAAGATACATCATCACGCGTAGCCAGGTTATGGATCTAGAGAAGGGCAACGCAAAGATCTTTGAGGTCCTTCTCAATGAGAAGGAAGATGAGGAGCTCTCTAAGCCGAGGGATGGATTGCAGTACAAGTATAACAGTGGTATCATCGTTGAGGACCTGGATGAGGCAAAACGAATTAGTACGCTATCTAGCTGTTGGAGCTCCTGGAGCAGCCGGTCGGGGGCGGCCTCCAGGTCTGCTCAGTTGGAGTGATGTAGAGATATGCAACGTTCTGGTGTCGTCGGCGGTGGGACAAGGCTCTGACACTTGATTGCCCAAAAAAACCATTTCCTAACTTTGCGATCACGGCAGAAACGAGCGCGCTGTTTGACGTGCTTGATATCTGGCCAGTTTTGGACTTGTCAAATAAACTCCGGAACCTTTGCCCCGCATGATTCTCCGCTCCATCTTACAATTGCCTAAACGGGGGATGTTCCATGCAGAGGGGGGTAAACGATTGGAGATTAGAGTTGTGATCTTGCGATGAGGGGGCTGACCGACGGCCCTAGTTCTGGGATGGGCTTCAAAGCGTTTTTACCACACTCCGGGATGTTCGGTTTACCTCTCATTGTTTTGCCCAACCATGGAGACAATCCGTCAAGAATTACCGGGACCGTCTCATCTACGGAAAGTGCGGCAAGCAACTGGCGAGCCTGGCGACGACTGTGCCATCATCTACCGTCCCCAACTTTCAGTTGTCTAATAGGATTTAGCCGATGTGTATAAGTAGAACACGCCGAGCTCTTTAGACCATTGGAGCATGCTTGAAGTGCTCTTTGCTTAAACATTGATATTCTTGACAAATAAGATCAAAGTGGACAAAGTGAGACGTCACCCAAGCCCTACTCAACATGACTGAACCAAACCCCGACGCCTCCATGGCCTCTTGGACCAACACAATATACTGCCTCAACCGTGGCAGCATTGACGACGAGCTCGAGCGCCTCGCCTACAACCACTTCAACATCTGGATGCCTCTCACCGTCGACCTGCTCCCTCCCCACATTCTGTCGTCCCTTCAGTCCCAAGACCGCCCCCGGATCGCCGACATTGCCACGGGAAGCGGCGTCTGGCTGACCTCCCTCGCCGACGACCTCCCACCGCACTCGGAGCTCGTCGGCTTCGACATCGACAAGCTAAAGTTCCCACCGCGCCCACCGACGCCGCCGATCCCCCCGCCGCCCGTGTCCCCGCCTCTCCGACCGGAACAACCGAGCCTGGACTTCCGGGAGCAGAACGTGCTGGAGCCATTCCCGGGAGAGCTGCGAGGCACCTTTGATCTCGTGCATGTGAGGCTGTTGGCACTGGGGCTGAAGGCTGAGGATTGGGACGGTGTGCTGAGGAACCTGTTTGATCTGTTAAAACCCGGCGGGTGGTTGCTGTGGGAGGACACGGGTGACCTGTTCATGAGGGCGTTTCCGCTGAGCAGGGCGTGCGAAGAGTTCTGGTGGGCTAACATGAAACACGATGTGAGGGTGGGGAGAGACAATCAGTGAGTCAGCCAGACGCAGTTTGTTACATTTCAGGCCAGCCGCAGGGCTTCGCTAACACCAACACAGAATGCCCGCTGCCCTGTTGAAGAAGCTTCCGAAACTCGGCTTCCAGAGCTGCGAGCAAAAGGTCTGGAGCTCGTGGGCGGCGGACGATTCAATCCAGCAAAAGGCCACTACGGCAGTTCTCCAACTCGTCAAGCCAGGGTTGACAGCCGTGGTTGAGGATGGCGGTGAAGAGACGATCCGCACGATGGAAGATGTCAGCCGTATCGAAAGGGAGATTATGCGGGATATCGAGCAAAATGGTGTTCGCATGGGGTTTCATTACTTTTGGAATTGGGGGCAGCGGCCGTCGTGAAGTTTGCCGTTTTCTTTCAAACAAGGGGAACACACCTCGTAGCAAGACGACTCCAAACCCAGAACTGATCTACAAAACGCTCTTACTGAGCAACGATGCCATCAATCAGGAACGTTCCGCCACAGTCTATCCGGAGTCGTGCCCGGGGCACATCTGTACTCTTGCTGATACCACGTCAACCATCCCATGAGGCCCCGTGACTAACCACATTGGAAGCAAGCTGTCGATAAAGAAAGTCGGTTAAGAGACGCTGCTTGCCAACTCATGCGAATTCCCCCGCGGAGATCCAGATAGTGCTAGTGGCAATCACTAAAGGGGAAGCAAAAGGAAACGATCTCATGTGCATAGTCAAGCCTTGAAAATGATTCTGAATTGATTATTAGCCCCAGAGGCGGTGTTCGTCCCTGAGTTCTATACTGTCTAGTTGCCCTTCAACTTATTCCAAAACGAAGCCGAGGTCTTCTCGCCGCTGACCGGGGGAGGCGACAAAATCATAGTGTTCCACGTGACCTCGCCGTCAACGTACAGGCTGTACTTAAGACTACTCTGTTCTCCCTCAGCCAGATTCTCAATGGTTAGAGAGCCAAACTTGGAATTGCCAGAGTGGATGTACCTAGAAAGGGGTCAGTTATCGAGGCGGGCGACATAGGTATTCAACTATACTTACTTGAGAGCAATGTCTTCGTCGTCGTTCTGCCTATAGCTCGGCAGAGGTGAAGCAAACTGGTTGAGAGGGCTGCAAGAGAACTCGTAGGCGGCAGCAGTCTCGGGCCATCTCCCACCTGCAGGTGGTGGAAACTTGGTAGCCGCGAACTCGTGGCGGTCGCCCGAAACAACGACAACACCAATGCCTCTCGCACCAGCATCCCACATAGCCTCAAGGACCTTGCGTCTCTCAATTAAGAATCCGCCCCACGTGTCCTTGCGGTTGATGGGCCAGTTTTTAGTCAACGGGATTGACGACGCCACAATCTTCCACTTCACACCCTTCGGCTCAGGTCGGTTTAACCAATCGAGGAAGTCCTCAAGCTGGTTGGCGCCGAGCATGGTCTTCTCCGGGCTGTCGAACGGGAGGTCGTTATCGGATCGGTAAGAGCGAGTGTCCAGCATGAAGAAGCTTGCGGGTCCCTGAACAAACTCAAAATAAGTCGCACCATCTCTCCTGAGGTTGCTAGTTCCCGCAACACGCGCAGGAGGGGGGTTCGCGAGCTCTTGGTAGTGATGCCACGGCTCGATAGCGGCACGGTAGACGCCCGTGGTGTTGGAAGACCAGTCATTGCTAATCTCGTGATCGTCAAGAACGTGGATCCAGCTAAGGTTCTGCGCAACAGGAGCCCAGTCCGGAGAGGCATAAACGTGACGATATTTTTGGCGATAGTCCTCCTCGTACTTGCCTTGACGCTTGGGAACATCGATGTAAATGAAGTCGCCCAGGAACAACATGAACTGTGCCTGGAGCTTCGGCAGCACATTAGCGAGGTGTCGCATGCCTGGGATGGCAAGGGGATGCTCGAATGGGTTGTACGGGAACCGCGGGAGAATGCACGACGTCGAGAGGAAGGTAAACTTGTTGTCTGCAAAGGCCGACATCTGACCCGCCCTTGGAGGCGCAACGAACTCGCCACTGTGGTTGTTTGAAGTGCGCCACTCGTAAATCCTCTGCTGTGAGTGCTTTAGGGGAACGGTGAGTGTCGTAGTGAAGTCAGTCGTGTTGTCTGTGTACCTCGTTCCTCCGCCAAGCTGCCAGAGAGGATTGTCGAACGGCGGCTGCGGGTCCTTTATGCGCATCTCTAGGGTAACGGGCATATTGGTCTGGTCGGGCTCGCGCAAGACAAACTTGGCCTCTGTGGGTGAGACGTAACCTAGACGCACAAAGGACAGGTCGTTAACTGGGTGGTAGTGGCGAACGCGGAGGAGAAAGTCTGCGGTCATCGCAACCAAGATGACATTGATCAGGAAGGTGAGGGCCGAGAGGATAGGGTTAGTCGAGCTGGGCGTGCCAGCAAGAAGGGTCTTCCACGGGCTGGTCTTCTCCTTGACAGTGAGGATCTCTTCGATCTGGATCTCCTCAGCGACGACATGGCCGTTGATGGGTTCATCCTCGGCGTCGCCTTCCGCGATGGTCTCCTTCACAGTGACGTCGACTTCGTCCTCAACAACATCGTATTTTGGTTCATTGATGTATCCTGAGACGAAAGATGGCGCAAAGACGGCAAATAGCGCAAATATGCTCAATGGCACGGCGGCCTACACCGTGATCAGTATAGGCGCCAAAACTGGTGATTGAAAGTTTGGCAACAAAGGTCACTTACTGGGCCCGGAAACTAAAATTGCATCCAACAATTAGTGGCCAATTTCTTAAAGTGACAGATGGGACTTACCCATCGCAGGAAGAGGTAGGCGACTGCCCTCAATGCGATCGAAGAGGTGGTCGCTATGCGCGTCTGGATCGTCATGGTGCCGTAGGAGTACCTAGGTAGATGCAAATACGGAAATGCCGGTCGGTTGCAGGTGCTGATTCGAAGGAGTGGGTGCTGGCCTAGCAGGTAAGAAGCATTTGTAGGAAAATGTCGACGGAAAGAGAAGAAGGAGCTGCTCCCCTTGCAGCCGAGCTTTGAGAGGTCAAGAAGAGAAAGTTTGATAGAAGGAACAGTCTATGAACCTGCCCTCTAGGAGGTGGAAGCTCTGCTGGACGTGACGTGACAGCTTATGAGACCTCGACTAGAGATGAGGTCACTAATTGATGAAAGGCCCACATCCGCGCTGAAACACTAATGCGCGATAACAAGCCACTCAGGTTGGACATGCGACATGTGAGCGTGGCTAGTGACGATGGAGCTTGTTAGCTTGAGAGGAAAGCTCGAATGGAGCCACCTTACACTACGAGAGGAGCGGTACGTACACTCTGGGGAGCATCGCTGGCGTTTGCCCCTACTCCGTACCGTCTGCTGCGTTCTCGCGCCGACTTGGTCCGTGCACACATCCAAGGGGCTACCTTGCCTCCAGCGGGCACCAATTTTCCGCGCGCCGAACTTTCAATCGTGGCCCGTTCTAAGTGACCCTTTTGGCGACAGTTTGTCCACAATCCCCGGCATCAAGAGTCGACGATCGACACCCTCACGAGCGCGCCTCCCCGAGACTCCCACACAACACATCATGAGGGTATCCGCCATCGCCTGCGGGCTTCTTGCCTGTTTCGTTTCTCAGGTTGCCGCTACGGCATTGACCTACAAGCTCCACGCCAGCGAGAAGGCCTGCTTCTATGCCAAGACCCAGAAGGAGAACGAGAAGATTGCTTTCTACTTTGCGGTACGTTGATAGTGATATCCGCGTTATGGAAAATAGACTGATCCGACATGCATAGGTCCAATCTGGTGGCTCTTTCGACGTCGACTACGTCGTGACAGGACCGGGCAACAAGATCATCCTGGACGGATCTAAGGAGCGCCAGGGTGACTTTGTCTTCACTGCCCAACAGCTGGGCGATTACGAGTTCTGCTTTAACAACGAGATGAGTACATTTGCCGAGAAGTTTGTCGACTTTGAGATTGCCGTACGTCGCCCCGAACTCCCCTGCGATACACAATGCTGACTGCGAACCCTTACAGGTCGAAAACGAAGTTCGCGCCCAGCTCCCCGCTAAGCAGGGTGCCTCCCCCGAACAGCACTCTACCCTCGAGGAAACCATCTTCAAGCTCTCCGGCCAGCTTTCGACCATTGCGAGAGGCCAAAAGTACTTCCGCACCAGAGAGAACCGAAACTTCAGCACCGTCCGCAGCACAGAGGGCCGCATCATCAACTTTAGCATGATCCAGTGCGCTCTAATTGTGCTCATGGGAGCTCTGCAAGTGTTTATTGTTCGCTTCTTCTTCCAGGGAGCTCGCAAGGGCTACGTATGAAGGGGCAATCACAAAAATTGGTTCTCGATGTTGTGCGGCGCGCAGGTGGAAAGGAGTCACCAGGGACTCGTGTATATCACAAGTAAAAGAGGCATGATGTGGTTCACGGTATGAGATATCAACGACGATCAGAGTTCCAGCGCTGTTCCCACGAGGTCTAGGAGTTTATGAAACGGCTGGAGAGCACTCCAGCAAGGCCAGTAGCACTGGCTGCAGTATACATGTTAAACGTTTAACGAGCGTCACTGTTTACATGACATGATTCACATGTGCATTTACATCTGGCTGTCAATGCATCCTGCCCTTTGAAGTGCGCTTAGTAGGTAGTTTGATGGTAACAACACAGGATAGCCGGTTGCTAGCCCGGACATGCTGTCCAAATCTGCAATTCGCTAAATGTTTTCTACCGCAATCTGGTAAAGTGACCTGAAGCTCAGGTGAAGCTTCGCTCATGCACAGGTCCGGTTTCCTTGTTGAGTGTGACCTGACCATAGCGGTGCCGTCTGATTGGCTAAATCTGTGGCTGGTGGATCCGCAGCCACGGCAGGCTACAGGTGGAGCCACGGTCAATCCATCTCCGAGCGGCTTGAGCTTCGTGAGCTTCGATAGCAACGGCAGCCTCGCCTGCGACCCGGGTAGGTCTTCTCAGCGACCGGTTTGACCAAATTCACGACCCGACACGCATTTCACGAAGCAGCGCGACATACATGAACACGGATTCGCGACCCGAAGCCGACGCGCCAACGAGGTACATCACATCAACACACCACCTCCTAGGAGGTGGATAGCAACCTGTCAATGCCGAGTGGTTCTCGCCATAGTTCGAAACAGCCGAAGAAGCCCAAAGAGCAACCCAAGGAAAATTGGTATATAATCAGGGATATTCTTCAGGAAAGGAAGCGCGGCGCAACGATTGAATACTTGGTGGACTGGGAAGACGACCCCGACACCGGCGAACGATACCATCCTACTTGGGTAAGTCCCCTGTTGACCCTTGTCATGGAGTGGCTCTGACTTTACGTAGACCTCAAGCAAGGACGTCACGTCGAAGGCGATATTCGACTGGAGGAAGAAACTCGACGCACTCTATCGGGAGGACCACGCGACGCGCAGCGAGGAGTCAGAAGCGCAAAGCACCGGAGGACTACAAGACGAGGGCGCATCTACGCATGCTTCAGCGACCGACTTGCTTGACAGCAGTCAACCCGTCCGGCCGCCACGCAGGCGAAAGGGGCATCAAACTGAGCAGCCTGACGACTCGGAAGACGACCTCAATCAGTCGAAGCGGAGAAGGCACCATAGCGAGGCTCCTTCACTGTCATCGGGCTCCGAGGTTGACACGGATGCCGCGTCGGAAGTTCTATACAACAACAACTCGAGTTTCTTTGTGGCAATCCCCTCTAAGGTAGACCACGATTTCTCCGAGTATATCAGTGTATCAGACTCCCAGGGCTCAACTTCACTCGGCTCCCAATCTGTCTCAGCCCTCGAGGACGAGGATAGCCAGGTGGTGCTCGCTGAGAATCTTAGTCAAAGGACCATTCCCGACTCACAGGACTACTCGGCATTCGATACACAGGACTCGCAGGTTTCTAGCAAATTGCTAGCATCGTCTACTATAAACAAAGAGGGAACTATCACAGACCGTGAGGTTCCTGATTCGCAGAAACAATCGTCATTGAGCAGGAGTTCGGCTTCCCAGGCTCTCCCTAGTGCGCCAGACCACCGATCACCTTTCTTTGTACGCCGAACCCCCTTGCAGTCAAGTCCTTCAAAGTCTTCTCGGGACCGTCAGCAAGAGCCGGTGTCTTCAGGCTACATTCCTTTGACGCAGAATAGTCCCAAGGAAAGCCGGATACCAATCCTTGGTGATATCCTACCCACTCTGTCTGAGCCTCAGCAAACGACTGAAGAGCCAGCGCCACCGCAGGCGCTGCAGTCACGATCTTGGGTAACATCCCATCCCGATATCCGAGCCCCACCTCAACAGCCTATACGCGAACGCGACTCCTTTCCAACTTCTACCTCCGACAGATCGATCCCATCGCATCAGGTTGATGACTTAACCACAGTATACCAGGCCGAACATTCAGCAAACCATTCAGCTAGCGGAGACTCTCCTCAAGAATCGCGATCAGCAGGGACACCCGTCTTTTTGACACAGCCTGCTTTTGATTTCGACATTCCTTCCTCTCAAGCATCTTCATCGACCAAGAGCGATTCTGTAGATTGTGCAAGTGCTTTGGCAGCCAACCAAAACGAGAGCGCAGCTGAGCAAATTATTGCTTGTTCGGACACGCAGAACGGCCACAGCCAGAACACGCAACTCGCACAAGTCGTTGCGCCGCTTCCGAACATTTCTGCGAGTCAAATTGAACCAAGCAACAACTGCGCTAAAAGCCCCGTAGTTCCTGACACCGTTCGCCACAGGCCTTCGCGAAAGCGGTGTCTCAACACCAGACCTAATAGTTCAGGTTCTTCTGGGCCAGGCTTTTCCAACGACAGAATCCCCAGTCCGTTGTCAGACCAATCATCCGCAACGCACCAGCGTGACGACGACGTGGTCTCAGAGGCTGACAGCTTTCGAACCTGCTTTGAAGCGCGATCGCTACCTCCCCTCACTTCGCCCTATAACTCGCAAGACGACGAAGGCCATAGCGGTCGACACACCGGTTTACCATCAGTTATGGATACACCCAGTGGCGAGCCGCTCTCGGCTATCGAGGAGCTGATGAGAATACAGGAGGCTGCTTTGCAGGGCACGTTGGCTGAGGATGGCTTGACCAGTCCTACAACTGCTCCGGTGCACCATCGCGAAGATGGCCCTTCAACGACGGACGCCGTCGATCACGCGTTCTCAGCTTCTATGGCCGATCCATCTATCCACATCAACTCACAGCCTCCTATTGCGAGCGATTGGCATATGGGAGAGCCTATCACCTCATCTACAGAGTTGCCCGTCCTGTCCAGCGCCCCTCCTGGTCCAGCAATTGCGGCTCCAGCCGAAGACGTCCCCCGGACAGCCAGCATGGGAGACATCTTTCCTGGCAATCTCATGGCCCCTGAACCCGCCGGCCAATTACCAGTTACTATCTCACCCTCTGACATCAGCAGATCAATCGAGCCAGACGAAGCCTTGTCCGGCCTCTCCCAGCACGATGACCAGCTGTTGGAGATGCTGCCGGAGGACGATACCACGGCAGGAGGAAAGAGCACCGCGACATCACCCGATGTCGAAGAGCCGTACCTTTCAGGCCCTCCAACAACAATAGACCAGAGCGAATACTTGGTCACTGTGTCATTTCCGGCGAATATTCGCCCTTTGTATCTAAGCACGTTGACGGCCTACAAGCGCGAAATCGAGAAGTTCAATATGGCTTTGCAGTCCGATGAGGGCTCGCCGGATCAAGCTACTGTGGATTCCATTGGAAGACTCTTTAACCAGCTTCGGGATATTTGCGACATGCCCGCGCCCCTCGACGGTCCTTCAATCGACGCCTTGTCAGCAATCGATCTCAAAAAGCACGCCATGGGCACCAATAGCAAGTTCTTCTTTGTTGGTCGGTTCCTGGAGCGACTGCAGACAAGTCACAAGAAGGTTCTTATTGTTGTGCGTGACACCAGCATCACCGGCTATTTCGAAGCTGTGGCTGGAACCGGAGACATGGCGTACTCCCTCAAGGGCCTGCATGAGCTTGAAGGCCAGGACGAGCACTCCTTGCTTGTTGTGCTTGTACATACCGAGCAGCCTCTCGTCGACGATTTGAGCGATTTTGATGTCGTCATTGGCTTCGACAACGGCATCATGCAGACGGATGTCTTGAGTCAGTGGGCTGAAATGAGCGGCAAGAAGCCGATGCTGATCAGACTCATGACAACCTGCTCCATTGAGCACCTCGAGTTGATGATGCCGGCGGAGCTTGAGGGCTTGGAGAGACAGAATGCTCTGCTCATTGCCTTGTTCCAAGCAAGGGCTCTCATCGCCAATGACGAGCAGGGCGAGATGATTGACCAGTTCACCTCTCTGTTTGCAAGCCAGGCAATCGACCCCGACCCCAGCTTTGGATGGGAGCCTGAACCTATTCCTTCGTCTGTCCTCGACTTTTACTCCAGCACCCAGCCTCACACCCAGATGCCGCCCACTGCGGAGGAGTTGACGACCCGCAAGCGCAAAGCCGTGAGTTGTCTTTCTGCGTAGGACGGCTATCAACTAATGCGTGGATCTAGGACGACATGTCGCAACAGATCACCAAGCGTCTGCGCGTAAGCCATTCTCCTGGACGAGCTGCGGGCGACATCGATGCGGCAGTCCACAGTCATCTCAACCCGGACCCGTCCCGCGTGCACATTCAGACGACTCAAGACCACCTAGACTCTTTGACAACCAAGGTACGTCGCTTATATCTTCAAATACTGCCAAAGCTAAACCCGCTGCAGGTCTCCGAACTCGAGTACCAGATGGAGGAGAAGACGTCGTTAGAGGTCAACCTTCGCAAGCACATCACCAACCTCTCTAAAAGAGTCAAGAGTCATGACAAGACCATCAATCTCATACAAGAAAGACATATGGCTGCGCTCCGGGAGCGGAGCCAATTTGAAGCTCAGCGGGATCAAGCGCAGCAAAACGAGGGAAAAGCCCAAGAGGAGAGTCAACAGTGGCAGAACAAGGCAAAGATCTTGGAAGAGGAGCTCAAAAAGAAAAATGCCACTCTCGAAGAGGCTCTCGTCAATGCCGGCACAGTCGCTACTGAAGTCTTTAAAGAAAAGACAGACGAGCTCGAGAAGGCTCTGGCGAAGATCGCGGAGCTGGAGAAGAAGCTCGAAAGCCGCGATGGCGAACTAGGATACACTAGAGACGCGTACCAGACGGCCAACCACGTTAACAGCGAGCTGGCCCGGGAGAACCGCGATCTCAAAGAACAGGTTGACCTGCTGCAGAAGTCGGCGGTGGGCAACCTTGCGCAGGTCCAGAACGTAAACGCTGGAGAACAGGTCAAGGAGATGCAGCGGCAAATCGCCGAGACCCAGGCCATTGCCAAGGACCGCGAGAAGGAGCTCGCTCGCGTCGAAAAGGAGCTGAGGGCTCTCAAGAACGGACGAAGGGAGACGAGACAACAGAGCGTGCCCCGGAGTCCGAGACTAGGCATGATGAGCCCGAGAACGGGACGCGCCACAGGGGGTTCGGCCAGCAGGGGGACTTCACCCACGCCGCACGAATCAGCTGGCGGCACACCCGTCCCAGGCCTGCAGTTCTTCAACACGCCGGCCAACGGCAGATGGGGCCACCTTCGAGACTAAGGAGGTAATGGAAGCTGGGAGCCTGGTCCAAACCCCAATAGAGGTGGAGAGGACTAGATTGTGTTGACCTGTACTGTGTTACTAAGGGGCCGTAGTTTTAACCCCGCGAGATACCATTAGGGGGACGGCTTGATGGTTGGTTCTAGTTGTTTCCATCAGCTAGATCTAGGAGAAGCAATGCGCGTTGCAGAAGATGTGGCCATATCCATGCCCGGTGAGGGACGGGAATCGTGCCACAGCAACGGCTGTTGAAAGCTACATTCCAGAATATCGGATGCAGGTCCCAGTGTTCTACACAGAATTGACTTAATCTTGATTCATGTCATGACTATCCACTGACGTTGTGGATGATCACTGCCGTCTGCCGGATGAGCAGGGAGTTGAACAAATGAGATTGAGAAGAGCGGTAAGATGGTACATGGGACTTGATTTAGATCACACTACCAGAAAACTCCCCCTCCCCTTCTATCGACGTTCACAGGCACACACGCGGCAAGCAGACTCTGTAGGGTTTGCTTTTCCCTTCTCTCCTCTCTCATTCCCCTGTAGAATATACAAGTTTGGTTCGTGGTTGATTTTGGGTTGGGTGGGTCTCTCGCCCCGGCCCTATCCAAGGACTTCGGTTTGTTGGTATCGATGGCCCTGCTGTGGATTTCCCCCGTCGTTGCAGATGAGGAGAACGCTTAGTTCTTCTGCTCGGGGTAGATATCCTCCTTCAGAGGGACGCCAAGCTCTTCCCTCAGGGGCTTGAGCTCCTCGAGGTACTGCTCGTACTGGCCCTTGTTCTCGACCTTGGCCTTGACGCCTGCGATGGGGGGGGGGAGGATGTCAGCTCATGTCGCATTCAACGGTGCATGGTTGGAGGTTGCAGGTCCGCAGCATGAGGGGAGGTTGCTCGGCCTGCGGAAGAAATGCATGGGTGCAAACGGGGGAGGAATGGCGTACCCTCGAAAATGCGGACGGCGGTAGCGAAGTCGTTGACGCGACGGGCAGCCTTGAGGGCGGCAGCGACGACAGAGGGAGAGGGGACCAAGTCGTAGGCGAAGGCGTTGTTGAGGTTGCGCTGTTATGCGAGAGTAAAAAAAAGAGTCAGCCTCGTTCTCATCAGACCACTTTTGCCGGAACTAGGTTCAGGTCCCGAGGCCGGCTGCGTACCTGAAGCTCGAAAACATCCTGGACGCCATCGAATTCCTTCTCGAATCTAATGCCAAAAGTCAGCGATGCCAATTGGAAACCGAATTGACGAGTCGGAGGGGCCCAATGGCTTTGTCGCGTGGAGGGGGCGGCGACAGTGGCATGATTGTTGGGTGCCTTCTTCCGACATCCCTATCTTCGTTCTCGCTCGCCCAAAGATCCCACCCCCCTCCAACCCCAACCCGACCGAGAATCCGGGGTAAATTTCGAACTCACCTCGCGCTGAACTCCTCAAAGGTCTCCTCGGCGTGGTCACCAGAGCGGAGGCGGGCGCTGGTGCTGAAGGTGTTGGCGGCCGGGACACCCGCGACGACGGGCAGGAGCATGCCGGAGCGGGCGACGAGAGGCTGGCGGATGGGGTTCGCACGGAAGAAGGTGGTCGAGCCGCGAGCGGCGACGCGGAGGATAGAGGCAGACATTTTCGGAGAAGGTGAGGTTCGATTACAAGAGGCGGGACGACCGAAGGAGGGAAAGGGACCGATACGGACGTTGGGGTGTCGCGGGCGGGCTGTGTGACGTGGGAGAGGTTTTTTTTATTTTTTTCGCGCGAAGCTATGGGCGTTTCGTTCGGGATTGAGTCGGATGATGGTGAGTGTTGGCTTTGGTAGGCACGAAAAAGGATTGGATTCTGCGAGATTTTGATTGGATGACTAAGCGGTAGCTTTGGGTGCTGTTGCTTGGGTGAGCGGAAGCTGAACTCCAGGCCGTGCGAATTGGGTTCGACTCGGGCGCATAGTACACAAGATGGGTTGGATGAACACAGTTGACGCGTCTTTTCGCACGGAAGCCCATCATCAGGCCACTGTGGACGGTTCTCCCCCGAACCACCTGGAACTGGTCATACTCATCCTCCCGCCTCTCACTGGTCCTTTAGACCGCAAACCCTTGAAGAACGTAGTGTTTCTTCGCTCTGCGTAATAGCTCATCGGACCGCTCCATGGGTTCTTAGGTGATAGATAATCACATGAGATCTCTCCACACCCCCCCGGCGGCCCGGAGTTGGGAAGCGATTCAGGGCTCCGTTGCACCGGCCTTTTGTTCCATACTGCCACACAATGCACACCCATCGCATAGCACGGTGCACGGCAAGGCTGTCACGTCGGTCGGTCTCCTTCCCAAGGGAGGAAAGAATGGATTTGGGAGGGGGAAAGAAAACACGGGGGCCGGGCCGGGACCAAGAGACCGGAGATTGTGACGGCATCCAGCACGACGTGCGCTCTTGCATGGGAGGAGGAGTCGGTTCGTCTCCAGGTCAATTGGCCGGGGCCGAGGCATAATTTTTTCAATCGACCCTCTTCTCGCATCGAGACAACGGGGACTGACTCTCGTCGCCAGCCGTGACTCTCGCAATTGGGCAGCGTAGCCTAAACTTCCGAGATTGCAAGCTGCATCATGAGGCTCGAGGTATCTGGTACCTGCGGCCTTGATGGATGAATTGGGGCTAGGTCGCGGTAGCAGTGGGTTAGCCCGACCTGCCAACTGGGCCTCATCCAGCGCAGACCAAGACTGCAACGGCCCGCGTCATTTTGCAGCATGCAGAGGTAAGGTAGTGTTGTCCTCTTCCTACAGGCACCGAGGCACAGCCAACACCGCGCCCAGCCGGAGCTCCTGTCCAAACATTTAGCGTGGCCCATCGCCAACACTCCCTGTAACGCTGCCCCGGGTTCTTCACTGCGGCATGCTGGCCGCCGGTGACATCGACCAGATCACGTGCCAGGCATGTTGTGCCTTGGAACCTTGAACAGTGACCAGGAGTCCAAATGAGCATAGGCCCAAGCACGGCCCTTGATTGGCTGCCCCGGGGCCTGACAGCGAATCACATGCTGCACGATCAAATGAGGGCCGCGAAAATGGCTGCGCGACGAAGTACAGGGTACCTGGACCATCTCGATAGGAATTTTCCCCTTTTGACTATCTCAACAACTTTTCGCATTGTTGCTGCCACCGGTCTTCCCGTCCTTCCTCCCTCCTCATAAACCAACTCGTGTGCCCGTGGCGTTTGACGGTATCTTGTTGTCTGACCACCTCCCTCCCTCCCTCCCCTCCCTCCTCAACCTCCAGACTGTCTGTCACCGGGTGTCTTGCGGCGGGTAGTGTTTGCTGCAACTTGTCTCTTTTTCCTTTTCTCGTTGCTTCTCGTCACTCCTTAGGCTCTGCCTCTCTTTGGGTTGTGTCCATTGACGCTCTGCCGCCGCGCCGCGTGCATTGCTGACCGCCCATCCCGTCTGTCATCAGAAGATCCGTATCTTCCGTGTCGAGTCCACCAGGGCAGCCCGCACATCGAGACCCACGGTCATAACAGACGTCCTCGTCGCAAATCTTCGCAAGGAGACCATCGCGCCTGAATCTCAACTTCATCCCCACGAGCTCGAAGAAAATAACTCTCAAGATGGCGACCCAAGCCCCTTCCTCGTTCTACGAGCAATTGCCTCTCCCCACGCTCGACCGCCCCTTTGGCATTCACCTATGGCCTCTGCTCGACAAGGTCTGGACTCCCATCGTGGGCTACCCCGTGAGCGAGTTCAGATTCGTTCCCGGCGTCACGCCCATGTCCACCATCAAGCAGGCCGGCATTTTTGTCATCATCTACTACACCATCATCTTTGGCGGCCGCGAGTGGATGCGCAACCGTGAGCCCTACAAGCTCAAGGGTCTCTTCCTCGCCCACAACCTCTTCCTCACTCTCATCAGCGCCGGACTCCTCGCCCTCTACATCGAGGAGCTTCTGCCAACTGTTGTGCGCGGAGGCATTTTCCACGCCATCTGCGATGCCGAGGGCGGCTGGACTCAGCCTCTCGTTGTCCTCTACTACGTGAGTTCATCGATCTGCGTACTCTCTCCCAGCAACTGACCATCCCAGATGACCTATCTCACCAAGTACCTCGAGCTGCTGGACACTGTGTTCCTTTTCCTCAAGAAGAAGCCCCTGAGTAAGCGCATCGAGACCCCATCAGCCTTCTCAACGCAAGCACTAACAACCTGTAGCTTTCCTCCACTGCTACCACCACGGCGCGACCGCTCTCCTCTGCTACACCCAGTTGATTGGCTCCACCGCCGTCTCGTGGGTTCCCATCACCCTCAACCTCGGCGTCCACGTCGTCATGTACTGGTACTACTTCCAGAGCGCGCGCGGTGTCCGCATCTGGTGGAAGGAGTGGGTTACTCGTTTCCAGATCATCCAGTTTATCATCGATCTCGGTAGGTCCCAATTGATATTCCAGAGTCCATAGGTGCACGCTAACGACCACAGGCTTCGTTTACTTCGCCTCCTACACCTACTTCACCTCGACTTACTTCCCCTGGATGCCCAACGCCGGCAAGTGCTCTGGTGAGGAGTTTGCTGCTTTCGCTGGCATCGGTATCCTCAGCTCCTACCTCGTCCTCTTCATCTCTTTCTACCTTGCGACCTACAAGAAGGCGGCAAGTCGCAGACCCGCAAGTCTCTCCGTCGCATGAGCCAGGCTCCCCTCCCCGACCCCCACCACGTTGCCTCAGCTGTCGCTGGCCACTCCAACGGCAACGCCAAGGCCAGCGGAGCCAAGGCCAACGGCTCTACGCCCCGGTCCCGCAAGGCCTAAGTCAGTGGCATCTCGGATGCCATCCACAGTGTGGAATGTATATATGCGGATGACCGTACAAGGATCTGGAGGTTTCTGTGCCGAATATCTTGACGGCTTACACGTTTGGATGTGGAGAAAATCGTTCTTGGCTTGACGGTATGCCCTGGCCGCGCGACGACGACCATTTGAGGCGCGGCCCTTTTTTCACAAACTGTGTATTACTGTATCGTTCCCGCACGACTGGCGAGGAACGCTTTGAAAACGAAAAAGAGCCTGCTGTGGTGAGCAGCGGGCTCACAGTTGGACGTGTATGACGACCTGGGAGGCTGATGACGTTTGTATGTTTGTGTGCCTTTGGCGAACTGGGGGTTGGCTTCGGTCGGTGGGCATCATTTGCAAAGGACAAAACCATCTCCGAGTGGGCAGCAAGGGCGACGCTCCCACCCGAGAGGAAACAAACTTAGAACATTTGTAATTTTCCTTGTGTTTCTTGTGTCATAGATGGAGCAGTTGTCGCCTCGATTTGGAGGCTGGCGCCGCTTGATACTAATACTCTTTCACTACGATGGAGCCAACCTGTTTCCGGCCGGTGACAAGTCGACCGACTCGCAGATTTACTCTGAACGAGGCCTGTGGTCAACCTTGGCCAAATGGTCATCCTCAATGGTATGTTCTTACATTTTCTTCTATTCCCCTTTCCACCCCAAATGATGAGTAACTCGCGTTATACCCAGCTCACTCAGACGCACAAACTGTGCGGGTGCTGAGAACACGTTTGATCACATCTGATTCATTGGGACAATTCATGTTTCTTGTAGAAGAGTTGTCAGAGTGGTCAAGATGGCTAACTATCTTCAGGTCCTTGCTGTGAGCTTGACGAGATTTGATGCCCGAATGAGGGATAATAAGTAGAGAAATACGACGGTTGTGAACATACCACTCTGGTCTTTATCCACACCAGACTAACAGTGACTTGTGACCTCGTGGGTAGGAGATGAGATGGCTCTCGAACTCGAGTCCCTGGCTTAAGGACAGTACGGAGCCCTTGCCAGGGGAAGACGACCAGATGCCGTCGAAAGTGTCATCTTTCACGTATAGCTCTTTGGTCCAACAGCTTTGCCCATTACAGTATTGGCAATTTATCTTCCTGTAACACTAAGCTCGAGATTCGGCTGGTTCGTGCGTTGTTGTTCAACGGACGTCTTAGGGGCTACGGACCACCATCGCGCTTACACCCTTTTCCAAGGACATGCACGTTATCCCTCGATGCGTACCACCCACGATCTGCCTGTGACTTTAATTATAGATCTCGATGCTACCATCGGATTCGCTTCGACAGTTCCCAGCCCGCAAGTCAGGCTTTCGGGGCAGCCACTACTCGACCTCCCCCCCAAAACCGACATTGCAGCCCATCTTCCTGCATGAACGCCGCCCAATGGAGGCTTGTCCCCATTTACCCGGCTCGCACCCATGCTGGGGATTTCGGCTTCAGGACTGGTGGGATTTACACGCGAGCTTCCTTCAAGCAGAGACTAAGCTATATGCGAGCAACTCCGCCTACTCGGTTCGCCGTCAGCTACATCTTCGGGCACACTCTAACCTGGACATCGCGAACACCGCGGTCACTTGATGACTTTCCAGCACGCCACGACGTGCAGTGCGGCAGGATCTGAAAAAGATCTTCCGCGTTCTAGCAATGCATTGCAGAGTTCAGTAGTAACTTGAAAGTGACCTTGGCCTCACAAGTTAACATGGCTGCCATGGACAACATTTATAAAGACAGCCAGAAGTCCACGGTGAAATCAGGACTTCTTTACCGACCCATCCGACGCAAGAGGTGCCAACTCCAGACCATAATGATCCTCCTCGCCAGCCTTATCCTTTCCCTGTTCATGCTACTTGCGAAAGCATCATGTTCGCATACAGTCCCGCCAACAGCCAGCATTCTCAATGGAACATATGAAGGCCGTCATCTTCCTGAGTTTGGCCAGGATCTCTTTCTCGGCATCCCGTACGCCCTCGCTGCCCGTCTCCGCAACCCCTTACCCCTGAACGAGTCGTGGACTGGCGTCCGCGATGCCACTCGCTATACCGTTGCCTGCTATGCCGATTACTATCCGGGCACTCTGGAATCTGTGGGTGTAACTGTGAGCGAGAACTGCCTGAACCTGAACATCATCCGGCCTGCTGGAACGACTTCATCCTCGAGGCTTCCGGTCGTGGTCTGGGTACACGGCGGCGGCTTCTTCGGCGGCTTCGGCGCAGATGGGAACACCAACACATCCTATGTCGTCCGTGACTCTGTCGAGAACGGCACCCCGATCATGGCCATCACCATCAACTATCGCCTTGGGTTCTTCGGCTTCCCAGGCGGACACCAAGTGGCGGCAGAGGGCGTCACGAACCTCGGCCTGAAAGACCAACGACATGCTCTGCGCTGGATTCAAGAGAACGTCGCCGCGTTCGGTGGCGACCCCAGCAAGGTCACTTTATGGGGCCAGTCCGCCGGCGCCATATCCATCGGGCACCAGATCCTCGCCTACGGCGGCAATGGCGCCGAGGAGCTGTTCAGAGGAGGCATCCTGGTAAGCGGCAGCGCAGGGCTTGCCACTAACATGCTGCTTCCCACTCACCCCAGCATCATGGAAGCGTACGACGGTCTCCTGAATGCGACAGGCTGCGCCGATGCGGACCATACATTGAACTGCGTCCGCGAAGCCCCTGCAGATATTGTCTGGAAAGCCACCATCGGGGCCCCGTTTCCCTCCTGGTGGCCGAGTATCGACGGAGACTTTGTCCAGAAGCCCCCTACATGGCAAATCCTCGAGGGTGGCATCGCCCCCGTTTCCGTTATCGTCGGCGCCAACAACGACGAGGGTTTGGCGACAGCCTACGCGTTTGCTGCCTCCGAAACCGAGGCCGATGCCGCGGCCCTCCTCCATCTCCAATTCCCAGCTGCGAGGGACTCGACCATCCAAGAGGTCCTGGCCGCTTACCCCGTCGATGCTCCCAGCCCCCCCTACTCCCTGCCTGTCAGCTCCGACCCGGCGAACGACCCATTCTGTGCTGCCCTCCGCGAGGCCAACATGACCTGCGGCGCACAGTACCGCAGGATGGCAGGCATCTACAGCGACTATGCGCAGATTGGCGGCCGGCGGTTGACGGCGCGTGAGTGGGCTCGGGCCGGGATCCCCGCGTACAGCTACCGCTTCGACACGAACCCGACAGACATCCCCATCGTCAAGAACGTCCTCGCCCCGGGGTTCGCGACGCACTCGGCCGAGTATTCCTACTTCTTCAACTTCCCGCCTGAGTACGACATGCACGGGCTGAACCCGCCCGTGCGAAACGTGTCGTCGCACCTGACGCTCTCGCGGAACATTGTCGACAAGTTCATTGCGTACATTGCCACGGGCAACCCGAACTCGTTCTCAGGTATGTTGGTGCGCGGCGGAAGTGAGGATAGGGAGGAGCCGCGCTGACCCCGACAGTCCCTGACGTGCCCGAGTGGCCTCAATACTCCGTGTCGGAGCCGACGAACATGGTCTTCAACGCCACCTTTGCGGACAACACGATCCACACGCGCGTCGAAGCGGACACCTGGCGTGGGGAGGGCTTGGAGCTGTGGGTGAAGTACGCTGTGGAGCTCAGCTTCAACGGCAACTGGCGGCCGTGATTAGTTGTCTCAAAGGCCGTGTAACGCTCGGCTTGAGCTGTCGCTGCTTGTCGTGGTCGCTTTGTAATTCGCGTAATATTTACGCAGACAGCTATAAGGATACAGCCCTTTGTAATGCCGAAGACTAGTATGGGTGCCCCTAATGCCATCTCACGTTAATATCAAAACCCCGCAGCCCTAAACATCAGGCGCATTCTCAACCATGCCCTGCCAATGTCCTAAAGCTTGAACAGATGAACAACCTCCCATTAGCCTGCCACTGAAATGTCCCTCGTTTTTATTCTAGTGGCCAGAGCCAGTAGAATGTTGCTGGAGCACGGAAGAGGCAGAAGAGAAGTTTCTCTCAAACGGCGTCTGGCATTCGTTTCGTGGCCCGGCCTGACGGGCGAAAGCTCTCACAATATTCATTACATACTCTTTGTCTCCTCCTTATCCACCGTCTTGAGCCTTCAAAAAGGCCGCCGCCTCCACCCCCTCAATGAGGGATAGTCTTGTGAGAGAAAAAAGAAAAAAAAAAGGCTCAGAAGTAAAAGACACGCATGGGTGAATTACTTGTTACATGGTGGTAGTCTCTTCCTGTCTTGCATCAGGTCATGCTCCTCCTCCTCTCAGAGAGACCGTCTACGGATAAACAACAGCTGGGTGGTTGATTTAGTAGTGTCAGAAAAAAAACGACCAAGAAAAAAGGAAAATGTGGTTGAAAAAGCAAGTTTTGCTGCCCAAAATTTCTCTCCGGGACAGTTTCGCTGCGGCCGTTACGCCCAGAAACAAGACGGTAGTCTCCTCTCATCTTTCTTTCCCCGGTTCCTACTGCGAGAAAACGCAAAAGGATCGAGCGGGTCGAGGAGGCCTCGCCAGACCATGGTCCCAAAATGCATCTTATCCCGCCCCAACCAACCCGCCGTTTCCCTACCAATCTTGAGAAGAAAAGTTGAAGAGATGTGCAACGCCGTTTGCAATCAGAGAGAGAGAGAGAGAGAGAGAGAGAGAGAGAGAGAGAGGAATGTGTGTAATGTGGTGTGTGCGCGGTGACCAGACTGGTGACACTTGAAAGCGCTACGATCGGGCCCTTGCGGCCATGTTGGTAACAAAGGAAAAGGAAACGAGTCGAATTGATTTGGGGCTTGAACTATGGCCCGGGAGGCAGAGCTGTGTGTTGCTCTGTGCGGTCTGATTGTCTTGCACTCGAGGCTTGCGCAGTCGCTACTGCCGACTGATGCCGGACGAGGGGACTTCAGTAACTCGGCCGATGCGATCAGCTGGATATCGAAAGTCGTAAGTACGTAATGGGTCATGATCCATTTAAATGTGCGCGACAGCCAAGCTGAATATGGTCGACGCGACGACATCGCCTCAAGGGCCAGTATGGCCTGACGGGCATGGATTGACGGGCATGGATTGACGGGCGAGGCTCAGCAAGACTGGTACAGCAGTAGCGGCTCTCCCACGTTTTCGATTTCGGGAATCGTGCACTTCAGGTCGAAGGCTTTGGACAGCACAATCTTGAAGATCTGCAAGGGGTCAGTCTCTAGCCGCAGAACACTATTTGAGGACTCACCTTTTGCACGTTGATACTATGGCTCGTGCTGGAGAAGATCAACGCAGCGCGCATTGCCTTGGCGAACCGACGGGCCTAGCATTGTCAGTCACTGAAGGAAACCAGAAAGCTTCCGACGTACCTGGTTTGAGATTTCTTCTTGGTCTTCCCTCGGAAAGTTGACGAAATGGTCGTACTTGGTGCCGACGAGAATGGGGATGGCAGTCTTGTTGAAGCCCCTGCCTTGCCGGTACCATTCCTTGATGCTGTTGAGCGTGCTCTTCCGTGTCAGGTCGAACATGAACAGGATGGCAACGGCATCGTTGCAGACCAGCGGGAGCATGTTGACGAACTCGCGCTGGCCGCCCAAATCCCAGATGGAAAAGGTAATCTCGGTATTGCGGATCGAAATGGTCTTCTCCATGAAGTTGACGCCCAGTGTCTGGATGTAGTCTTCATCCCAGCTTCCCTCCACGTATTTGACCATCAAACTCGTCTTGCCGATTTGCGCATCTCCCACCATGCCGACCTTGATGACAACGTGGTTGCGACCATTGCTGGCGGCGGCTTCCGCGCCGGCGCTGCTGCGCGAGGCATGGTCGGCGTAGCCTTGTTGCGCGCCGGCGCCAGACAGGCCAGAGGCAGGCCTCGAGATGGGAGGGGCGTTCATGGGCAGAGGCGGTGTGTTATAGCGATCCGCTTGTTGCTCTTCGAGCCGCGGGGATTGTGGGAGGCCCTGGTCGAGGGACTGGTTGGGTTGATGGCGCTGCTTCTCGGAATAGTCGTAACCGTTGTTCTGGACAGCCTGCGGGGAGGCATCGAAACCGCCGAGGGCATCGTCGGGGTGCGGCGCGGCGGAAATGTGGTCGTGCTCCATGTTGTCGACTGCGTCGTGGAACTGGGCCGGTGACCCCGCGGATATTGTTGAGGAATCCAGCGTGGAGGTTCGTGGGTGCGGGACGGGAGGCTCTGTCTCAAGCGAGGGAACAGAAAGATGACGATGCTCGACGCAGCCGCTTTGGAAATGACGAGGACAAACGGCAGTCGGCGCCGAGTGGAAGGACAGACAGATAGGGCCGGAAAGTAAGCGGCAGGTTTCAGTTGGGGCCCGACGATGGCTTCATGGGCACTGCCAAGGACGGCGCAGCGATCGATCGGGAGCGGAGAGCTGAGTCGAACTTCAGCTGCTCAAGCTGGTATCTGCCACTGGTTAGGGTTGGCGACGTAGAGGCAACTCGTAGGAGGTGAATGGGAAGGCAGAGGGAAGGGAATGAGTGTCAGGCGAAGATGTCTCACCTAGCCTATCCACACACGGAGGCAGAGGAGGAGAGAGGGACAGGATTGCGTGGTGTGGTGCGTCGAGACAGTGCGGTGCGGAAACAAGAGACGGGATTGGACGACGGACTGAAGCAGGGGGTTGCCCACCTCGAGCTGGCGTCGAACCGAGCAATGAGAAGAAAGGGCTTGTATAGGTAGGACGCAACAAACGTACCGGCAGTTGAGCAAGGTAAAGTGGCAGTCGTTAGCCGGACCAAGTAAACAGTTGTCGAAGCGGGACCAGACAACAAAGAGGACCTCGTTCGTCTTCGTTTGAGAACCGGTGAGAGCCTAGCGGAAGGGAATGAGGAGCCAGGTGATTCTCCGTGGACCGTAAGGCAAGGCGAGGGGAGAGAACGGTCAGGTATCAACTGGACGAGATGTCGATGAGATGCGGCGGTGCGGTGCGGTGCGTAGTGCCAGAACGAGGTCACGGTCATGGAATGTACCGAAGCGGGCCAGGGCAAAACGGGGGGGATGGGGATGGATTAGCGGAGATCCAGCCAAGCAGCGTGGATGTCAATGTCAAGCAACAGGGCAGTCGATTTGTGAAAGTGCGAGGGAATAGGATAAGACGGGATTGAGGAGATGCTTATGCGACGGTGTGTTTTGTGCTGGTCGCTGTGTTTTGGTGCTGGGCATGAGGGGACACCGGGGGGGGGCGGCTCCTCTCAGTGCATCTGTGCAACACAAGTGCAGCGCAGTGCAGTGCCTGGCGGGATTTTTAGTGAAGGGCGCCAACGCAGGAAACGCAGGAAACGCAGGAAACACAGGGAAACGGCAAGTCAGGGCGTCCCCAGTCGTGGCGCTTATGGCAGATCGAGGGAGGTGCGACAGGGGAAAAGGGAAGCAGCAGCCAGTCAGAGGCCACAGATGGACGCTGGGGGAGGCCGATGATGACGCCAAAATTTCACCACTCGGCCACGGTTGTGTGGGGAAAACGCGAGACGGACGCGGTTTATGTATTGTGTGGACTTAATGTTTGTTCTCGCTGGTGCAGTACTACTCTGTTGTATGGTAGGTAGATGTATATTCAGCTGCCCCACACAACTCACCCATTGCACCAACAAACCTACATAGCATAGATGGACACAAGAGATTAGTGGCATTGGTACTATTGCTTCCGAGGATTATGGATGCTGAGCGATGGGCCAGGCGGCATTTATGGATGGCTCGACGGGGGACGCACTTGTGCCACATGGTATAATTTATTTTTTTCCTATCGTCACCACAACTTGGTCATCGCAACTCGGCGGTCCACTGGCATCCCCCCCCTGATCGTTCTTGCTCTTTGGTGTTCAGGCGAAGCGGAAAGAAGCCCAAAAAGCCCACCAGCCAGTGGGACTCGGCGGTGGGCAGCACGACGGGCACGGTAGTGTACGGCCACTGAGACAAACCGTTCAAACGGACCAACCGAGATCTCTTGTGCTGACAAAACAGGCCACAACCTTCGAGAGCGGTGAGGTCATGTCGTAATGCCAACAGAGGGCCGCCTTCGATGGATGCTGACAAGAATCATTGAACAACCTGACAGTTGTTGACATTTGCTGTTGTTGTTCTCGACGGGTGACATTGGCTTCCCCCTTTTGCTCTTGCAGCTGCAGCCCGTTGTCCGGTAAAGCCGCACCGTCCAATGTCAACAAAAACCCCAATGTCAACAACCGATGCGCCCAACATGGGACCTCAGCCAGAGACCACGCGACATGGGACGATGCACGGGGCCCAGCAAGCAGGCGTCAGACCGCATTTCCGCCCCGGAGCGTCGATGAACAATTGACCTCTGCCCTAGACGAGCGTGCGAGGTGGGCAACGCCACGAAGAGAGAAAAGGAAAAAAAAAATTGTCAAGGGAATCCCCTCATGCAATTTCGCTCGCACGAAATGGGCAAATCATGCAAACGGGCATGAAGCCGTTTAATAGCACCCGCCCAGCGATCGAGATTTGCACGCCAAAGAGACGGGACACTCCCGGGTGGCCTCACGACGTGTTCCTGGCCCGCTCCGTCCAAGCCCTTGGGTTCATGCCCGGGACGTAGGTAAATTCATGACCGCGGGGCTCCCTGTCTGAGCACGAGTTGCCCTTCCGGGTCTCCTGGCGGTCCTCGGCTTCCCCTCCTATCGCCCTTCCTGCGCGGTCCCTTATCGCTATCAATAACGGGCCGACGGTAACCCGTTCGCAACGAATGACTAAAGTGCCCGAAACAACGATACCCGCTTTGATTGGCCCAACAGCTTCCCTGGGGTCAGAGAGCCCGGCTTCGGCAGATACGTACCGATAACCTATCAACCCAGGCCTAAATTCCCCAGAGCTCTCTCAAGTCGCTTGTTCTGACCTCATTATCTCAATCCCACTTCCAACAAACCGCATCCCCCAACGCCCTCACGACCGCAACAATGGCCTCAATTGCTCGCAGCATGAGGGCAGTCCGCCCCTCCGCCCTCTCCCAGATCACAAAGGCCGCCCCCCGCGCAGCTTTCCCCCGTCCCGCGCAGCGTGCCTTCTCTACGACCCCCATCAGTGAGCTCTATCGCGTCTCGGCTACCGTCCCGAAGCATCAAGACTGACCTTCGGATCTCTTCCGAACCACTCCAGGCTTAATACGCAAGTACACAAAGGACCACGAGTGGGTTGACCTCAACGCCGACAAGAAGACGGGCGTCGTTGGTATCTCCGAGTACGCTGCCGAGCAGCTGGGCGACGTCGTCTACGTCGAGCTGCCCGAGGAGGGCGCCCAGGTCGCCCAGGGCGACGCCATCGGTGCCGTCGAGTCCGTGAAGAGCGCCGCCGACATCAACGCTCCCATCAGCTGCAAGGTCACCCAGGTCAACCTCGGCCTCGAGGAGAAGCCCGGCACCATCAACAAGGTCCCCGAGGACGACTCTCACGGCGGCGGCTGGATTGCAAAGGTCGAGGTCGACGAGGCCGGCGTCCAGGAGCTCGAGTCTCTGATGAGCGAGGAGGAGTACAAGGCTTTCACCGCCTCCGATGATCACTAGATGGGCGGGGAAGAGGGAACGGTGCGGTAAAAATAAAGGGAGCCTGGCACATGTTCTGCATACGGCGGCAGGGTCTTCACCGAGCGAGGTTTTTACTTAGGGTTGCGGTTCAAACCACATTAGAACAATGCGATGATGGTCATCAAGCCCCATTCAGGGAGACAGTCTATTCCGGTATCATGCCAATGTCGTTATGATGAGAGGATGGTCGCTTCCGTCGCCGTCTGGTTACCCGGCCGCACTTGGTTGATGTCGTCGAGGATCTGTTGTGCGCCTCCGTCCACCAGGTCCTGTGCCACCAGCTTGCCAAAGTCGTCGGCCTCCTCCGCGGTAGTGATCGCCTCGATCCTCTCCGCGTCCACCCCGTGCGTGCCGTCGACGTGCACCACCGTCGCCTTGAGGCGCAGCTTCTTGCCGTCCTCGACCCAGGTCGTCTCAACGCCGATCGGCACGCTGCATCCTCCCTCGAGCGTGCGCATGACGCTCCGCTCCGCGACGCAGGCCAGCATCGTCGGCTTGTCCTCGAGCTCCTTGAGCACACTCAAAACCCGCTCGTCGCCGAAGCGCGCCTCGATGCCCAACGCGCCCTGTCCGACGGCGTGCAGGGTGCCGCTGTTCTCCGACTCGAGGAACTGCGAGATGCGCGCGCCGTAGTCCATGCGCAACAGACCGGCAGCCGCGAGGATGATGGCTGAGAAGGGGCCCTCCGGGTCGTCGCACTTGCGGAGGCGCGTCTCGATGTTTCCGCGCACGTCGGCGAACTTGAGGCCTGGGTAGCGGCGCTTCAGCTGTGCGATGCGGCGCACGCTGCTGGTGCCAATGACGCTGCCCTCGGGCAGGTCCGCGAGGGCCTTCCAGCCGTGCTTCTCGGCGAGGCTGGCCTTGAAGACGACGACGTCGCGCGGGTCCTCACGCTTGGTGACGCAGCCGAGGGTGCAGCCGTCCGGGAGCGTTGTCGGCATGTCCTTGAGGGAGTGGACGATGATGTCGAGCTCCTTGGCCACGAGCTTGGCCTCGAGCTCCGATGTCCACAGGCCCTTGCCGCCAAAGTTGTACAGCGCCGTGATCTGGTCCTTGTCGCCCAGCGTCTGCATGCTGTGGACCTCGAACGACACGTCAGGCCGCGCCTTGGAGAGGCCCTCAACGACGATCTCGGTCTGCTTCATCGCCAGCGCCGACCTGCGCGTGCCGACATGGATGATGCCGCTTTCGGCGGTGGACGGAGCGGCAGCCATTGTTGGTGGATCTGATAACGGTGTGTCGCCTCAACGCATTCGACAGATTTTATTCGAGTCGACCGAGGTCAGTTGCCAACGGATTGCTATCTGTCGTGCGGTGTGTTGAGAGATCGTGCGAATTTTGGGCCGTATTTTGTCACTTGGAGAGCACTCGGCAGGGAGCAAACGATGGCGGGGATGGAGGGGTAGCACAGGTAAGGTATGTCGGCACTGTGAAGAGACTGTAAAGGACACTGTACATGCAGGGCTCCAGGGGTCCACTCTGCGCCGCATCTCCGAGCTCCCGACTGCATCTCACGTTGTCAGGCCGAAGCTGGTGGTGACATTGTGCTCGTCATTCTCTAGCCCATGCTGTCACGTCTTCTGTCTTTACAGGTGAGCCGCAGCGAAAATTCGTTCAAATGCGAAAGAAGTTCGGCTTCGGCCAGTGGGGCGGCTTCGGCTTCGGGTCTTGGGACTACCCAAACCTGCTTTCAAATACCTGGCAATATCTAGCAAATCCTCTCCCGCTTACACCAGAACTGGAGTCGGAATGTGTATCAGAGCATCCGACACGGTGAAGAGCAAACAATGTCTGACGTGTCGATGCACATGGCACACCATAACACAGCACGATGGCCATCAATCCTCCTATTCTCCTAATCTCCTTGAGACAGCGGCGCGAGGGTAAGGTGCCTAACATGAACGCTCAGGGGATGGTCCCACTGATGCTCAAGTGCGAGGGCACTCTAGCACAGTTGGCGAGCACATGCAATACTAGTCTACGTTTCATTGGGCGACGGCATTCCGTTGCTTCGGACCCTGACGTGGTCAGCATCCTCTCACCCTCGTCGAGTCCTGTGGCACCCGCATCATGGACGGTTTACTTGTGGACTTCGAGGTTAGACTGGAGCACGCGTCGGGGATCTCATGACGCTGCTGCGCACAACTGTCAAGCTGCGCGGCGGTCGTGATCTTGCATACTGATGGTATGCTGGTCATGTATATTCTTGGGACAGTCTGACGTACGGTTCCTGGAGAAGCCCAGCGAGCCATTTATCATCATTGTATGCTTATGTTCCCGCGGGCTTGAGTGATCAGGAAAGAGACCAAGAAAGCATCAAGACCAACCGAGGACACATCACTGTCAAAGTCGTGAACACATCTACTATGTCCTACCTTCGCACTTCGCCTCCGTCCCGCTCAGTGCGACTTTCCCTACGGGTGGAACAAACAACGTGGATGCAACCTCACGACGCGCCATCGAAAACATCACTCGATCGCTCCATCGGCTCTGAGTCTATGTCAAGATGTTGCCAGCGAGAGCTTTTCACGACATCGACGATGTATAAAGAGCGTCAACTGGTCGTTCCCACTACCCTATCATGCTATCATTGTCCTCATCGTGACTTCTAGACCATTCAAAAATCGACCACATCTCAAATCCTACGACCATCGACCCTCTCACAACCATGAAATACACCTTCTTCACTCTAACCACCCTCCTGGCATGGGCCTGGGCCGCGCCTCAGGACCCTCAGATACCCATCTCAACCTCCCTCACGACCCTCACCGTAACCGGCCAACAGGTCCCCGTTCCCACGGAGCCCATCCCAAACAACCCGGACCCCCTCCCCGTGCCGTCTGTGCCGGTCCCCTCCGATCCGTCTCAGCCCGCGCCTCCTTCCGGCGGCCCTCATTGCGTCTGCGGCGCGACCTACTGCGGCAAGGTCCTCATGGGCTTCCAAGGTAAGTGGCTCCTCGAAACCCCGACCCGGTCAAGGAGAGCTCTGCAAGAAACACGTCTCTGATGCCAGATCAGGCTACACAGCCGAGCAAGTCGGCCAAGGCTACTGCTCCACCAACGGCACGGACTGCGCCTCCGCCGCCCCGGCCCCAGAGTCGCTCCAGAACAACCTCTTCGTTTGCATCTGCCCGCAGGGCCAGAAGGAGGGCTCCACCATCGAGCTCCTCTGCACCTGCCAGGGCCGCTGCAAGAACGACGAGCCCGACTTTATCGGCCGCTGTGAGACCCCTTGTAATCTCGGATACGCCCCCGCGGCCCCGGTTCCGCTCCCCGTACCCGTGCCGGTTGAGCCTGCTCCCATCCCGAACGAGCCGGTCCCGGCTCCCGCGCCTCCCGTGAAGCGACGGACGTGACGGCTTGCGTTTGGGACGTTGTCCAGTTGAGAACTCTTGGGGCCGTCTCCATTCTTCATGTTGCCGCCTCTTGTTGCGGGCCAACGGGGGCTGAGAGGGACATTTCTGTCGGTGCCCCATGAAGGGTCTGACTTCCACACTCGTTACGATTGATGAGTATACGAGGAGATATCTTGGCAGATATGCTGTCCATTGGGCAGACCACGCTCTCTAGGTTTAGGCACTAGCATTCTCTTGTTGACGTCTGTTTTACTACTGCCTATACGATGTGTGCAATTGTCAACCCATGATTGCGTCCAATACTGAGCACAAGGGTAAACGTTCATTGACTATCTTGAAAAACTACAATCTCAAAGCAGCGACAGAATCACTAATCGGTATGTGCAAAACTCCGAATGCCAAACGGGCATCTTAAGATTAAGGAGAAAAAAAGAAGCATGCTAGAGAGCTCCTTGTAGATGCAGCGCCTCTAAAAGATACTTTCAAGCCAGGATATACCACCGAGATTGCGGTTTTTCAACGTTGCGTAAAGGAGATCTCTCTAGAATCTATGTTGCTCGGGCCTCGACGGCTGCTTTGATTGCTACGAGGGGTGGTCAGCGGAACGTCCTGACGGAAAAACGAGGGAATACACACCGTCGCAAGTCACTTTGGCGTCTCCAAACAACATGCGCGTTCCGGGCATGTAGAACATGGGGTTCGGTACGTCGGCTGCCTTGGTCAGCATTCATCTACGCCCTCGCTCGGGAAAAACTCACCATAGCCGCTGGCCATGCCTCTCTTCATCACAATGACCTGCTTGCTCTTCCACGCCTGCAGCACGGGCATACCCGCGATCGGGCTGCCCGGTTCCAGCGCGATGGGGTTGACGGTATCGTTGGCGCCAATGACCAGAGTGACGTCCGTCTCCCCAAAGTCGTCGTTGATCTCGTCCATTTCCAGTACAATGTCGTACGGCACGCTCGCCTCCGCCAGGAGCACATTGCACTGCCCGGGCATGCGACCGGCCACGGGGTGGATCGCGAAGCGGACGTTGATGCCCTTGGCGCGGAGCATGCTCGTGATCTCGCTGATGGCGTACTGCGCCTTGGCGACGGCCATGCCGTACCCGACAACAATGATGACGTTCTCGGCGTTGATGAGCGCCTCGGCCGTGTCCTCGATGTTGGTCTGCGTCACGACGCCCTCCATCTTGTAGTCCGTCTGTGCCGGCGCCGATATGCCGCCAAAAAGGACGTTTGTGAGCGAACGATTCATTGCCACGCACATGATGTAAGAGAGGATGGAGCCTGACACGCCAATGAGCGCGCCGACCGTGGTGAGGAGCGGATTGTCCAGCATGAAACCCTCTGCCACGAGCGCGAAGCCCGAGTAGGCGTTGAGCACGGTGATGACGACGGGCATGTCTGCCCCGCCAATGGCGGCCGTCGTGGTAAACCCCTTGGCGAAGGAAAGGATCGTGTTGGCTGACAGGGCCGCGGCGGCGATCATGGGCGAGCCAGGCGCCATGGTCACAAACGCGCCCATCGTGGCGATATTGGCCGTCAACATGCCCGAATTGAGGAAGTGTTTGCCCGGGAGGACAATCGGGCGGGACGACATCCGTCCCGCGAGCTTGAGGAAGGCGACGATGGAGCCTGTGAAGGTGATGCCACCAATGAGGACGCCAAGATAGCCTGTAACCAGGTGCAGCGTCGAAATGTCGTCGATGTGCGCCATGACACTTCCAATGGAAGTCAGCACGGCCGCTAGACCGACGACAGAGTGGAGTGCGGCGACAGTCTGAGGAAGGTCTGTAGGAGTAATCCGCTTTCCGATGAGTATACCGGCGATGCTACCCAAAGCTGCGAGGCCGCCGAACTGCACGAGGACGTCCGGGGAGAAGCCGACGGCCAGCAGCGACGCCAACACGCCGGAGCCTACTCCGAGCATGCCAAGCATGTTGCCCATACGGGCTGTCGCTTGCGAAGCCAGACTGGAGAGGGAGCTGATGCACAGCACGGAGCTGACAGCATAACCGGCCTGGACAAGGCCTGCGGTTCCCGTAGCGGCTGCGGCGATGTAGCCTCCACCAAACAGGGCTGCTGGGATGGCGTACAGCCACGGGTATTCTGGCGGGTCAGTCGGCCGCTTGAACATGTCCAGCATACGCTTTGTGATTACAAAGCCGCCAGACACGTTCACGAAGGCGAGGAGGACGGAAGCTGCGCCGAGGACCTGAGGAAAGGTTTGCGGGACGTAGCCGCCGCCCAAAATGAAGAGACCGCCAATTCCAACCATGCCTGGGCCTTGTTAGTCATCTTCGTGAACGTGCTGACCGCCGAACGTACCTGAGATGGCGTTGGTGACACTCATGAGAGGTGAATGAAGGGCTGGCGTCACCCCCCACACGACCCTGTAGCCGATCAAAGAGGCGAGGGCGAAGGTAAAGGCGTTGCCCATGAACAGAGGGCCTGTCATCTTGCCCAAAGCCAAAGCGGCTCCCATACCTGCCGTGACCGTCGCGACTTCGCGGGATGTCTTCTGGAAAGGAGTGAGGGCTACGACCTCAGCTTCTTTCGTCACGGGCGGAACTTGAGCCGGTGCTGGCGGCGGCGCCTTCCGGGGAGGTGGGGGGAGGACATCGCCCTTCAGGGTGACGATGGCTCCTCGTACAACCTCATCAGTGAGATCGATGCCGAATTCCTTCTCCTTGGGTGCCATGGAGAGGAAGAACTTGGTGACGTTGTTGGAGTACAGAGTCGAGGATTGCGTAGGCAGTCTTGAAGGGAGGTCAGTGTAGCCTGAGACTGTGAGCCGAGGTTTTTCAAAGTTCACTTCGAGACTTACCAATGATCTTAACGTCCTTGTAGGTATACAGTTCTCCGGGCTTCGTCTTTTCGCAGTTGCCGCCGGCCTCAGCCGCCAGGTCTACCACCACGGAGCCAGGTTTCATGGCCTCAAGCATGGACTTCGTGATGAGCTTCGGAGCGGGCTTTCCGGGGATCAAGGCGGTGGTAATAATGATGTCGACTTCGCGCGCTTGCTCGTAGAAGAGCTTCATTTCGGCCTCGATAAACTCTTTGGACATCTCCTTGGCGTATCCGCCAGCACCAGAGCCGTCCTCCTTGATGTCGACCTCGATGAACTCGGCGCCGAGAGACTGCACCTGCTCCCGAGCCGCTGGACGCGTGTCGAAGCCTCGCACGATGGCGCCGAGTCTCCTCGCAGTCGCAATCGCACTGAGTCCGGCGACGCCAGCACCGATGACAAGCACTTTGCAGGGCGGGATCTTGCCGGCGGCTGTCACCTGGCCAGTCAGAAAGCGGCCAAAGTTGTTGGACGCCTCGAGGACCGCCTTGTAACCAGCAATGTTGGCCATTGAGCTGAGTGCGTCGAAGACCTGGGCGCGGGAGATTCGCGGAATGAGGTCCATGGCAAAAGATGTCGCCTTCTGCGCCGCAAGCTTCTCAACCAGCGGCTTGTTCTGGGCGGGCTGCAAAAAGGAGATGACGGTCTGGTTCTCCTTCATGAGCTCAATTTCAGAGGGAATCGGGCTACGGACTTTGAGCACTACGTCGGAGCCGGACCAGACCTGGTCGGCGGCGTCGACGAGCGTCGCGCCCGCATGATCGTAGGCCTCGTCGGTGAAATCAGCCTCGGCGCCAGCGCTGCGCTCGACCAGGACCTTGGAGAATCCCTTTTTGAGGAGGAGGGCTACGTTCTGAGGAGTCAACGCAACGCGACGCTCATTGAGAAAGATCTCCTTTGGCACGCCGACGGTGAGCTGGGAGTATGGCACGGAGGGCGGCTCTACGACGGTAGAGTATGTCGCCGTAGCCACGGCGCTCGGGCTAGACGCGACCGTGACGTGCCGAACGAGCTGTAAAGGGCGGCAGACGGCCGGGACGAGAGCTCTCATTTGGCGGCCTTGCGCATGGCTGGAATGCCATTTGCGCTGCGCGTCAACGACGAAAGCAGCCGGCACGGCATCTGATGCGGGAAATCAGCATCGCGGGGGATTCAAAGCGATTGGATTATCCGCTGTGTAGGACCAGGTTATTTGGCTCACCTGGGCTGTTCAACCATGCGCGAGGAACAAGCCGGGCGGATGCGCCCGAGGAGCATAGGTTGTAGGCCAGAGCTGGCCGCAGGACGGAGAGGTTCACCATCGTGGCGGAGCTCCGAGCACCCAGGCTAACGAGGCCAACAGGACGAGGCAGAAGGGCAGTGGTATCTCATCTGCTCGCAGCCACTGCCGGGAGGTGGGGAGACGGGTTCTCAGAGACTCGAGGGTTGATGTCGATCGTGACAAAAGAAAGCGGCAAATGGAGACAGTGAGAAAGAGAAGCCGCGAGGAAGGGAAGAGGAAAAAAAGAGAGTTAGGATTGACTTTGCGCCCAGCAAGAAAACGAGACAAACGGCCTTGTACTGTGTCACGTTCTTTGGCCGCGTCTGGCTCCATCCTCGTCCTCCGTCGCCTCCTTTGAGCTTTCTTCCCCCCCTTCTCGACCCGCGCCCGCGCATCCGTATCCTTGTTCTCTTTCACCCCAAGTTCACTGTAACCACAGATGGGAAGTGCAGAATCGGCTCAAGCGTGTCGCAGATGCCGCAACAGGAGCTCCAAGCTCCTCCAATCATTACCCGAATTGGGTGTGTTTGGAGTAGTCGCCAAGGCATTCCCCGCCCGAAGCTCCTTTTGCCTGGGTTCCCCCTCATGTGAAATAGCCGGGGACGAGCACGGTGCGGTACCTCCGCGAACGCATCCTTGGAAAGCAATCGGAGGGGGAAATAGGGAAGCAGCGCGTCGCAGAAATTCGATGGTGGTGTGCGAGCGCGCGGGTTTGGATGGACGGATGTGGTGAGATGTTGGTGGAAGTGGCCCGGTGCATGCTTCCGTGCAGGGAAGAAGCTGCAGGTAGGTGTTCTTGGCCCCTCTTCTCTAGGCAATCCTCCAAGTGTGGGGTATGGGGTTGCGGACGCTAAACATGGCGCTAGAACATGGCAGCACGGCCTTCACCCCCCCCGGCTGTTCATGCACCTGGCAAGCCATCGACGAGTCAAGGATAAAGCTCCCAAGGTTCCGCTTTTGTCATCCGGCTTGGTGCCTTGCCATTGCATCCATCGGGCCGTTGTCTCATGGGCACTCGCAACTTTGGGGGCTGCTGCGGCCATGCCGCCTAGCTTGCGACCGAGCACAAATATCACTTCAGGGCCCTGTTCTGCCCCGTGTTTGCTGCCGCGTCTCATTGCAAATGCGGGCGAGGTTGCAGCTCCTTCCCTGGATCCGTAGAGATCCGCGTCTTCCGTGGTCATTGTCTCAAATGTGGCGGACCTGCAAGAGTGCTGGTCTTACGCAGCCGAGCGCAGTACCCAACGGCCCATTGAATTGTCTAGGAAGAACGAGGGTCTGGATGAAGAACTTCGAACGCCCTTTTCATAAGTCAAGAATCAAATATCCCAAGCTTCGACGGGCCCGTCATATTCCAAGACAGGCTGCACATATCCGTTAGCTGCATGCATACGCACAGAAAAAAAAAGCAAGTATGCATCGGCTAGCTCGGAGCGTTGAAGGAAATCAGTGTAGATGCGGTAGGCAAGCAACCAATGGGATCGGTAGACCGGTAGAAGGATGATGTGAAGACTCTCGATTTTGGTGCAACGTAACAAGCAATCGCAACACCCATGTGCACAATTTGGAGGCCTTTGGGGGAAACTTATACAGCCATCGCCCATCTTTCCAGATATCTCAGCCGGCACTCGCTACCATGTATGCCTCATCCACAATCGCTCTCAATGAGCCAAAGCTTCTGCCTGTATTCCAGCGCTGTCGACTAGGATTCGTTTGCACTCTTTCGTCTTGTTCCAATGTATCAGAGACTTACGTGCTAGTCTAAGCTATGTAGAACCATCCATGTCAATTTCTTATCCTAGGTATCCTAGATACTTTTCGTGACGGCCTTACTAAAGTCCTTGCTACCAAGTATACCGATGAAGTCCTTGGGGGCCTGGCTGATGCCCCCTGCAAGTTGGATCTTGATGAGGTCTAGGGGACAATGGACGAGACTTACGGTTACTGCTCTTGTAACAGGTCGGCCGACAGTGGCCGCTCCTGACACTAACCAGTTGGGCCGCACAAGCCCAAAAGGTCTGCCAGCGCTGCTGTCAACGTTGCTTATCTAGATAGGATGGTTCATGCTTGCCTGGGCGCATCTGGACCGGCGGAATTGTCCTGTGGCAAATTTTGAGTATCGACTCCAGCTATCTGTTAGCAGGAGAAAACCACTGTCGGATATCTGACCGTGACACCCTGCCCGCCAAGACAGTTGAATAAACCTTGTGCTCCTTGTGGCTACACACTCTAGCTGTGTCACGTTGCGCTGCATTGTTCCAAGGTATAGGATGGCATATGGCCCTTTAATACTTCTAGCCTCTATTAAATCTACCTCTACATCTTCCAACTCTCTAGAATTCATGGCGCTCGATCATATCTATACTGGTGGTCCTCACCCTCTGTGCTACTCTATAAGTTTAGGTAAGCTCCTGATTGAGACTTATACATTTACTACTTGCCTTGTGATGTTGGCATCGTAACTGTAAGCAACAATTCCTTGGCGGGATCCTTTCGTCGTCCTTCATCTAAACGCAAAGCGCGGACATGCTACAGCTGTCGCCGACCTTTTTACCAGCACATGCTGCTTCGTTTGCTGCCGTAGCATCTGCAGGAAACGTTGCTTGCTGTGTGATGCAGATGTTGGTATTCCCGGCGCAGAAGAGATCATCACCCTGAACGCAAAAAGCGTACGCTTTAGTAAGCTCAGCAGAGCTATAGCAACCATTGTAACAATAAGGGCAAAAGTAAGGAAAAGTATTTTGCTTTAGTATGGATTTGTAAAGATTCTTTAGAGAGTAAAAGTTGGTAAATGCTGTAGACCTAGAGCAAGAGCTTGTGATACGACATATTTGTGTAATGCAAATGGTGCTAATCTAATGATATCTTGGATAACGTGACCTCTCTATAATTATTGTTTTTCTGTTTGCCTTGTGTGACAGACAACAGACTACACTCCCAGCGCCTGTCTAGCGACCATAGGTTTCTTTTACTTCTCCCCTGGTTACATCAGGGTTCTAGCACAAGTCACAATAGCTTCATTTGAATCAAGATCCAAGTTTAATAGGGCTACTTCTGACTTTATCTACACACATTCTAGGCTTTCTATTGCTTTAGATGGGTAGTTTTGGTCAATGAGCACTTGGTGTAGCGAGCCGTTTCCTCTCTGCAATGACTGTCGTACCCTGCCAATCTTACTTACCCTGCTTGTAAAGACGCTGCGTCTATCTATTTTTAGGTACTGATGAAGGTATATTAAGATCATCATGGTTTTTGAAACATAACCCAATGTCATATCAGGGGAAGTAGGGTTAATGCAATAGTGACGAGCTAAAAACCTTGATAAGAAAAACACGGGTTTGAGTCGCAAAACCCTAGCAGCCAAAAAGCCGTTGGGCATTCAACGGCATCACCGATTCTCCTATTGAAGTCCCGGGCCGGTAGTATTGGCAGACTGATATATTGAGAAGGGTGTACTTGCGACTGCTCGGCGAGCTCACTACAGAAACGAGTCGTCATCCTCGATGAGCCCCAGCATCTGCTGGTTACTATAAAACCAATCCTCTAACTGCGACGCGTTACCCATCCACATCATCTGGTTAAGCGGCCCTGGACCGGCGGGGTTCATGCCGTCCTCGCCGCCGCCGCCGCCGCCGCTGCTGCCGCCGCCCAAAGGTAGCGGCTCCGACCCGCTCGGCCCCACCTCGTGTGACTGCCCCGACGACGGGAACCCGAGTGCCGTCAGGTACTTATCCATCTCCTGGCTCGCCTGCGCCTGCTCGGACTGCTGTGAGTTATTGTGCATCTCGACGTAGCGGAACGCGACGTTGTAGAGGACCTGGAAGAGCCGATAGAGCTTCGCCGACGCCTCGGTGAAGTCTTTGGCGCCGGAAATCGACGCGACGAAGCCTTGTAGTCGGGCCAGGTCCGCAGCGTCGCTGGTTTCTAGAACTTGGCAGAACAGCACGATGAAAGGAACGAACGGTGCGAAGAGGATGGTCCTGAGTCGTCAGTTGTACTGCTCGAGCGTGCTGGGAGACGCTGACCCAATTCGGGACTTGTTCTTACTCACCAATTCATGTACATGGGAAACAGATAATAGCCGTCCTTGGCCATGACCGCCATGCAATCTTCGTGCCGTTTCAGAGTTGCTCTCGCAGCATTGATGCACTCCGTGCCAAAGGTAGTGATTGAGCCCGGAGGTGAGGGGACCGCTCGGTATATGATGGTGAGTAGAGACAACCTCAGCACCTCGTCGGATACGTTGAAGAATTCCATCGTGTTTTGGCCGACAGCCTCAATCGCTGACTCCAGATGCTGTGCCTACAAATCTGTCAGTCTCCGTGAATGTCAAGAGATACTTGAAACCACTCACATGCGTTTCCTGAGTGCGGTCCGTCACTTGCTGGAGTTCTGCAGCTAACCCCCGCGCGCGACCTTCTCGAATCGAGCTGGGCTGCGATATTGCTTCGGGGCTGTACAGAAGTTCATAGGTCTTGCCTTGGATTCTGGAGACAATTACCCACAAGCAAAAGTAGCTCATTAGCGCACCGTGTATTTTACTGCTGCTCGAGGGATAGGGGACAGTGATGTCGTAGTCTGAGATCGTCGACGGGCGACCCAAGCGAAGGGACAGCGACTTGTCTACAAAGTAGACGGACCAGAATAGGAACGTCTTGTAGTCTTCGTCATCGGGGTTGCCGCTCCTGACGGATGCGATTCGGTGGTATCCGAGGGTCTGGCACAGCTGGGCCGAGGCCGTGTTCAGCGTCCAGGCAAGGTTTGGCTTTGCTACTTCCATGGCGTGGTAGGCCTGATGAGTGTCAGCTGGTACAAGAAGAGACTGCAGTACAACCTACACCAAACAACAATGCCACAACCATGTCCATGGTGGCTGGTAGATGCAGAGGTAAATTGACCAACGCAGTCTCGAGGTTACTGCTGCAGAGTGTCCCCATTTTTGTGTACTCCTCCTTGAGGTTTTCCGTCGTGGCCTTGTTCATGGACATATCCAGGTAGAGGCATTCTAGACCGGAATTCACGATGATGAATTCAGCCTCGTTGAAATCTTTTTGTGAAAAGTAGACTTTGAGAACCAAGTCGGTGAAGTGATCCGGGTGGAGGAAGTTTGTTATCCACTCCAGGCCGAGAGTTCTGTGAGCTAGGCAGATTTAGCATCAAGCATAGGTTAGTTGCAGTCGCCAAACATACCTTTTGCCTGACGGATAACATTGACTGCGGACTGCACTGGAGGCATCTCGCAGTCCCCGAGAGCAGGCCTTACCATAGGCCCAGCATTGGGATATGTCAGCTCGTGGATGGCGGGTTGCTGCTTCAGCGCATCGACCAGGGAGTGGAGGGCGTCGAGTGTCTCTCGCATTTCTAGGACGGAAGAGCCGTCCCCGACAGTTTTTCGGAGGAAATCATGGGCGAAGATTGACTGAGCCGTCATCGACGACTCCCCTTCCACCAAAGGACCACTCGTCTGGGCAGAGGTGGCATGGCTTGCGGGCGTCGAGATGGACGAAGAGATGGGTTTCGGCTGCGCGAGAACCGGTATCGATGTAAACGTTGACGTCTCCGGCGCTTTTGGTGTTACTGAGGGGGCGGGAAACTGTAGTTTGAGGTCTTCAAGGAGGCGGACGACGTCATCGAGCCGCCGGTCTATGAGGTCGATCTTCTTCTCACTGGGCAGGTGAGGATGGAGGTTGAACACAGACACATATGGACTTACTATTGAGGGGTGATAAGAATGCGAGTCCTCTTCTCTTTCGGCTTGAGTCCCGAGGTGTTCTTGCACTCGATGCCGGCATGTTGGCAGTGAGCACAGGGGGTCTCCCTATCACAGCGAATCTGAGGCAAAGTAATCAGCCCTACGCACCCAAGCATCCGGCACTCTGCCCCGTGACGATGTGCCAGTGGGGTTGGTCATACCTTGCGCGCACGGCAAGCATCACACTGCCAAAGTATTAGTTTGGCGGGTCTTGACGCATGGGATACAATGTGGGAAACTCGCCGCTCGTTTGATCGGAAGGTTGGAGCCGCCAGCAGAGACGCCTGCACTAGCACCGGCAGTTGGAGGTTCAACATCCATAACGGCCGTCGTTAAGTTGCCAGATCCGACAAGCAGGTCGTGCCTACAACGTCGATGAGTAAGGGGGCCGCGGGGAGCTCGCGGGCCGTGTGAGCGAGATCCGATTCTGGATGTGGCATGGGAGAAGTGGGATCGCCAAGACAGAACCCGGAGGATGGCACAGTCGGGCCCCGAGTAATCGGAAAAGAAAGAGTGGGTGTAGGAATTCGGAACTCAGGAACAATGGTCGACGAGACGAACGCGGCCGGAGGCTACTAAGAAGGACGGAGGCGCAGCGCGCGGGTTCCGCGTTCAGAGCACTCTGCACGGCGGCCGCCCTACGCTAGCCGAGCTTCTGTCGTGATGTCTTGGGAGCCAAGGTCCGCACTAGAGGCTGTTGGCCTTGGGCCACGGACGTATCTGCAGTTTGAAAGGAGATGAGCAGCGGTTTGGAGGGGTTGTGAAGGGATTCGACCCATATGAATGGTTGCAGAGAGGGAGCAGCACAATTTTGGCCGTTAAGCTTCCCTGCAATGAGACGCTCAGGGGTTCAGCACTGCCAGCTCCGCAGTTCCTAGCTAGGTTCACCTAAGCCGACAAGCCGCTGAACATTGTAGAGAGAGAGTAAAGCTGGGACCCTGGGCTAATTTGGTACTAACTACAGAAGCCCAGAGAATTGATTCGTCAGTATAAGAACTGTACAAGTCAAAACACGGCTGCCTGGGCTGGCGCTACACCATAGTCTATTCAGACTTATCCCACCGGCAGAGCTGGGATGTCATCGCCAAGTGCCGTGGTAGGTGGCGGCAATTAGGATAGACGCAATTGGCGGCAGCTAATGGCTAAGGCATTGCTATGCAGCCCGGGCTAGTGACTCGAGTTGAACATTGAGCGAACGTTTCGTCGACTTGCCCGTTCGCATACTGTTACAACTTTGACCTTATCACACCACCGATCCAATCTGTCGATGACCTAATGTTTTGGATACAAAAGACGGCGATGAGGACGACGACAATAATAACAAATCAAAGAGACGTTGCTGACGCTGGGCCAATCAGAGAGTAGTACATCATACCAGCTGGATGACCCTTCCGTTGACCTGGTTGCTTGGCTGCCGAGTTGCAAGCATGTTCGCGATGAAATGCGGCAGCCTTGGCAGAGTCCGAAACTCCTACCAGCATACCCTCACACAATGGCCTAAATTGACAGTGGCCATGGCCGTGAGGGGGCGAGGCGGAGCCAATAGGCCCATCTGTCCAGCAATGCGAGTGCAAAGCGTTGCGACGCATGCCGTCGTTGGCCGCCGGTATGTGTCAGATAACGCCGTTTGATGCCGGCGAAGAGTCAGCTTCATCACCATCGCAGACGAACTTCCGTCTATTCGGACTTTCGGATTTTCGACGAGTCAACCAGCCAGTCCGTCCTGCTGACAAGTAATGGTTACGGCGGGCTTTAACATTGTTTGGCCAACGGACTCGAGGCAGTGATTCTGAGGCTCTCGCGTCCCGAGAGCACCGCGCTCCGTCAAAAATCGGCACACTTGCAGCGAAAAACTGCGAGTGGGAGACCGGCCAAAGCGCCCCGCGGCCCCCGCCGGTTGTCCGCCAAGATGGGCTCGACCAATCAGCCTCGGCCGTTTCATCACTTCTAGTCCATGACGGCGGCCCGCCGGGCAACTCGGCCGTGCTTCAATGACGAAGCTGGCGACATTGGCAGTCAGTCATTTCGCGAATGCGTCGCAAACGCTGCAGGATCCTGTCAGACGTAAATGCCAACATGCACGTCCTCCTTGATATCTGGGCGACACACATCGTGTTCTTTTTGAGGCAGGTTCGAGTATCGTCTTTTATTAATCCGATTTCTCCATCCCATCCGAGGTTCCAAAAGGCTCTAAAACTACCTTGCTGTGTCAGGTGGAAACACACACACGCGCGTCATTGCCTAGCTTGGATTCGGGAACCACGCAACCCGTGACATTGCGGCTCTCTCCAACAACCTCCGGCCGCAACAATGGGGGCCGAATCCGAAAAAAAGGGGCACCCTCCGGCCGAGAACGCTCTTACCGCGGCGAGCTCGCCGGAAGAAGCCGTGAAAGAGGAGGGTGGCGCATTCAAGGCCTACTTGGTATGAGATCATACCCATGGCGTCGCTTTTCTGGATGTGCATGCGCTGACCCCTGATGCAGCGGATTTTCAAATTCGGAGGACCATTTGAAAAGTCCCTACAGGCCGTTGCCTTGATCTGCGCGGTGGCCTCCGGTGCTGGTATCGCCCTTCAGAACTTAATCTTCGGCTCATTTGTCACCATCATCCAAGACTTCACCACTGGAAAGTCTTCACCTGCTCACTTCCGCAGCGAAGCCGCCAAGCTCGCGTAAGTTCAGTGCTCCTCGCGTCAAAGACATCACGCTCACAGTTCCAGCCTCTACTTTGTCTACCTGGGCATCGCGAGATTCGTCCTCTCCTATGGCTACATCTCTCTGACAACCTTCTCTGCCTACCGCATCACAAGGAACATCCGTCACAAGTATCTGCATGCTGCTCTCCGGCAAGAGGTCGCCTTTTACGACATTGGCTCCGGCGGCTCCATCGCAACCCAGGCCATCTCCAACGGACGCCTGATCCAGGTTGGCATTGCTGAGAAGCTTGCCCTGACGTTCCAGGGGTTGTCCGTCTTCGTCACCGCCTTCATTGTCGCCTTCGTTACGCAATGGAAACTCACGCTCATCGTCCTGTGCATCGCGCCGTTGATCCTAGGGGTCATGGGCGTGGTATCGACGATTGAGGCTTCCATTGAAACCAAGATCCTCAACATCTATGCCCAGGCTGGGTCCTTCACCGAGGGCATCCTCTCCAGCGCCCGCACCGTCCACGCCTTCGAGATCCGGACGAGGCTGGTTCAGAAATTTGACAAGTTCCTCGAAGATGCCCATCGCCTGGGAAAGAAGAAGTCCCCGCTTTTCGGCGTTCTGTTCTCCTTCGAGTACTTTGTCATCTACGCTGGCTTCGCCTTGGCTTTCTGGCAGGGCATCCACATGCTGAACCGTGGGGAGATTACGGAGTCTGGAGACATCTTTACGTATGTATTGTTATGCAGGGGAAGGATTCTCGCTAACTAATCCAGGGTCCTCTTGTCAGTGGTTATTGGTGCTACCAGTCTGACCATGTTAGCACCCTACATTATCGAGTTCACCCGCGCTGCCTCGGCGGCCGCCCAGCTCTTCAAGCTCATTGACCGACAATCTGAAATTGACCCCTTTGACAAGTCTGGCGAGCAGCCTACCGAGACCGTGGGTGTTGTTGATTTGGAGAACATCACCTTCGAGTATCCCACCCGCCCTGGCGTTACAGTGCTGAAAAATTATTCCCTGCATGTGCCTGCTGGCAAGGTGACGGCGCTCGTGGTAGGTTTGTTCGGGTACAAATGAGTTGGTTTCGTCTGACAGTTTCTAGGGATCCAGTGGCTCTGGCAAGAGTACAATAATTGGCCTGATCGAGCGATGGTACAACCCCAAGGCTGGTACCATCAAACTTGACGGTACGCCGATTGAGAAACTCAACCTCAACTGGCTCAGAAAGAATGTTCGCCTGGTTCAGCAGGTACGCATAATCGACCCTGAAGCACCTGCTTAATACTAACATCCCCAGGAACCCGTCCTGTTTCAGGGAACCGTGTTCGAAAACATTGCCAATGGACTTGTCGGAACCCCGTGGGAGAATGCATCTCGTGAGGAGCAGCTGCGGCGTGTGCAAGAAGCTGCCAAAATCGCGTTCGCTCACGACTTTGTCTCGCAACTTCCGGAGGGCTATGAAACCATGATTGGCGAACGCGGAGGTCTCTTGTCAGGTGGGCAGAAACAGCGTGTTGCCATCGCTCGCAGTATCATCTCGGAACCCAAAGTACTCCTCCTCGACGAAGCCACAAGTGCCCTGGACCCTCATGCCGAAGGCGTTGTGCAACAGGCTCTGGACAAGGCATCCGAGGGCCGTACGACGATTGTCATTGCCCACAAACTGGCTACAATTCGCAAGGCAGACAACATTGTGGTCATGAACAAGGGCACTATCGTCGAGCAGGGCACCCACGAAGGGCTCATCCAGCAGGACGGCGCCTACACTCGTCTTGTGAGAGCGCAGAATCTGAACGTCTCTGACGATGGGTCGATCACCGAAACGGAGGAAGAGGAAGAGACCGCCACGAAAGAGAATATTGACCTTACCAAGACCATTAGCCGCTACCGAACCACAGACCAGGCACGCATGGAGGCCCAGAAGGAGCGAGACAACTACGACAACTATAAGCCGATTGGTCTGATCAGCGTCGTTATCCGCATGGTGCGCGAAACCCCGGAGTTGAAGTGGGCCTACATTGGGACCATCATTGCTGTAGTTGGTGCTGGTACGTCTTCTAGAAGCGCTGTTCGATATGCTTGCTAACGTCACGTAGTTGGCGCGTTTCCTGGCCAGTCATTGATCATCGGGAACCTGGTCGACGTGTTCGCACTTACGAGCTCCGAGATGATAAGGAAGGGAAACTTCTACTCTTTAATGTTCTTTGTCCTGGCCCTCGGTGTGCTTGTCTGCTACTTTGCCATGGGCGTGACTACAAACATGATCGCCCAGGGGTTGAACCACAAGCTCCGAAAACAATGTCTCAACGACTTCCTTCGGCAAGATCTCCAATTCTTCGACCGCAGAGAGAACAACACTGGAGCGTTGGCAAGTAGGCTCGAGTCCAACCCCCAGGCCATTCTGGAGCTCATGGGGTTCAACATTGGATTGATCTTGATCTCAACACTCAATGTCCTTGCTTGCAGTATCTTGGCCATCGCTACAACCTGGAAGCTTGGCTTGGTCGTCGTTTTCGCTGGTCTACCGCCCCTTGTCAGTGCTGGCTACATCAAGGTTCGCCTTGACGCCAAGCTAGACGCCAGCACTTCTAAGCGATACTCTTCGAGCGCCGCCATTGCGTCAGAGTCGGTCACGGCTATTAGGACGGTGTCTTCCCTGGCCATTGAAGAGACAGTCTTGAAGAGATACACTGACGAGCTCGACCACGCTGTCTGGGCCTCAACTGCGCCGCTCTTTACCATGACGGTTGCCTTTGGCCTGACCCAGTGTATTGAGTACTTTTTCCAGGCTCTCGGTTTCTGGTGAGTATACCAAATTTTACCCCGGAGTTCTTGCAACTGACATACACGACAGGTACGGATGTCGGTTGCTTTCCTTCCAGGAGGTCACCATGTACCAGTTCTTCGTTGCGTTCATGGGAACCTTCTTCTCCGGGCAGGCTGCTTCCCAGCTGTTCCAGTATTCGAGCAGTAAGCAATGCGCTAGCACGTCCTTTGCTCGATTCTAACCATCCTTAGGCATGACCAAGGGCATCAACGCCGCGAACTACCTGTTCTGGCTGCACGACCTGCAGCCCACCATCCAGGAGACGCCCCAAAACCGCGATGCTGCACCCAAGGCTGGCAACGAGCTTGGCTTTGATCAGCTTCGCTTCTCGTACCCCCTGCGGCCTGAGGCGCATGTCCTCCGCGGTATCGACCTCGAGGTGAGCAGCAGCACAAATGTCACGAGGTCGTTTCAAGCTAACGTGACCTAGATCAAAAAGGGCCAGTTCGTCGCCCTTGTGGGAGCCTCTGGTTGCGGCAAGTCTACGATGATTGCCATACTCGAACGCTTTTACGACCCGGCGACCGGCACGATCTGCATTGATGGTGACGCCCTTTCTGAGCTCAACCCTCGCCTATACCGCCGCATTGTCGCTCTAGTCCAGCAGGAGCCGACCCTGTTTCAGGGCAGCATTCGCGAGAATATTGCGCTGGGTATTGACGCCGAGTCCATCACCGACGTGCCGGACGCGCAGATCGAGACGGCCTGCCGCGCAGCTAACGCGTGGGACTTTGTGTCGTCGCTTCCCGAGGGCCTGGCAACCCCTTGCGGTAGCAGCGGCATACAGTTGTCGGGTGGTCAAAGGCAGCGGATCGCCATCGCGAGAGCGCTCATCCGCAACCCTAAGATTTTGCTCCTCGACGAGGCGACGAGCGCCCTCGACACGGAGTCAGAGAAGATTGTGCAGCGCGCCCTCAACGACGCTGCCCGCGACGGCGAGAGAATCACAATCGCCGTTGCGCATCGACTGTCCACTGTCAAGGACGCGGATATGATCTGCGTCTTCTACGGGGGCAGGATCGTGGAGAGGGGCACGCATTCACAACTTGTTGCCAAGGGTGGCATGTACAAACAAATGTGTGAGGCGCAGAATCTGGAATAGGTACATTCTTGAAGCTTTCAATTTGATGAGAATTCCTCTACGTTTGCTTGGGACTAGGCGCGAGCCTCTCCATCGTAGAGTATGGCGTTAGGAAGGATTTGTACAACACCAAGATACGCTGCGCATCTTAGGCTTGGGTAGAGAATTAGACTAGTGTAATGTTTGAACAAGAGGTTACTTTCAGCTTTGCACGCCGCTGCTTGTGAGCTGGCGCCCTCGAGACAGGCCGTTTCATCAACTTCTTTCCAGCAAAGTGAGGAAGCTGCAAAACGCTTCGGCTTTTTATTTATTTAATGCCCAGGCCAGTGAGTAGTAATGGTCGTTCGATCGAGGATGAGAGGCTGAAGGACCACGTCTCGTGCACCTTTGATCGAAAGACATGTTCCACATCCACCATCAACTGTCTTCCAATGACGAACGGATTAACATTAATGCCCCAACCTACGTAGTTATGTCTTTTTCCTAACCGAGCTGTTGTGCAGAGTACTCCCGCACATCTTCGGAATCGCGGCATAGTGCATATGAATCCTTCGAACCCTGGCTTGTCGCTAGACAAAAGGACCACCAGCGCTCTGAGCCGTCGTCAACTTCGCCAGAGCACTGGTCTAGGCCGCCAGTTTCTTATTTTTTTTTTGGGGGGTTTTTTTTTACAGCAATAACCAATTACCTACCTAAGGTAGGTAGGTGTCGACTCACTCGACCTCTGGCGCAGCTGCCCTTTTGGTAAAGACCCTCCCGCCCTTGTGGCAAGACAAAGACCCCCACACTTCCTCTCGGGCACGTATCATCTCCAAAGGGAGCCTGCAAAGTTTTCCTAAGGCGGAACGTGTGTTAGTCAATGGCTTTGGCCAAGCACTAATTCTCGGGATAACCAAGGAAAGCTTCTCGAATCTTGGCGAGGACAGCTTCCCGGAAACCTATCAGAGCTCAACGGGTTGCTTCTTGGCGTTTGCAACATCAAGTACGAAAACAGAGTCCGAAATGCGCTGTTCAAGCAAACCGCTTTGCTGTACCTGCCACCTGTTCTTCATGGATCATCTTGGCTTATGCAGATGTACTCCAACGATTTTAGGATTTCAGTAAAGTCTTCCAGATGAGATGGTGAGCTTATCCCCTCGAGACTCCCACCCCCGCCGCCTACCCTGGTCTCCGACTCACACTATAGACAGCCAATCAAAGACGGTACTTCACCCACGAGGTCTGAGCGAACGGCCAAGGTCAGTCCTCCGGGCTACAATCTCAGCAATCACCCGCCAAGACAACTCTCTCTAATCCTAGAAACGAGGCCCCACGAGCCGGCCAGAACTGACAGCATTGGCGAATCACCATCCTCTCTAAAGAGATCGAAATCATTTAAAGCTCGCGTCTCTCTTGACCTGCAGCGCCAAGCAAACGCCACATGACGCCGTTCATCTGTTCTGCCCTCGATACCCCAGGCCTCCAGGCTTCATCCCCAATTCGACGACCGACGACGCAGCTTCCTCTTGCTGTCCCTGGCATTATCTCCGGCTACCGCAGTTGACAAGAGTCTTGGCAGTGAATGCCCGGTATGCCGAGCCTTCAACTCGCGCAACACGTGCCTCTTCCGCTCACATTGAGCCGTAAAGTAGCATTCAGCTTCCTTCGTCCCAACATCCCGTCACCGACGCCGTCATGACATCGGCCTACCCGTCTCTCTGCGAGCCAATCATGAGCCGATGCTGAGACTCGGGCGACGGAATCACACCCAACGCGTTGGTCCAAAGTTCCTTCAGCTGAGATTACTACGCGCAACCTGCAGTATTCATCCCGGCTCCAGCGATCCTTGGCTCGCGAATGCGATGATCCGCGAACCACAATGCTGCCATGCAGCGAAGACATGGTGCTGGGGGGTTGGTTGGACTTTTGGCGGGGGTGAGACCCGATTCACATGGGACGATTTTTCGCGCTGGTTGTAGTATATATATCAGCTCTTGGTCTGCAGGAAGCTCTTTCCCAAGCTTGGAAGTTTGCCCTTCTTCCGTCCACGCTTCACCGTCTACTCCGACTCCATTGGCAGCCAATTCATCGCAGTCGGATCAACATGATGGCAAAGCTCAGCCCTCTCGCAGTCCTGGCTGCGTCGCTGTCCCTCGTGTCAGCGCAGACCTACCAGCGACTCGGAACCTGCCCAGACCTTGGTTGTGTCCTGCCGCCCGACCAGTCCGACTTCCTCCCGGGTCAGCTGTTCGACCTCCGCGTTGAGGTCCATGCCCCCGTCAACGGTTCCGAGGCTTTCAACAACGGCGTCCCCGATGAGGCCTTCACGGTCAGCATCACCAAGGAGGGCGCCGAGGCCAAGAGCCTGACCGATTTCTTCGGTCTCGAGGAGCCCGAGCTTGAGAAGTGGACCTTCGGTTGGTACGAGGACCTCTTCGCCGAAGACGCGAAGCAGAAGAGCATCGTCAACGTGGCCTCCAAGATCTGGCGCCACATTGCTCTGTACGAGCCCGGCAACTACGAGGTCACTCTCAAGTACTACGACGGCAAGACCACCACCGCCAACTGGGTCGTGCGACCCTTGGCGACGGAGAAGAAGGCCAAGAACGTCATCTTCTTCATTGGTGACGGTATGACCACAAACATGGTACTTACACCCGCACGCAATCGTCGCAGCTGCTTCTAACACACTGCAGGTCACTGCTGCCCGCCTCCTCGGTCACAAGAGCATCAACGGAAAGTACCAGACCAGCTTGGCTCTGGACAAGTTCCCGGTCATCGGCCACCAGATGACGCACTCTATTGACAGCTATATCACCGACTCTGCCAACTCTGCGTCTGCGCTGTACTCTGGTCACAAGAGCACCGTCAACGCCATGGGGTGAGCCCGATTGATGCTATCTGATGGAGTTTTGCTGACTGTGTTAGCGTCTACGCCGACTCTTCGCCTGACGCTTTTGATGACCCCAAGGTCGAGACCATTGTTGAGCTGATCCACCGTATCTGGGTATGTTTGTCGTTCTAGACTTCAAGTCATGTACTGACTTTCCAGGGCTCCGCCTGGGGTGCTGTCTCCACGGCCTTTATTGCCGATGCCACTCCCATTGCCCTGACCGCCCACACCCGCTCCCGCTCCCTGTACGGACCCCTCATCGACCAAGCCCTCAACGGTGTCACGAACTACACCTGGACCAAGATGACCGGTCCCGACGTCTACTTGGGTGGCGGTGCCGAGCAGTTCTACCCGGGCAAGGGCTCTTACCTGGGCAAGGACTACTATGCCGAGTTTGCCAACAAGGGCTACAACGTTGCCCTTAACAAGACCTCCCTTGAGGCTGCTGACTCTACGGAGAAGATTCTCGGTATCTTTACCCAGGGCAACCTTCCCGTCTGGCTCGACCGCAACGTTCTTACCGAGAACCTTGGAAAGCTTACCAACGACCCCACTGGCAACAAGAGCGCCGCCACCGACGTCCCCGGCCTCAAGGAGATGACTCTCAAGGCTGTAGAGACCCTCCACAACCGCGGAGGCGACAAGGGTTTCTTCTTGATGTCCGAGGCTGCCTCCATTGACAAGCAAATGCACACCCTCGACTACGACCGCGCTCTTGGTGACCTCCTTGAGCTTGACGACACCGTCAAGGCCACCATTGAGAAGCTTGAGGAGCTCGGTATTCTTGAGGAGACTTTGGTCGTTGTGTCTTCTGACCACGGCCATGGCTTTGAGTGAGTTGTCTCGACCATCATGTTGTAGTTTTAAGCTAACCATCAAAAGCGTCTTTGGAAACGCCGATACCAAGTACCTCGCCGAGCAGGAGGACGATCGCACCAAGCGCAAGGCCGTTGGCGTCTACGCCAACTCTGGTCTGTCCCAGTACACTGTCGAGAAGCCCGGCGTCAGCTACAACACTGGCCCTAACTTCCCCTTGAACTGGAACCCCCGCTACGCCATCGCCGCCGGTTTTGGTGCCAGCCCGGACCGCCGCGAGGACTACAAGCTCCACGACACGGCCCGCACCCCTGCCGTCGCCGCCACCAACACCACTGACTACTACGTCAACCCCAAGGATGCCGTCGACGGCTTTGTCGTCAACGGTACTCTGCCTACGAACGAGGCCCAGGGTGTTCACTCGCTTACCGACGTCGCCGTCTGGGCCCGTGGCCCCTGCCAGGAGACCTTTGGCGGCACCTACAACAACATTGACATCTTTTACAAGATGGCCAACTGCCTTGGTCTCGCGCAGCCCCGCAACGGCACAGTCCCCGGCTGTGGCGGTGCCAGGCGCAGAAGAGCCCTTGAGGCGTAGGTGTGATGTTTTTAGACTTGAAAGCATGGCGAGTGGTGTTGGTGTTGACTTTTGGTGATAAACATAGATCTCTTGGGAGTTAGAGATTTGGCCATGATGGCTCTTTTAGTACTTCTAGTTACATAGTTTTAAAACATAATGCTATAACCTCAACTACGGGTAGACTTGGACTTGATGCAGACATTCCCGGGACTATCTACTGTGTACGATCTCCGATATGCATAAGCTGATTCATGGCTTCCCCGAGCCTGGCCTTCACTCCATGTATTGACTCAAACAGCGCTTTCCTCTCCTCGGCAGTGGCTTGTATTTGGCATGGGTGTTTATCTCTCAGACCAACACCCAGTACGCTGTCGCGTTGTGGAATAATGTCCATGAACCCGCCATCCTTTCAGAGCATGAAGTTCCCAATCTAATATTCGACCATTGCTATACACTAAACGTTGGTATTGAGTACACGAGTCGCTTTTCGAAGTACCTGAGCGTCAGGAGAGGTCGTTCACACCACAGTCCCATCGGCTGATGCACTGACGATGGTCCACTCTAGTGCTTTGTTCATTACCGGTCAGACCAGAACGACAAGCTTCCGTCTCCAATCGCCGTTCTATTGGTTTCGCAAGCACCAGACGCGGCCGGCACGGAACGTGGGCACGTCCTGCATTGTTCTTTGTCTAGTCGCGGCCCGCCGGGTCTCATCCGACGGACGGCGCTCCGCATGCGCCGGGGTCGATCTCCCGCGATCCCTCATCGGGTACCTCTTTGACCTCATGCACTTCTGGGGCAGGATGACTTGCATCACACATGAGGGTCCAATCAACGTACATGTCGCTCGAATGTCGATCCTTGGAAAACTATGGTAGAATACGTCGATTTCGCATCCAGGTCGGCTGCGGTATATGTCCGCCGAGGAATTCGGCCCCATCCCGATGGCACGCCGGTCCCCACCCCGTCCAAGGCGCCGTAGTCCAGTCCCATCACAGCACTGGACCCGAGGCCATCTCGGCCGAGTCCACCCCGACGTGTTCACCTTCATTCAGAAAGAATCCGAACCTACCGCTCGGAAAGTCTCTCCAAAATCCCCATGGCCTCCTCGTCATCAACCTGTCCCTCCTCGCACTTGCCCGTGTAGCAGCTCGAATGCGCCCACACCCCGTCCCCGAACCCGTCAACCACCTCCCCGACATTCTCCTTCCTTACGCCGCCGCCGACAATCACCTCCAGCTTCCTCGCGCCCGCACGCGCCTCGCGCACAATCAGCTCCAGCGCCTTCCGGTTCGCGGCGGCCGTCCCGGGCCCGCCCGAGGTGAGAACCCCTTCGAACCCGCAGGCCACCAAATCCCTCACCCCTCTCTCGACGTCCCGCGCCTCCCCGGAGCGGACGATTTCGTCAAAGGCCCGGTGGAAGGAACACGCCAGCCCGCCCGCGGCCTCGACGAGCCTCCGGTTCCTCTCGACGTCCACCGTCAACGCCCCCCGTCCCTCTTCAACACCCCGAACACGAACCCGTCGCCCCGCTCCGCCCTCAGCGCCCCGCGGAAGCCCTCGACACCGCCCACCATGGTCGCGAACTCGTCGTCGGTGTAGACAAAGTCCACGTCGTCGGCGGGCTTGCCGCGCGGCCGGATCATGATCCGCACGGGCACCGTGAGCCACTTCGTCACGCCCTCGAGGTCCGCCGGCGCCGGCGTCGTGCCGCCGACGCCGTAGCTCCCCTGCGCGTTGAGCTCGATGCGCTGCGCGCCGAGTGTCTGGGCGTGCAGGGCCGAGGAGGACGAGAAGACTGGGATTTCGAGTTTGATTGGCATCCTGGGGTGGTTTTTGGGGTGGCTCGTGAGAACTGGTGTTGGTTGGGGTGGGTGAAGGTAGGAAGAGTGAGAATAAGCAGCGGGAAACCCCCACAAATGTATTATTGCCCTGTGCTGTATGTTGGACGTCTCCTTTCGCGTCGCGGTGCAGACAACTCACACCGGTTGGAAAGATGCAGCCTTTAAGCTTTGAAAGACACAAAGCCTTGTTTCGAATTTTCTTTGGTCTTCTCCGTTTTTCTTGATTCCCTTTTGCTTGGACGGCCATTGCAACATCAGATCATGCCATCCTTCCTTGCCGCTGTTCGCTTCAGTATCCACCGAGGACATGGAGATTCAAAGTCGTTCGAGATTATCGGCAGGCTTAGTCATCGTGCATATCTTGTTACGTTTGAGACGTAGGATAAAGGAGAGAGGTGATGTCCTCGACGACGCAACTTTCTTGGTCAATAAAGCTCTATTCCTATGAAATTAAAGTCTGCCGGGCCCCAGACGACCAGGGTCCCTCTATTAGTGTGCGCACTTCTAATAAACCATGATGGATTCCTGGCTGCAATGCCAACTAGCCTCATCAACTTGCCAAACCTTAACCAAACCCAGCCAGAACGGTCAGTCTCGGTCCCAAAACGCAAGTAGTCAATCGCCTCCCCCGAGTATGTGTTTCGTTCCGTCTCACGCGTAGACCCCACCTTTCAACAAACGGGTCATTGAAGAATGACGGTGTCGCAGAGGAAAGAGTTGCAAGGACATATGCTCGCTCAGGCAAATACAGACAAGCACCAAACAATGTCGTCACTCAATGACTAAGTTTGGTGCCGAGCGGAAGTCTCGAAAGGCTCGAACTCTTTGTCAAGTGTAATTACTCGCAGCCTATCGAGCTCCTTGGCGGACAGATGGGGGCTGTTCATGTGGCTGCCGGTGTGACTGTCTTGACGATGGTTCTGAAGAGCCAGCGGCTGGCTACCTGAAGCAGAAGACAGAGGGCGCTGGAGATGCTCAGATATAAACGACTCGTAATCGTGACCAGAGGAAGGTCGGCTCTCAGAGCGTACATAGTTGCCCGCTCCCGAACCAGAACTGTGACCGTTGTAGCCAACTCGCGATGAGCCACAACTATCGGGGCTTTCGTAGTTGGCCGCCATGAAAGTAGATTTGCGGTCAGGCGATGGCCAATCCTGGGAGTCACAGAACTCGTAAGGCATTGGATGACGAGACGCATAACCCTGGGAGTCGTGAAGAAGACTAGGAGCTCGATCATAGAAGCCCACCGGATGGTATTGAGTGCACTGTGGGTGGCTGTGATACTCGGAGTACGGCTGAAGGTGTTTATCATGATAGCCGTAGTCGTAGCGTTCCATCAGAGGGGCCTGGTGACCAAATTCATGTTGCGCGTGGTAATGATGGGCGGGATTGTGACTGCCCAGGGCCGCGTAGCAGGTGATGCCTCCTTGAGGGACATCATAATGAGCACGGGAATGACCTTCCATCAAATTTCGGCCACGTCTCTTGAGCTTGGCGCCTTCGTACGGGTGAGATCGGTGGTTGTTTCTGTACTTGGGAGCTCTCGAGGGGGCATCCTCGTAAGGCGAGCATTCAGTGGACAACCGGCTCTGCACGCCAACGACCTCATTGTAGGAACCCATCTTCGCCGCCGGAGCTCGAGCGTCAGGCCATCGGGTCTCTTTAAGAAATGAATTCTCGGCGGATAAAGATGCCTGGGACGACATGCCGTGAACACAATCATCGTCAAACCCCATGTCAGCCGTGGGGGCGGGGCCGTAGGAGGGGAAAGTGGGAGCCCAGGGATGAGCACGCTCGACTGGGAATCGACCGAGAGGCCAATTCTCCATTCTGCCCGTAGCTGTGCCATCCTCGTCCCCAAATTCGTCTCCGGACTGATCTTCGACCCGAGTGGCCTCGCTAGCGTGGTAACCGATGTCTGTTCCATTCTGGCTGTTGGTGTCCTGTCTCTTGTTGACCATGGTCGCCACGTCATCGTTGTCGTAGTCGAGCTCAATCTTCTTGGTCCTTTCTTCCTCCTCGGCCTTACCGACTCTCACAGCGGCCTGACGGTACTCGCGCACGAATACGCTAGCGTTCGGCGAGACACGGGTCTTCTCCACGTTCTGAAAAAAATGCTCGACTAGATCTATGTCAGCGAAAGTGAAAAGGACGAGGTGGGTTTGGCTTACATAGACCGAGATGAGTGTAGGTGCGCTTGGCCTCAGTACCCATGATGGACTGCATCAGCCGAGCGAGCTCCTCCCAGTTTTTTATTTCTGCCGGGCCAGTACCAATGCGCTTCTGAGACTGCGGTACAATGACACGCCAGAAGACACGCTCCTCCTCGGCTGACCAAACCTTGCCGCCCATTATGGCCGTTTAGTGTTGCGTGAGTAGTGATGTATGTAGTGATGCTAAGAAGCAAAGGTAAAAATAGGTTGCTGTCAAGGATTAAATATCGTGGTCTTATGATGCTTTGGTGATGGAAGGGTTACCGGATCACATACCTTGGAGGTGCGGACGAAGTGAATGAAGTTCAAATAGGAGGGTTTTTCGGAAGGATTGTGGACCACGAAGAACCGTAGGTGAGCTCAGGATGCGATCGAGTCAATCCTCGAGGAAGGAGCGGGTGAGAAGTCGACGACGTAGGAGTAACCAGACTCTTATGAAAATGATGTTGAACCTCGAAGTAATAATTCCAAGTGAGAAGAAAAACGTAAAAAATGGAATGAAGTGCGTCTTTGGGTGCTTGGAGGGACTGCTTCCAACCCAATGTTGTAGGTTTGAGACTTTATACCTTGAAGGATGTAAAATGTTCGAGGGTCGCTCGCGGGCGGTGATATTGATCCAGTGAATCAGGGTAGGAAGGAATAAGTGAATGGGCTGGTGACCCGATTTTTTCACACCTGAGAAGGAAGTGAGAGAACCGAGTGACTCTGAAATGGGACGAAAAGTTGTGCCAAGAAGATGATACTCTCAGGCCGGAGACTAAACATTCAAGCCTCGGTACCTATAGCATCACTTTTTCGAGGACTAGAGAGGGTGTCGTAACATTGGAACCCCAAAATCCATAGACCGACGAAGGTGAGATCGGTGTGGCCACTCTGAGCGATGACTTGGGCTGCTGGCCGTCTCCCGTGGGTTCAAATCGTTGCCATGGTGTTTCGTTCGGAGCCACGTATGTTCAGATGGTAGGTGTTTGAGTGACGATCACTTCAGCAACATGCGGTTGGTTAATATTACGTTTTATTCGATCGCCCAGTCGACAGAGGTGACTGAATTGGCATGCGCGAGGCATAGCTGGTATACGGGGTTATGACCGCCTTCGAGATTGTCGTTTGAGCATTGGCTTTACGCTAGTTTCTTGAGTTTGAAAGAGCAAGCTGGGCCTGAGTGTGAATCACTAGATGATAGAGTGTTCAACAGGGCAGTATCACAAAGAGTGATAGTAGACTTGCAATTTTTTAAACCCCCTTTTTGAAATAGGAGATTGAAAGGTACGAGGTTGAAAAACGAAGTTTGAGTTATAAGTAGTATGAGAGTCTGACCAAAGCAAGGTCAGAAAGTGAGGCGACAGGTTAAAGATCAACCACTCAGATAGGTCTTATGCTCAGTGAAGTCGGATGTTCACCTTTCAAATTGAACAGGGGAATAGGTGAGGTATCAGTGCTCGAACAAGGGAAGCACATTTAAAAAAACAAGCATAACACTATATATTTCACAAGGGTGACTTCATCCATTATGGCCCAAGCAAAATACAGATAGGCCAGTAATAACAGTGGCTATTCAAAGGGACTCTGCGGCTCTGGGGCCTTGTAGCCCCTGGCTGTCAACGCTGCGGCCAAACGCCATTCAAGTCTCGAGAACTAAAATCATCAGCAGCCAGTCCTCAGAGAAAAAGGAGGGCTACCTACAATGCTCTTCTTCTCTGGCGGGACCACGCCGTCTTTGATCCAGAAGCCCCAGCCGCCCATCATATTGGCCAGCATCATGTCGGTCGTCAAGCGGTCGCCAACGACGGCGACCTGGGATGGATGGGAGACACCAGTCTCGGGATGACTTTGGAAATACTCCATGATCTCGGAGCCGCACCCAGGCTTCTTGGTTTTGTGGGGAAGAACAGTGATGCCGGTTTCTTCTTCTAGCTCTTTCGCAAGCTTCAGCGATGTGTCGTAGGGTGTAGCTCCAGCCGTGTTAGACACGATGACCAGCCGGCGGCCGGGATATGCGGCCTTGAGCTGCTCAAAGCGCTCCTGGTGATGATGAGAAGTGAGAAAAGAGAAGGAAAGATTTCGAGGCGACGTACCTTATACGGCTTGTGGACTTCATTTGTGTGGGGAATCGCAAAGCAGTCGTCCTTGTCGAGCACGACCGCCCGGATGTCACATTTTCGATTCTGTCCCTCGAAGGCTTTCTGTAATGGTATTGGCAAGTCGTTGAAAGTGGCGACAGTGTGTTGCGGCAGACACAGAGATGGTCTGAATAACAGCTTAAAGACGTTCACCGAGCCTGAAAGATTGAGATTCATCTTGAAAGACGGCCTGTAGGTGAGATTGTGGGGAGGTGACGTCTGTGTGGTTGGATTTGAGAGACGGTTGAAATTTGGCTTGCGGGAGCTTGGGCCCCCTGCCAATTGAGTGTCAGCTACCCCTGGCGGTCGATAAGATAAGACTACCAGCACTAGCATACAGGGAACCCCGTTATACCGAGGAAAGACTACGAGCTTTTGAAAGAGAACCCAGTGATGGAGGCGCTTGACAATGACACTAATTGAATTTAGTTAGTCGTGTTCAACGTTATGTTGCTGTGAGATCGGAGGTGGATGATTTAGACGAAAGAATCCATGACGCTTTGCCAGACTCTGGCAGGTGTAATAGGTGACTCGGCAAGGGTCCTCAACTAAGGCGTAGGACTGCTTCGCCTCGACTGTATCTACTAAAAGGACTCCAAAACAATTTGTGAGGGATCCGTTCGGATCGAAATCCAAGGTACATAGGAGACTTTATCGTAAAATTGATACTATCTTGAATGTGAAAGACGCAAAGCTTCATAAAGCATCGAAGTATGCTACGTAGTTGATGGTTGGCTTGTGACCGACTTACAGGGAACAATTACCGGTTCAGGGGACGTCAGGCGAACCCCAACTCAATTAGAGCCACGGACCCACTCGTAGACCTCCCTGTCCAACTTCACATTTTCGCGTCTGCGCGTCTTCCGTTGCCGTGCCGTTGGAAGCCGGACTATCTACAACCACCAGCCATTGAATTTCATACGTCACCGAAACCGGGCAAGCGACGAAACGAACTCGATAATGGCACGCAAGAGAACAACCGAAGCCGACGAGGGTGACTCTCCGAGCAAGAGACTGAGCCAAAAACGCTCCCGCCAGCAATTGCAGGGCGAAGTCAACGAGGAGCCCGTGAACGGCAGCCCCTCGAAGCGGAGGCGTCAAGCTGCACCTGTCGACCCATACGAAATACCCTCTGACAACGATGACGACGAGGAGAAAGAACCGGAACCGGAACCTGAGAAGCAAACCCCAAAGAAGCGACGGGGCCGCCCGCCCAAGTCCGCAACTCCATTAGCCAACGGCGCCGTCACACCCTCGAAGCTGCGACAGGTGAACGCTTTGGTGACACCCTCAAAGGCCATAACGCCGAGGAGGAGACAGGCGGCAGATCGCTCTGCACGGCGGAAGAGCGCTCGGTCCCTCATACAGAGCGTCGTCGCCGACGATAGCGAAGACGACGACGAGGGCTTGGCCCAGGAGATCTACGAATCCAGCGAAGACGAAGACGAGAGGCCAGATGAACGAGACACAGCACCAGCGGAGACCACACAACCCTCTGAGCCAGAAACACCATCCGCGACGCCCTCCCGCCGCCGTGGTCGCCCGCGCAAACAACCGCCTCCGAAATCCCCGACCCCTCCCCGCGACCTTCCTCCTCACGAGATCTACTTCGAGCACAACAAGCCCGGCCGCGCAAAGACGTCGCATAACACCCTCGCGTCTCTTGACTTCCTCACGCACGACGAGTACTTTGACCTCCTCCGTGCCCGCGAGGAGCCGCACGCCGAGGATCTCGTCTACCTGCAGTCCCTCCATGAGGCCTCGTTCGAGCAGTGGCGCTTCGAGCTCGCCCAGGGGTTCAGTCTGTGTCTCTACGGTCAGGGGTCGAAGCGCGACCTTGCGGGCAAGCTAGCGGAGCACCTGTACGCGCTGGACCCAAAGGCGCCCATCGTGGTAGTGAACGGCTACGTCCGCACCGTGACGCCGCGTGACGTCTTCACCACCTTGGCCTCGGCACTCAGCCCGTCCCTCAAACTGCCCGCCCAGCCAACGGCAATGGTCCAGACCCTGTCCTCCGCCCTCGCGGCCTCGCCTTCTCACTTAACGGTCATCCTAAACTCCATCGACGCCGCCCCCTCCGCAAGCCAGCAACACAACAGCTCCTCTCCCAACTTGCCGCCCACCCGCGCATCCGCCTTGTCGCAACGGCCGACACGCCCTCTTTCCCGCTGCTCTGGGACGCCGCCCAGCGCACGTCCTTCAACTTCCTCTTCCACGACTGCACCACCCTCCAGCCCCTGGATGTCGAGCTCGACCCCGTCGACGACGTGCACGAGCTGCTCGGCCGCAAGGCTCGCCGCGTCAACGGCAAGGACGGTGTTGTCTTTGTCCTGCGCTCGCTGCCCGAGAATGCCAAGAAGCTGTTCGAGCTGCTTGTCATCGAGGTCCTGTCCGCCATGGACGACGGCGAGCAGCAGTTCGGGGCGGAGAACCCGGGCGTGGAGTACCGTATGGTGTACAACAAGGCCGTCGAGGACTTTATTTGCAGTTCCGAGATGGCCTTCCGGACGTTGCTAAAGGAGTACGTATATCTCATCCCAACTGACGTGACATTGGTTGACAAGCGCAGGTTTCACGACCATCAGATCATCACCAGCAGGAAGGACGCGCTCGGTACGGAACTGCTCAGTATCCCATTCGGGCGGGAGGAGCTCGAGGCCATTCTCGAGGACTTGATGTCATGATCTAGGACGGGACGAAAGCCGGGTATCTGTTTTTCTACGAATCATCTAGGAAGGGGCACAGCGTGGCATTTTGTAAAGGTACCGGGGGAAAAGACAAAATCAGCATGGGTTACCGACCACGTCACAGCGTTATAGCAAAACATACAAGAACATGCATTGCATTCGTAATGATCATAATCCCCTCGGGGATGCTCTAGGAGTATTTAAGCCAACCGATCCCATTAACCTTGAAACGCCGCCCGTCACCCCTTTACACCCCTACACTTTTAACACACGTCCACAGCACCACCGGCACAATAACGTTATCGTTTCCGCCGGTCAAGACGGCCTCTGTCAGGCTCGCTATGCTGGCGCAGAAGCCGGCGTTGCGGGCAGCCGCCGGCCAGGCGACCTGCTGGTCCTCCGCAACGGCCCAGCCCCCAACCCTTAACCATGTCGTCGCCGCTATGAGGCCGAGAAACACCGCAACGGCAAAGGCCAAACTGCCCTCGAGACTCTTACCGCCGCCCCATACCCATTTCCTGTGACCGTAGCGACGGCCGATGAGGGATGCGGCTGCGTCGCCTAAACCGACACAGATGACGCCCGCCACCATGCTTACTTCACGCGTCGGTACCTCCCAGCCGGTCAGGTAGCCGCTGCCAGTGCGCGGGAGGGTCGCCAGCGACAGCCAAAGCGGGATGGCGCAGCCGATGAGCAGGAATAGGTGGGAAATGACGACGGGGCCCTTGTGGTCTCTTCCGTCGACATAAGGAGTGAGAAAAGAGGCTATGGGTCGCGACAGGGGCGGTAGCTGACTCGCTCGCAGGAGGTCGAGAATGAGGAAAATTGCGAGAACGAGGGACAGTGCCAGAGCCGCGAAAACGGGGTCAACGTACGTTGCCGGTAGGAACATGCCGACCATCATAAAATGGAACACTTTTCGCCTCGTGTCCACTTCGTACTTGGGGTCCAAGCGGATGACCACAGTCAGGCCGACAATAACAACGGCAAGCCAGTAGGCGCTCATCAGCAGTCGCGTATTCGCCTCGCCAAAGTCGGAGAGCCGGATGCGCTGCACCCAGCCTAAATGGCAGGCTGCCTTTGTGCCTTCGTCTTGGCGCGTTGGCAAGCAGATCCATCTCTCGATATTCGCCATCACCACTTTGAACCTGAACCATGGCAGCTCGCCAAAGAGGTATCCCAGCGCCCACCCGACGGGTTCGTTGCCTTTCAGAGCATACCTGCCGATGTACTCTCGCACAGGCACCAGGATGATGGCGACGATGCAGATGTAGACATAGGTCGCGTACGTCCACTTTCTCATGGTGGCCTGGGCCTCCGTCAGTCTGAAGAACGAGCGAACGGTAGTCGAGGCGGTGCGCTTTCTACGGCCTGCCGATGTGTGGGTCAGGGATCTTCGAGGCCGCGGTCGTTGCAGGGCGTACGGGAAGGTATTGCGTCGGCCAACGGTGGTGCTATCTGGTGATTCTGGGGACTTGCCGTCTGGGGAGCCGTTCAGCTTGCGGTCTGCTTGAGACGGCATGTCGGCCGTGCCGAACGTCCTGACTCTCATGGGTTTTGCGAACGGCCCATTGATTATCTCGTCCTCGGAGTCACCTAGCTCTGAGGCTGATTCCTCTAGCGACGAACCCAGCAGTTCATGCTTGAAACGGCGCATAGACAAGCCTTCGGAGAGGAACCCAAAGACGGACGGCTTCTTCGTGGGTGTCACAACCCGCCTGAACCGCAGCCTTGGAACCCTAGCCAAGGCAATCCCCCATCGAATCACCGGTCCGCAGATGACGAGGACGCCCACGCCGCCTCCCCACAGGAGTGCTTGGAGGATAGTGGCTTGAGGTGAATGTGCGAGAAGCAGCACGTTGATTAGGGCGATCGACAGCAGCTGCAGCTCGGCTGTGAGCAAGCTTGTCGTTGTAAGGTAATGCAGCACCACGAGGAGTGTTTGGTGCAACGGGTAGAGAAGGACGGCTGTCTCTGGGGAGACGGCTGGTCTTGCGTACGACGTGGGTGTCCTATGTTGTGACATCCATATCGGTATGCAAGACAGGACCCATTGAAAAGGGTTAATTGTTTCGTGAGCTCGTGCCGTAGGAATTAGATATTTGGGTATCGAAGAAATGCTCAGAACGATGTTTGTCAATACGACCGCCTGATTGTCAGGAGATATTAAAAGTGACACCAGCAGCGTCAGGGACGGCGGATACAAAATAGGGGCGGGATCGAAAACGGTTGGGACGGCGATTGCCGACTTTTTGAACGAAGTCTTGTGGCGAATCGACCATGCAATCAGTCGGAGAGGATAGAGAACCATGAGCGACGTAATCAGTACGGCTGGGAAGCGCAGTTCTGCATGTTGTTAGTTTAGACTAGACCAGCCAGCCGAACGTCGCGTACCTTGACTCCAGACGGAGAAGACGGGCTTCACCGTTGGATTTGAACGAACCACCGCAAAGAGGGAGCCAACAATGACGAACTCGGATACCCGGCGAATGAGCTCCTTGGTACGCCGGTAGTTGCGGTCGTTGAGAAACCTGCGAGCCTCTTTCCGGTCCTCTCTTTCCTTTTGTCGCTGAAGGGCTTCTTCCTCCTGGTCTGGGGATAACAGCGGCGTGGATGCGCCCGAAAGCACTTCATTGCGCCCCCTTAACCCTTTGTGCAAACGCACCTTGGGCGCCGGAAGCCCCTTCAAGAAATGCTCATCGTCGGCTTCAGTGCCACTATCGCTCCCCTGCGACGAGTCCTTGGTGAAGGAGGGGAAAGGAGACGGGGTTCGGCTCGAGTCTGCTGACGAGGTCCTCGGCGGCGTCGGTGTCGCATTGGACGGACGGTAGGCTAGGCGATGGGCGGCATGGGGGAGCTCTGTGTTGAGGTGGTGGTAGGGATGGGGAGATCGACTAAGGGTTCGGATCTCATCGTTTTCTTCTGTATCGTGGCCGAAGAGAGCGTTTGGGTCGAGGTGCTCGGGCATGACGAAGCTATCGCATCGGAGAGGGTTGCGCCAGTGTTCATCCACAAGTCGTCGAAGCTATTGAGTGCGGGTGTTGGCGCTGCCGGGCAACATGGAATTGGCTAGGACGGGTGCCGCGGGTGGATGTAATCTAAGCCGTCGGAACACGAATGATGTTTTGTTGATGTTTGGTCAAGTCAGGCCATTGGTGGTTGGGGTTGGGGGAGAGGTTGACGGCGATGAGGTGGTTGTGGGGAGCTCCATCACATGAAAGATGTAAATTGACTGCAAACCGCTAGAGCTGTGTTGTCATCTGGGCCGGGCTGGCTCGTAGTGGGCTGTCTCGCAGCGTCAGTCTGTGTTGGGAAAGCGGTCCATCAGCCGCGCGGCGCGAGGGACGAATGCGCCCACGCGACTGGACGGGACGGCTCAGTGACAGCGACAGCGGGCGACGTCCCCACCGGATTTTGGAGGTGCACGAGCCACAAGACCAAACAACACAGCCAGTGGCTTAGCTAATGTCGCTCTTGCCATGCTGTTCTTGGCGGGGTTGCCAAGCTGAGTGTGCGCTTGAACTGCAGGTGAGGATTAGGTCAACATCTTCCGACGGGACCGAGAAGAGGTTTCTCGCTCACGAGCCTCGCGAGACTGCCAGACGAGACGACGAGAAACACCCCGGTCAAGCGCTCGACGAGGTGCCCAACTCATGGAAGATTTGTATCTGAGCCCAGACGTTGGTGACCTCATTTTCGACACACGGCTCCAGGGGCACTCTCGAGTTGCGACCTCTATGCGGTGGGCGCTGCCAATTCCTACAGGCATTTGCCCGGCGGTCGCTCTTCGCAACCACAGCATTGTTGACTTTGCAGTGTCATTTTTAAAGTAATCTCAATGCGGCAGAGGCCAAGCCAAAGCACAATCAACCTTCTGCCTTCAGCCCTTTAGGATGAAAACTCAATTGACCGCGGCAGCACTGCGATGGCCAACCCAGTATCAGACCCATCTTGGCATTGTTTTGTTGTGCCTGTCGCGCAATGACCCGATCATGTTGAAGCATTCCACTGAATCTGTCGCTGTCCAATCCTCACGACGACGTGGAACCGACAAACGATTCATTCCACTGTTGGCTCGCCTGACAAGTTGCGGTGTTGCGATGTGGCGGACTGCTGACGAAATCCCCGAGTGCCGTGGGGAGCTGACGTTGATCACTCCAGAGGGTCAATTGGAGCGGCAGACGTTTTCATCATGTTCCCAGCATCGCCCAGATCGTCACATCGCGTCTTGCTCTTGAATTCGGCAAATGGCGTTGCCAACAGAGTACCTGCCAAAAATATCTGTCAATCGGAAATCGGAGGCTGCAAGCCACAACCACCAGATCGTGGCTGCGTCGACAATTTCCCAATCCAGAGGCCACCATCTCTTATTCTCATCGCCTCCCGCTAGCACCCGGATGCTCTAGCGGGCCACGAAGCCTGCATTGGCATCCACGACTGTGAAAATGGTCGAGGCCCGGCATTCGGCTGCCCGACGATCCCAGGACCCATCACTTCGTGAGAGAGGACCGCATCTCGTATTACCTGGTCCCTGCAGCGGCTCAAGGATTGGCTGGCAGAAACCGGGAACATGCCCGAGAAACCACAGCACAGGGCCGCCCCTCCAAACAAGAGGATGGGTAGAAAAGTCAAAATACGAGAGGCTCTGTTGACCCCCATCGTGACGGTTCAGCGCGAATGTCCCCACCTCTTGGTCTGATAGGGCGACACACACGCTCTGATGGGCCGCGTCGCTGTTTCACACGCACGCAAACAGAACGTCAAACGGGGCTGAGGAATTGTACGGCGGCTTCAGGTGCACAACGCTTCAAACGGGCCACCATCACAGCCCCCTTCACGGAGGATGAGGCCGGGTATCCAGACCAAATGGTGCACGTTGTATAGTTGCACTCGCCGTTTGACGTTGCACATCGGAGTCAGGTACACGGACAGGGAGAATTTGCTTCGGGGAGAGAACATCTATTGCAGTCAAAGCCATCTGTCTACGAACTCGAGGGAGAAATATTGAGGCTCTATCGATGGAAGGGAAACCGGGGACAAAAAGAGAAAAAGAAACGAGCATCAACAACTCCCTTGGGATCCGCGACACCTTACAAAGCTGACCCGGCGGTGGGTTCGTAATCGAACTGCATGTACCTAGTGCCAGCATGGTGGATGTCGCAAAAGCTGCAGCACCAAGACCCCCATACACCCCGGGCGCTCGCTGGAGCGGCTGGGTGCAGGCCCCGAGAGTCAGCTACATAAAGTAGTGCTCCCGTACCAGAAGCAACGATGCGAGGTTGGAACCGATTGGACGGGAAACCTCTGTAGAATGGCTGATCGGCGTCTGCATGTGCATTGGGCGTATGGGATGTGGGCAGGCAAAGTCACAAAGTCACCAAGTGCGCCGTCGCGGGGCATCTGAAGTTGGCACACACTAAGCGGGCTCGTATCGTCTTGAGCACCCATAGGTACTCAACCGACTTGTGCAAATGTGTGGGACATTGTATCAGACTGACGATACCTCCGGAGACGATACGAGACCCCTATGCCTGGAGGCTCATTGTGATGTCACAATCCGCTTGACGGTAGCGCTGGGTTAAGAACCCAGGCCGGTGGCTTTAGACAGTGGGTATCAGGGACGGAAAGACATGCCTATGGCATTGGGCACGCCCGGAGGTGTGAATGGGCTATGGACATTCCCGGCCCAAATTGGGGGACAATGAAAGAAAAATACATAGTATGTTCAATATCAGCCGGAGCCGAGGATTAACGGTGACGCTGCATGGTGGAAACTCACGCCTGCTGATCCCTGTGCGGCCTGCCAGCAGCCTGTCCCTGGCAAGACGTTGGACACCGCAATGACGAGAGACTGTGATGGAAGAAGCGGGTGGGTTGATGGAGTTGGGAAGCTCAGTTCTAGTGCGTAGTTCACGGCGAAAGGGGGGTTGCAGCGGAGAAATTGGAGCCTTTCTGAAGAGGACACGGTCCAGATGCAAGCTCCTCCCTGGTCAACCAAGGGGTTCTTTTGCGGTGGCTCCGTCACCCATCACCCGTCACCAGAAAAAAGAAGAGTGATGATGGGACTGATAGCTCGAACTGAGTTGGACCGACAAGACAGGGGTGCGCGTGAGTGCGTCGCCGGAGCGGCGAAACAGGGAATCTTTCTACAGTAGGTACTGTATGCACAAAGATGTGTCCCAGACTCCCCCCGGCCGGCTAGGCGACGCCAATGTGCAGGTCTGCCTCGGGATCATCTTCAACAGGTTTAAACGCCAATCCCCTCGCTCAGTTGCCTCTCCATTCTTCCGTCTGATCATCCGTCTTGTCTCTCGCCATCATCTCTCTCGCTTGATTACTACGCGGTTTGTTTACGACGCTCGCTCACAGTAACTCTTTGGGTCCCATCCATCGCCACCTCCCATCAAATTCTCACCACCTCGACTCACATTCCTCGGTGCACGCTGTGAGATTGACGGACCTCGGATTCATCTGCGTCCATACCCGTCATCAGCCTCCAGCCTCGATCAATCAAACCGGTTTGGGCTTGCTTTCGTTCTTTCTCAAACGATAAACAATCAGCTGCAAGGTTTTTTTCCTTTTGACACCAAACCCCGGGCCCGAAGAACACGCAATCTTGCGCTAGCCTGCCGGGTCTCAACACCAGCCACCGACAAAGAGTTTCGGCCGGTCAGGTCCCGCGGCGTATCATTCTCTTGGATCGTCCATTTGCCCCATCCCCTCGCACCAACGGGCTGCCGCTTGATACCTATACAAACAACCAGGCCTCCAGTGTCCACCGCTCGGGTCACCTTCCCCTCTTCTCTTACACCTGCTCTTGCATTTTCGCCGCCTTTCTGCTGCAGCTAGGACGCTAAATAAGTGCCCTGCCTGCATCTTGTCACCGACCCTACCCTGCATACTTCAGACACCATCCATTGGACCTCTCACGCAGTTGATCCCGTCCTATCGTCTTGGACAGTAAGCTTCCTGGCCTGACCTCTTTGCCCTTGCTATAACAACCTCGCACCCCGGCCTCGCCTCTCTTTTCACTACCATGGCCTCCGATACCAAGTTCGACCAACACCTAGAAGAGGGACTGCTGCCTGCCGCTGCCAACGAGAAGGGGATTTTGACCACAACTTCGAGACCGTCCAGGACGCCAAACAAGATGACCGCCACCCGCCGTACCCTGCTCGCCGTCCTGGTGTGCGGCCTGATGACCCTCAGTCTCGCCTCCGCCATCGGTCACCGAGCGAAGCCTTGCACGAGAGATCACCAGGAGCAAGTTCTCGTTGCGGAGGGTGAAGTCCAGAATCCCGCCAAAGTGGATCTTGTTCACAAGCTGCTTCATGCCTACTTTCCCGAACGCTACCAGGACGGTGTCTACCCCTCGGACAAGGAGGCCATCGCTGCTTTCGAGACGGATGATGCCGAGTTAGCTTCTGCTCTGGGCCAGCTGGCGAAGCGTCAGGACAATGGTACGACGACTGCTCCGTCTGCCACCTCAACGCCTTCTTCGCTCACTGAAGCTGCTGATTCTTCGTCCGTCTCATCGGCGCAGCCCACAAGTGCAACTCCAACCCCGACCCCGACTCCTACCCCGACTCCTACCCCGACTCCCACGCCGTCTCCATCTCCTCCGGCCACAAGCTCCACCCCTGCCCAGGAGACCACCTCCGCCTCGGTGCAGTCCAACACTCAGCAAGAGACCTCCACCACCGCTCAGTCATCGGAACCTGCACCCACCACCCCCACCACCCCGGCAACGTCAGCAACACCTCCTACTTCTGGTACGTCTCAAACGGAGCAAGCCGAGTCTCCCTCTTCTACTGTTGGGCCGTCTTCCGTCTCTACTGAGTCCCCTCCGACGACCAGTGGGTCTCCTTCTTCTTCTTCTTCTTCCCCTCCCCCTTCTTCTGCCCCCTCGTCCGCTCCCACGACGGCCTCGCCGGGGTCCTCGAGTGTGTCCACGCAGGGTACGTCTACTTCCCTTTCTGTCGAGACTACTGCGGTTGTGACGACCTCGTCCCCGACAATCTCCTCTTCGCCCGTGTCGACCGCGTTGTCGAGTGTGTCTGTGTCTGTATCTGGTATGTTGTATCCGCGGTTTTGTAGCCCATTTGATTCATGTTTCGCGGACCTCGGAAGGCCGTTGTGGGATTGCAGTTGATACGTGGATTTTCAAGATACTTGGACCTGATCACTCGTCTGTCACCCGTCTTGGAATTCAGTTTGCTAACTAGCTCGCAGCAAACACCCGCCAGTCATCCACGGCCACTCGCGCCTCTCCTCGGACTACGTCTTTCAGCGAGGTTCGGACCACTTACACATCGACCGCCTCCAACGGCGACGTTGTGCTCGTGACGGCGACGTCCTTTGTCGCGGTGAACCCTGAACCGGCTGCCACCGAGTCTTCCGAGTCCGGCGGTGGCGGCGGCGGCTTGCAGAACGCGGCCTCCCCAATTGGCAGTATTTCGTTTGCTCTGCCGCTCTCCTTCGCCGCCTTTGTCGCCGGCGCTATGCTCCTGCTGTAGAGCAGTGGAGCTTGATTTTTTTGCATTGCGATTTCTGTTTACATAATGTAATACATTCCTTATTTGGCATTTTCCGGAAGGGGGGGAAACACGGCAGCGAGCGGCGGTACATACACATCCACATGAGCATCACTTACTCACGACGTTACGGTCTTATTCACTCCTTGCATCAACTGGTGGATGGCATAGTACACATAACACAGCACATAGACTTTGCGCGGCAATGTGCCGCTTATTGGGGAATAATAGAAGTGGAGGCACCACATATGAACATGGGCATGGCCTCGGAACGGCAGAAAACAGGTATCACGATAGCACCTGAAGCAGTCCTTAGCAGACAAAACAAACAAATCGTGGAAGAAAGGAATACAATCAAATTTGACATTTCCGATTGAGACAGCGCATGCCAGTGGGAATGATGGCGTAGACTTGGTTTGACTACCCGGGATTGCCGCATTCCAGGCCATCTCGGCGGTAGGTGTTTTTGTTTCACTTGTTTGCCAGAAGCGACAAACTGTCTGCCGACATGTGACGAGGATACTCGGAGACGGTTCGATGAACAAAGATTTTTCTATCCCAAAAAGATGTTGGAGGGTATACACAACGCCAGGGCCCAAATAACTCCATCCCAAGATGCACAAGTGACGCTCCGATCCCTTCCCCGTTCTTAGCCAGGTCCGATCTTGGGCATGTCGTGGTGCTCGCTCAGCTTGGACAGGTAGGTGTTGAGTTCTTCGACCCGCTCCTTGTGCGTCTTGAGCAGCTCGGGCCGGGAGCTGGACGACTCGGCGAGTTCGAGGAGCTGTCAAAGCAATGTAAGCAAAGGTTCCGCATCGGCCATTGTGAGGCAGGCAAAGGAGACCGTGGAACATACCCTCTTACGCTTCCTCTCCTCGTACCGCCGCTCCGCCTCCGTCTTCTGTACGACCGGACCGTCGTCGTCCCGATCCTCCTCGGCCTCCGGGTCCTGGCTCCCGCCCCGCTTCTTGGACTTCTTTTTCCTATCGTCGTCCTCGCCAGCAGCCTCGTCGCGGTGCTTCACCAGCGCGCCGCTCGTGCCGCCGCCTTCGTCGCCCGTCTCCAGGTTCTTCTCGAGGTCGCTCTTCTCTCTTCTCTTCTTCTTCTTGGGCTTACCGACCTTGGCGCCCTTCAGCTTGAGACCGCCGCCGACAGCCGATGCGTACTCGTCTAGCGGCATCGTGTATTGGTGTGCGGTGGTGATGGTGGTGGTCGAAAGGGTTTTCCGCGTATTGGCGTGGAGACGAATCCGAGGTTGCTATGCTGCCGTAGCTTCCGTTCACGTTGCGCGGTCATGGGCGGTCGCCGGAGCTAGTTGTTGGCAACGCGGGTCGAGATTTAGATTGTCATGGCCCCCGTCGCCCCGCCCCTTTAGCGCCGCTTCCGGTGGCTTCAGTGGCTTGGATGTCCCCCCTGTCTCGATAGCCATTGCGCCCCACACTCTTAAGCCGGTGGCAGGCGGCAAGCTCCAATTCGCAGTCCCGCGCCGGAGAGACGGAGGGGCCAATCATGGTTTGATCCGTGCATTTTCTGGGAGGGTCCGAGCGGATGCGAAACAGCTGCAAGTGCAACTTGGCCAAGTTAGTTGGCGGTATTTGCCAAAGATGCAGGCGTAAAGAACCCCCGCCAGCCGCTTCAGCAAGCCAGCAACAGTGCCCTGAAGAGAGACAAATTGGGGGTTCCCCGGGTTCTTGTTCGTCACTGCAACCAAATTTCTTCACGGGGGGAAAACACACACGGGGGTTGCCACTGAAACCTACTTTCTGTGCTTCCGTCTTGAATCCCCCTTTATCCAAACTGTCCAATCTCAAACCATAAATCACCACCCCTGGAGACATCGTTTCCCTCTCCAACCTCCATTGTTCGTTCGCTAATCTTGTTCGGACGACAAGCAACCACGGTTCTAATTGCGCAACATAAATCCCACATTTTGTTGCGGCTCCCCCCTTATGCCAAGCTCGGTCTGTTTCGATTTCCGCGTTTAAAGAGGTCTCGTAGTGGGTATAGAGAGAAGAGACGGGCCCCGGCGCAACTTTGTCACGACTCCTTAAAGCGAAACGTACATGTGAACGACGTCACGAAATTCCTCAAAGACACCGCTACTCTAATAACCACATACACAAGGGCGTTGGCGAATCCCTCACAACCACACCATCACCACACGTTGTCGGCGCAACATGCGATAGCCCCAGCATCAACCTTTTTCGCAAGCTGAACGAATCTAATCGGGTCGAGAGTCGCTCCCTCACCGCGATCCTCGTCACCTCGACATCCAAACACATCAACCATGCCGCCCTACGCTAATATTCATTCCCACCGCGACTCCCTCGAGCTCGCCTCTCTCGCCTCCTCCTCCCGCGCCGACTCCGTTGCCTCAGACATACCCTCCTCGCGGCCCTCCATTTCCTCGTCGCGCAAGCTCTCCTTCGACGCCGAAGACCCTCTAGACGCCGCGAACCCAGCCGCCAACGCTGGCAGGCCGAACCGCCATGACCGCTCGTACTCCGTCTCCTCAGGCTTCGACTTCGCCGCGAACCTCTTCCCCCTGAGCTCCACCGCCGGCGCGGGCGGCGGCGGCTATGCCCCCATCGGCGCGCCAACCTCGACGGCGATACAAAACGGCGGGTTGGGCGGCGGCAGCTTGGAGAAGCACAAGACACTCACGTACCTCAATGGCTTGAGTCTAATCGTGGGCCTCATCATAGGGAGCGGCATCTTCTCCAGCCCCAGTCAGGTGAGCTCGAAGGTCGGCTCGCCCGGCGCAGCGCTGGTGGTGTGGGTGATTGCGGGCATGCTGGCTTGGACGGGCGCAGCGAGCTATGCGGAGCTGGGCGGCGCGATACCGCTGAATGGCGGCGCGCAGGTCTACCTTGCCAAAATCATGGGCGAGATGGCGGGCTTTTTGTTCACGTGGGTGGCAGTCTTGGTGCTCAAGCCCGGTAGCGCTGCCATCATCGCCATCATCATGGGGGAGTACCTCGTCAGGGCGGTGATCGGCGCGGAGGCGGAGAGCCTCAGTCCGTGGGTGAACAAAGCAGTGGCCATGGTGGCGCTGGTCACGGTGACGCTGCTCAACTGCGTGTCGACGAAGCTGGGCACCAAGGTGAACGACTGGCTCATGTTCCTCAAGTTCATCGCACTGCTGGGCGTGACTGTGACGGGTGTCGTGGTCGCAATTACTGGCAAGACCCTGACGGGTAAGGCCAACTTGGAGTGGAAGACTCACGAGTGGTTCGCCGACACATCTTCGGACCTCTCCGCTTGGGCGGTGGCTCTGTATGCGGGCCTCTGGGCTTATGACGGCTGGGACAACGTAAGGTACTTCGGCTCCTCGACTAACACATGTACTGACCTTCGCAGACAAACTATGTCGTCGGCGAGTTTCGCAACCCGAGCCGCGATCTCCCCCGCGTCATCCACACGGCAATGCCCCTCGTGATCTTGTCTTACGTTCTGGCCAACATTGCGTACTTCCTCGTCCTCCCCATCGCCGCCATCAACGCCTCCAACACCGTCGCGGTGCAGTTCGGCGCAAAGGTCTTTGGTCCCGTCGGCTCCCTCGTGCTCGCGCTGATTGTCTCGGCGTCTTGCTTCGGCGCTCTGAACTCGTCAACCTTTACGTCCTCGCGTCTGGTCTACGTCGCGGGCAAGGAAGGGTATATCCCCTCCGTCTTTGGCAGCATCGGGCTGTCTCGGTCAGACGGTCCCTCGGTGACGACCTCCCGCACCTCGCGCGGGCGTGTTGCAAATCTCCTCATCCGTGCTCTCGGCGACGACGACATGGGCCTCTTCTACACCCCCGTCTGGGCGCTTGTGCTCAACGGCCTGCTGACGGCCGCCTACATCATTGTGGGCGAGTTCGGCACCCTGCTGACCTTTTATGGCGTCGCGGGGTACACCTTTTACTTCATCACTGTCCTGGGGCTCATCATACTCCGCGTGCGCGAGCCGCAGCTCGACCGCCCGTACAAGACGTGGATCACGACGCCAATCATCTTTTGCTGCGTCTCGCTATTTCTACTGAGCCGCGCTGTGTTTGCGCAGCCGCTGCAGACGGTGACGGTGGTGCTGTTTGTCGTTGCCGGCGTACCCGTATACTTTTGGCGCATCCGCGGACGGGACCAGCAGGTCATCAAGCGTGAGACGAGGCACCATTCGGACCACGAAGAGCGCCCGTGGTGGCAGTTTTGGAAGAGGTCATGAGGGGGCCGCGGGCGAGGGAGCGGCTGTGGAATGTTTGCCATGGCTACAACAAGTGGCCTTGCTTCAAGTGTGACTTTGGGTATCATTCAGCAACATTGCCTCTTTGCATATCACCTTTCAGGAGCATTAGCATCCCGATCCAAGGAGTTTGGGGGTTGGGGTTTTGAAAATTCGGAGTAGACCCGGAGACGCCCGACGAAAGCGTCGAGGCCGGTTTGGCTAGTGTCGGACGAAGACCGGGCGGGGCAGGCGAAACGGAATTGTACGGTTGATACTGCGGTGCATAAACGGTATCAACGAAGCTAGGTAGTCACGAGTGAGAGACCCGCACGAGACTCTAAAGGACGAGACTCAAAGAGAAGACCTTGAGACGACGGACGACGATGGCGTGCAGAGCAGAACAACTTGTACCACTTACTCCTCTTGTAATAGAAGAAACGTATACGGCTACAGGACTGGCCTACGTTCCACGACGGCTCATACATAACTTTACTGTTTGAAGCAGCACAAAACCGACGCTTGACCGCTAGGCTAACAGTCTTTAAACCACAGACAAGTATTGCATTTTTTTCACACCACCTAGCGAATAGACTACCAGCATAATGTTGACACATTTCTCACGAGACCGTAATGACAAATATATGTATGCATCGCATTAGGTTACATTTCTATGTACAGTAACCTAGACTTCAGATACCCCAGAAGTGCAAATGCTAATGCCAATGCCCAAAATTCAGAAGTCAACGCTAAGTTCGTCACATATACTTAACATCCCAAATGTCGCCCTTTGTGGGTATTACGTCATCCATGGTTTATTTCTTCTCACGCTGGCCGTAGGCCTTGGTAGCGTAGTCACCCTTGTGGACGATCAGGTCCTCGGGCTTGTAGTCCTCACGGCCACTCAGGTAGCTGTCAATGATGGCCTTGGTACCATCGGCGTAGCGCTTCTGGGCGTCGAGAGAAGTACCAGACATGTGGGGAACCATGGCGTTGCCGCCTCCGAAGGGGTTCTTGGCGGTGCGCAGAGGGTGGTCGCCAGGGGCGGGCTGGGGGAACCAGACGTCACCACCGTAGCCGGCGAGGTGGCCAGACTTGAGGGCGTCAGCAACATCCTCCTTGACGATGATGGCGCCGCGGGCGGTGTTGATGAGGTAGGAACCCTTCTTCATCTTGGAGATGAGGTCCTTGTTGAAGAGGCCGCGGGTCTTCTCGTGAAGGGGAGCGTTGATGGTAACAACGTCGCACTGAGCAAGCATCTCCTCGAGGTTCTCGACACGGCGGCAGCCAATCTCCTTCTCCTTCTCGGCAGACAGGGGCTGGTAGTCGTAGTAGAGGAGCTCCTTGCAGTCAAAGGCCTTGAGGCGACGCAGAACACGCTCACCAATGCGACCAATGGCGACGGTGCCGACGGTCTTGCCCTCAAGGTCGTATTCTTGCTTGGCAACAGCAGCGACGTTCCAGTCACCGCGCTCAATCTGCTCGTGGGCAGGGACGAAGTTGCGGATGAGGACAAGGATAGTCATGACAACATGCTCGGCGACGGAGACGACATTGGAGCCGGTAACCTCGGCGACGGTGACACCACCGTTGGTCTTGTTGGCGGCGTTCAGGTCGACATGGTCGGAACCGATACCAGCAGTGACGGCAAGCTTCAGCTTCTTGGCCTTGGCGAGACGCTCGGCGGTAAGGTAACCGGGGTGGAAGCTGTGGATGCGTAAGTAAGTGTTCCGTGACTCGAATCTCGAGTAACTTACGGAGTTGTGATGATGATCTCAGCGTCGACAAGCTCCTGGTCGAACTTTGAGTTCTCGCCATCCTTGTCAGAAGTGGTGACCAGAGTGTGGCCTTGGTCTTCGAGCCACTTTCGGATGCCAAGCTCGTTCTCGGTGGTGCCCAAAAGGCCGGGGACCTGTTTAAGATTCAATGGTCAGCCAGGCTAGCTCCAGGGATAAGTGTGCCATGCACCCCGCATTTGGTAGTTTCGGGAGGTACATCGCCAAGAGTTGGGGGAAGATGCCGATGTATCAGCGATCGACCTCCGAGCCCCGCACTCCCGTCATCCCCGCACTAGCTGTCCATAGTGGGATCACGGCGGGGCACAGCTTTGCAGGAGCTATCATGGTGACGTTCTGGTGTGGGCTTCTCGAGCACGACGCCTGGAATGGATTGAAGATTGGGAATGGACACTTACGTCTTTGGCGTGCTGACCGCCGTCGTAGAGTACTGCGAGGACCTTGACCTGGTTTTGGCGAGTAGTTGTTAGTGTGCGGATTGAATTGAGCTGGCCAGAGAGCTTGCGAGGAAGAGTCGAAGGTGCAGCAGCAGCCCGGCTGAATGCAGGTCTTGCGAGGAACGATGCCTTCGAGGACGTGTGAAGTCCTCGAGAGACTGAAGGACCAATAGAGCGCATGTTACGAGGGAGCAATACCATTGTGATGTTTGTATAAGAAGTTGTCGAGCAGAGAGAGAAGCCGTTGAGCTGGGGCGGAGGGAGGTCGTTATATAGTAGTGAGTTGGGAGAGATGAGAGATCCGGTTCTTTAGATCTAGGAGATAGATAACCAAGATGTTTGTATGAGATCAGAGTGAGAGCAGAACGACGGAAAACCGGCCGGGGCGCGTTGTATTTATGTTTGCGCATCATTACCGGCTGACTGGGATGTAGAGGCGGGGAACGAGACCCAGGATGGAGGTGGACATCAGAAAGAGGCAAGAGAATCCGACAAAGTCTCATCGCCTCACGCTTCGACTTGGTCTGGTCTAGTCTGAGCTGGTTCGATGGGTGTGGAATGGCTGCGTCTCTCCCGCGGCCATTTGCCTTCATCCTCCTCCACCTTCCCGAGATACCAGGTGCCCATGCCCCTCCTTTCCAAAGTATCTCCTGGACCAGTCAGATATCGGGCAGGTATCGGAAGGTTCAATAGGACAGCGAGGCTGGAGCGCCGTACGGACGGGTATCATCTGCTAAGGTCAGCTCCTGCAGAGTGCGCAGCAACGAGAGAAAGAACATGGCATGGTTCCGTCAGCCACAAGGTGCGCGCATCCACGGCAGCTACAGCTCGGGATCTCCAAAATAGTACTCTATGGCCGCGGGGGAAAGCGCCTGCGCGCCCGATTATTGGCTGGTGGTTTTCCCCCTACCCTGCACCTTGTCGTTCATCCCCTCCACCCGAGCAAAAAGCTGCCGGCTTCAGTTGGCAGCCCTTCCCATGACGATGAAACGCCGCGACCCCCGGCGAATCTTCAACACCAACGCTGTCTGCGGCCAACGCCTATTGTTGCGCGACCAGGACTACCATCCATCCATCCGCTTTGAGGCGGCCAGCCGACTCGCGTCCACCAGCCCATGCAATGCAGAACAAGACTACGCTCGCCCGGCAACAATCAGCAACACGCGCATCTACCCGTATCCTATCAATATCGCAGTCCAAAATGAGGGGTAACGACCTTCCAAGTTCACATCATACGTGCGCCGTTCCATCCAATACGCTTGATCCCATCAGCTAATCGCATTGAGACGTCTCCAATCGTGACCCGCTGTTGTCCGCCTACCGTCCATTTCGGTTGCACACCCACGCTGTTGTCGTAGAAAGCTGCTGCAGCTCCTCTGATCCAGGCTGCGGAGAAACACATGCCTAAGCGCCTCCAGCTGGGCGCTAGGATGCACAAGTCAGCCCGCGTGCGCTGTTCCCAGGTTGGACGGAGATTTGTCGTCAAGCACCACGTCGAGAGCTGTCGGTGCCCCTCCGGTGATGGCTCGGCGTTCTGTCGGGTTTTGCGTGAGGGGTTCAACTTCGGTTCCTCCTCAGACGGAGGCCTTTGGCACCTTTGGGAGCTACCCGGTAACTACTGGCATCCGTCCCGTGCACTGGCTGATGTAGCGCCGGGACCAGTCGTGGCTGGTCTCTGCGCTTGGCACGAATCTCGGAGTTTCGTTGCTCTTCGAGGTTCTGGCAAACCCGGAAACCCGTCGATGGGGTCGGCTGTCATCAGCAGTGGAATCCGAGATTTGACCACGGCATCAAAGTGACGGAATAAACATGCCGCAGCTTCGTGTCTCTGACTAGATTCCGTCATCGAGATGGCACAATGGCCCGCTGTCGTCCTTGTTCTTGCGGGCCCGTAGGGTGGTCCTCGGTCCACAGTCTCGGACCTGTCGGCGGAACGAAGCGTACTGAAGTGGGGTATCACTGTCAACCCGCTATTGATAATACCAAAATTGAGAGTTATTTTCAACAACGGGCGCTTGGTCTAGGGGTATGATTTTCGCTTCGCACTTCCTCTAGGAACGCGCAATTGTGAAAGGTCGTGGGTTCAATTCCCACAGTGTCCAACTTTTGCATTTTGATGGTCCCTTTTGTTACTTGAATGAACCACGTTAACAAGAACCAACAATTCTATGCGCCATTCCGAGATGGTAGCGTGATCTACTGTTTTTGGATGCTTGGGTACGCATATGATCATGCTTTACAATACAGGAAGGGATTCGTGGGTTTGGTATAACATAGCTTCAGTAACCTTCGCTGCTGCCATGATACCTCAGCCAACATTGCCCAAGCACCAACTGAAACCACAAATATGTCGAAAACTAATACTCGCCGACCATGTATGTAGTGGGCAGTGGAAATTTTGTTAAGTTGTCCTAACTGAGCCCTGAACCCTGAGTTCGTCTGTTATTGCGTACAAACCCCCATAATTATGCTCTAGGACAACCTGATGATCGCAATATAGCCTGTTCACGATGTAAAACTGCAGTTAGTGCTCAAGGAAGCCATCGTTCAGCCGAAAAATCTGGAGGCGTCGTGGTATAATTCTTTAAGTCCTCCCACTCCATAGCACACTGCTTTTCCTGTCCCAACCACATCTCCACGAATGGAGGGTAGATTGACACCGTAGCACATCCCATGGGTTAAAGAGTTCAAGCCGTGGAGGGTGTCGCCAAGCCCAAGGCACTCTTGGGGAAGCCCTTGAATCTCTAGAAGTGGGCGTGATTGCAGACCTTTCGGGATGCATCCAGTCAGCCGCAAATACCTCTTTGGCCCGCATGGGCTCTGAAATACTTTAGGGGTCGGACCCGCAGCATCAAAAGCTCATCCAAAACCACGTTGGTGCTTGTGAGGCGATGCCTCATGTGGTCCTTCTACTTGGTTGTTTTGTTTGTAATATGTCGTCTGGACATGTTTTTCACGCTCCACGTAGTCAAGCAGATGAACAAACGGACACTCCAAACGTGTCAGGTTAGAGTGACGGATGACACTTGGAAGATGGTGCTTCGCCTGTCCTCATTTTCCGCAGTGACTTAGATCCTGAAAACGATAGGAGCAGCCTAAAACATTTGACTTTGAATCCTCCATCTTTTCGAGTTGTCATCGTAATTGCCCGGGCCCGGTTATGTTGATTGGGATGCAACCCTTCATAGACATCCGAAAGCATCTATTGTTCTGTGATGTTGTCTGGTTTGCTCTCGGATAATACAGAAATACAAACCAGGGCGTGGAACGTCCCCAGAATCATCTTATTTCAAGGAATCATACACTCATGCGTTGTCTTTCAGAGTCTGTTGTCCGCCTTCTTTCTCGATCACCGCAAATTCTAACGAATATAGCAGGCAATGACCTGCAATGATGTATGACAACATCTCGAGGAAGAACGGGCCTGCGAGAATCGTAGAGCACTAAGGGAGTGGAATCTGGATAGACTGGTCCCTATGATTAAGTGTTGGCAGCTATGTTGGCCGAATCTCAAGTCCCGTTCGTCCTTCAGTGGTCGAGTCTCGTGGGATTGGGTTGACCAGGTAGTTCGTTCCTTCGACAACAAAGTAATGTTGCTTTTTCAAGTGAATGAGAACTTAGTAAAAGGTATTTCCACCTAATCTTTGTTGAACAATCAGCCTGCTTTTTCCCGCGTTGCAACAATGTTTCTTTTCGGGACCAACGCTCCTATTGCTTCCATTTTATCCTGCCATGGATGTGAAATCTGCAAGCGGTACGAAGGCTCCCATCAGGGTGTATTTTCGCATTCACCAGAGCTACCAGAGCTTTGAATTTCATCTCGACCTGTTCCACGCCACATGAACGCCTAGAATCGCCATTTGATGGTCATGAAAAGCCTTCGCTTAATGAATTCCTATACACTTTAGCCAAAAGTTCCACAGGGTAGTAGATCACTGCAACAAGCCCTGGTCTAGCTTCCAGGGTGCAGTTTATGTCCTCATCGTCAGCTCATGGCGTCTTGTTGCTGTCATACAATTCCTAAACTTTGGCGTTCATCAAGGTTCCTCGTGAGTCTCTGCAGTCAGCTATAAGGTATAACAAGACCCATCGTAGATTCACAAAGAACATGTTGCAAACCACATTACAATCCTTTCGTGTCGAAGTCAAGTTTCAACCATTCCACCATGGTGTTCAACAAGTCCCTTCTGGCGGCCATCGCCCTGATGGCCCATATCGCCAACGCCGAAGAAGCTGCCAGAGGGCTTCAGCTCTCTCAGAGCCCTCCCAGAACTGTAACCGGAGAGCAAGGGTGCTACACGGACTTCGGCCGGTCGTGGCGCGGCAGCGTCCCGACGTACTCTCGCCTGTATTCATACACCTTCCCCGTCACCGAGTACATCTATACTACGCCGACGACCAGCACCGTGACCATCACGCCGACCATCTCCGCTGGGTCCGCTGGCACAACTACATCGACCGTCACCACCACTACACACATCTCCTCTTTCACCACGGTCACCGTCAGGGCCCCGGCGCGTTTCACGCCCCTCGCGTCCGTCATCGCCGAAGCGGGCAACGCCCCTGGTCTCCGTGAGTCCGCAGACGAAGCTCACATGATATCGGGAGATACGGATTACAGCCTCAGCCTCAGCGTCGACAAGGATGGCAGATGCGCAACTAAGCCCTTCCTCTGGCCGCAGGCAGTCGTCTGCGAGAAGGTCGTCCGCGTCTTCACGACCACCACATCGACAATCACGGCTACACGGGCCGCCACCACAACCACCATCCTTCCGGGTCCAACCGCGCAGACTACCGTGACGACGACCACGACGACCACCTCTACAATTACCGACGTCGCCGCCAACCCCACGCAGACCGTCTACGACGCCTGCCAAACCAACAACCTGCGAGCATACCACGGCCAGCCGCGGTCATACTTCGTCGAGGCCGTCCACGACTGGTTCATCACCCGCGAGGAGCGCCGCACGGGTACCCCCGAGAGTTGCTGCATCGCATGCCAGACAACGTCCGACTGCGGCGGCAGCCTGTACCACCTCTTCTCCGGAACGTGCTACATCTTCAAGAGTAGAGGCAATCAGAGACAGTGCCAGTCTCCGGGTAAGCTCCGGTCCACGATGAACATCACTACTAGTGGCGTTTTCTGGGCCAGCAACGGCGGGTGTGGATCGTGGAGGATTTCGAACGAGGAGCCGGGGTCGTCTACGTGAGGGTAGGTATAGAGTGGCCGTGCCTCGCTGATGGATAAATGCTGGCGTTTGGATTGCACAGTTGTTTGTTCCTTCTCACGTTGTCGCTAAAAGTTAGACTTTAGGCATGTATCGCAATATGAAGAATTGACTCAGGGTACTTCCACGGAGAATAGTGAACAAGGTTTTGTTCAACCGGGACTGCCCCGGAGCACCAGTCCCTGGGGGTTTCCCGATCTGGAAGGTGGGATCGGAAGTGAGTGCGAGTTGCACCATACCTTATCGTCAGCTTAGGAGACACTCAGCGTCATGCCAAAAGCAGAGGAAGGACTCCCGAGCCTCATTGGCGTTGCTTATTACGAACCGGTCGTCCATTAGAGTAATGTACGGGTGAGACGGTTCTCAACAGCCGCAGGTCATCTCATTTATAACACAGCATGGAGTCAGGGACCCTCCCAAGCATCCATGTAGGCGTAGCCATCACAACCGCCCTAGTTGTAGCATCGAAGGCTGAAACTCTTGTTTCCCTTGGACAGGCGATGGACGACAGCATGCCCTTCTAGTGCGGCATCCTGAACACCGAAGACGGAAATGAATCCAAAATCAAGGTAGTCTTTCTCTCTAGGCCAGTAACTTCCAGAGCTCATTTTGAGGAGAGACAACCCAAGGTAGCAACGCTGACTTCAAATGGATACGAGCACTCGTTGATGCTCCTAGCTCTAGTACTCAAAATCCTTGGGGGGGAGGTTCACAGCATCGCCCAGTGCAACTGATAGGCCGGATCTCCTCACCGAAGTAGATTGTGTTAATGACTAGGGGTTTGGAGTTTGTGGCCCAACAGCACGCTCGGGATCCGACCTAGCAGCTCAGTCATCGATTTCGACTATGGAGAACACTCTCACCAGTATCAGAAGCTCGGGGTCGCCTGCATCATCCGCAGCGGCATCGGACACATAGTGTCGGTCTGGGACGTTTCTCTGAAGTGTGGATGCCCGTTGTGGTCTCGGCTCGCGAAAGTTGCGAGCAAGTCTAATGCTGATAATATTGACACTCACAGCGATCTGAGACGAGAGTATCTTGGCCGCCTCCGCCAGCATCAACCACAGACAAGGAATCTCATCGTCGAGATTTTGTAACACAAACGGCGAGACACCGCGTTAAATACGGAAGTGTAACCTACCGCCCATGACATGCAGCTGCAAATCCTTCAGGGATCCGTCAGCAGGCAGCCGTTTAGGGGAATTTTGAGCGGTTAATTACGGGACTGTGGGCGAAGTCCTTTGTCGCCCAGTTGAAATGACGGACGGATTACGCCTTACCCGCTACCCCGTGCAACTTACCTGGGTGAATGGGACCGACGACCGGTCTTTTGGGGCGCAACCGTGCAGATAAGATGAAGTGCTGGACATGCCGTTTGGTCTCCCGCTCTCCACTCTTGTGCGATCGGTAAGTCTACAGCTAATAGTGCATGCCTCCTTCGAGGGTACAGCCCCCGGCAATCGCATACATGCATGCAGCATCTCAACATCTCCCAAAATTACTGCCACTCGGATAGGGCGAACCCCGTGTTGTGCTTCTTCGTTCTGACGCAAGAACGTCGACGCTCGATATTCGACGCTTGAAAACATACCCCTGACTGACGCTCTCACAAGCGCGGCGCCACAAGCCTTGAGATCACTCGATGTACGCGCCAAGTCAGCCCAGCAATACAAGGAACAGCCAACAAATAGGAGTGCTGAGCGCGGCTGAGTCTCGCGCATCTGGACGCTCGACAGCGAATCATTATCAGCCCGTCGAAGCAGTGTCCAACGTCATCAAATGGGCTGCGAGAGATCGAACCACACCGGGGACACCAAGCCCCTGGATTTGGGCATTGCCCCCTGTCGTGTGTGGTTTTCTATAATTGCACTTCTCAGCTTAGCCCTCGCCACGCGCTCAACAGCGGCAGCGACGTTGCATCGCCTGGCACATGGATGCGCTTGGCGGTCCTTTTAGGCATTTTCGAACCGTATCCGCGCAGGACGTCTCCACGGTGCGCGGCATCTGGGCCCGCAACGGCCAGTCGTACCCCTGCGATGTCATTTCTCTAGGATCCGGCGCACCCCCCATGCGGTCGCGGACCGTCGATTGATCAAAAAACATTCCCCATCCTCTCTGCAGCGGAACCCGGCCTTCTATCTGTCCGTTGCATCCCCCCCCTTTCTTTAGCCCTGTTACCGGTCAACGACGCAGAATCGACGACAACCACAAGGCCGCGACCGCATCCACGATGGCGGCACTGGACCCGAATGCGTGGTACCGCCTTTCGGAAACGCGCGTCGACAATAGTACCGGACCCTTCGCTCTCAACCTCATTCTTCGAGATGTCGGCCTGCGAGTGCATCCCATAACCGACGGCACGGCCGCCTGGCAGTTCCAACCGTTCGGCGACGTCAAAGGCCGCTATCTTATGCGCCTCGACCAGGCGGGCGTGAAGCAGCAGTTGGGAGTGTGTTACGATGCGAAAGAGCCCGCGGTTGGGGCCACTGTGGCGTGCCTGCAGGATTCGTCAACGGACGACTCTCAGATTTGGGACATAACAACATGGGAAGGAAGACCGGGCGAGTACAAATTGGCCAACGTCGCCAACGGCACCAGCTACGTGCTCGATGTGCACCCCAAGGCCAATCTCTTTCTGAATAAGGATGTAGAGGGTTCGGCGGGCGTGGCGGAGACGCAGCCTGGGCAGCACTGGGTCATTTCGAGTGTCAGCGCCGTCAACGACGGAGCGTATTCAACCATTTATTCCACCAGCGTGGCGGTGAGCACGAACTCGGCGACACTCCCCACTGCTTCGACGGCCTCGGGCGCGACAGCTACATCTAAGGCGACGACCACGACCGCATCACAAACAGGCGCAGCGACATCGACCGGCGGAGCGAGCACATCCACTGCGGCGGCGATATCAACATCAAGGGGTATTTCCCCGGTGCTGGAGCGGGAATAGGCGTCGGGGTCGCAATCGGGGTTGTGGGCTTGATCGGTGCCATCGCGTTCTTTTGGTGGCGACGCCAGCAAGCTGCCACCACGCAGTACAGTGAAGTCGAAGCGAAGAATCGCGGTAGCCCTGGGGCGGGATCTTTTTCGGCGGCGGAGGAGTCTCCGGCGGACGGAAGTTACGCGCTGCCTTACGGGGTGCAGCGGGCCGACGCGAGCTATCCGGGATACGCCGGAGGGTCTCCCGCGACCGTGAGTTACCCTGTACCGGTCAGGGGTGGAGGATCCCCAGCGACGATGAGCTACCCGGTACCTGTTACTGCCTCGTCTCCTTCAGAATCCCGTAGCCTGCGATCATGGCCACAGCATGTATCCGCGAGTGGGCTCGCGGTGCCCGCGGCGGTGCCCCGTCATCAGTTCGATCATCCTGATATACACAACGAGTTTGCGCCGGCCGCCGCCAGCCCGTCCTTTGAATCAACAGCGCGTTTTGGAGTCTCAACAAACGCTTCGTCACAAGCCAACTCTACAACAAACCTCAACGATCCCGACCCGCTTCCAAGCGCACACGAGCTGGAAGTGGCCGTGCGAGATATTCCTAGGCGCCAGCACGAACTCGGTGATTTCCATCATGGGCCGGAAACATTTGATATCAATCGTGAGACGTCACTGGTAGCGGCCCCCCAGGCTGAGTTGGGTGCCTTCCAGCATGGTCCCGACACATTTTCACAGAGCGAGGCCAAGGTACTCGGGGCGCCTACGGCCGAGCTCGGCGCATACCACCACGGCCCCGATACCTTCGAGGATGGGCATGAAGACAAAATGCTGGGTGGCTTTCCTGCAGCGGCGGAGAAGTATCAACCCGAACGGGAAGACAAGGTGCTGGGGAGCTTCCACGACCTGATGAATATGGCGCCGAGTGGACGGAATGGTCGGCCGTCTGGTCCTTCAGACACCTCGGGGTGGCAGACGTACGAGATGCAGTCGATTCGGCCACGGTAACACTACGCTTAGGCGTTGGCAATAGCCAACGTCTGGAAGATCAGAAGCACACGAAGATCGAGACGGCTCCTAGGCGGAGGGGCTGAGGAACTTAATGATACCCACGCGAAGGCCCGCCTGCCTTTGCCTTGCGTCACACAAATACAAGTCGGAACATAGTCTATCACGGCTGTCCTTGCATTTTCTGTATCGAGGAACTGCGAGACTCAACTCCACGACACTTTTCGACACGGCAAATGCGCGATGCGTTGCTGACAGCTACCATCATGCCGCCCTTTCGAGGAAGACAAATTCATCTAGAAACAAGACTCTAGAGAGGGTCTCACACAATGATGAAAGAACAAACGCAAGCCTGTTACTTAACCCATAAATCTGGGAATGACAGTCAACGGTCGGCCAATACAATGAGAATGTCGCAGGTGCGCCCAGTAACCAGCTGCTTGGCGAGCCGGGCAGATGAAAACGAACCACAACCCACGTGGTCATGCGACTTAAACACAACATATTCTCGCATAAAACCTACTTTAGAACACTTCTAATGAATGAGACATGATTATACACGTTATTTCTGGTATTTTCTCTAGCTCTCGGCTATATGTATGATTTCGGCTTGTTGCCCGCCTCTTCGGCTACTGTTCGTATACTCATCTCGGCTGTCATTCACGGTACCATAACCGTCATAAATCAACTGCAAGCAACCGAGATGAGAACAAAAGGGGATCGGTCCCGAGAAGCCACTCCTTGAACCCATTGCAGCCCTGCCGACCGGACCAAACGAACGTAGTGTGCAATGCGAGCCGTTCGTACAGCTCTCGTAGCAGCCACGGGTTTCCCCATCCGTATCGAAGCCGTTGGGTTTAGTCGACAATCACATTACATTCATACAACCTCATTGGAAAGGTCACCTGATGGCCCAGCCGACATAGAACCACAAAGGATACAAGGCCACTTCTCAGCGGCTTACAGCCTCGCTAGCAAGCATGCATGTCTTCGTTACCAAGGTAAAGTACGCTCAGGTAACGAGAGTGACTATTGACAGCCAAGTATCCAAGGCCTGCGATCTGCATTGTTGCCAAAGGTCAGCATTAGGAAGCGACGACAGCTGTCCATGGTTGGACTTGGATACCCACTGTGGCTTACAGACCGGAAGCATCTCAAGGAGCCGCTGCGTTGATGGCCCGGACCAGGTCAACGGCATCGTCGACGAAAATAACCTTTCGGAAGTTTTGCAGCGGCTCAACTGCCCGCCTACCACACCGTTGGCAACATGTATACAGAACGGAAGCCCCGATCGCCTCGTGTATCCTTTGAACCACTTCGTAGGACCCCTTCAAGGGTGACAACCTCTAATAGACATTGCTAGCAGCACAGTAACACGAGCGGGAGTCACCTTGGCCGACCGGTGTGCCCCTAAAGAGAAATATCTCGACTACAGAAAACCTCCATGCCCGTAGCTCGCGTAGATCTATGGTCCAATACTGGTATATACACGCCACATGCCGATGCCCCCGACACCGAACCGGCACCCTTGGCCAGGCAAGCTTACATATCCCCATTGAGACTAGACATTGATCGGGATTGGTGCCCGAGGCCGAGGGAGGGTCGACATAATGCACACTGACCTTCCACTTGAGTATTTCAACCAAACGCCGATATAACCGCCTTTGACATTGTACCGCAGCAGCTACAAGTCAGTTCCGAAATCACGGGGTGGAGGTGTCGATTTGAGTGGAGATAGATCCCAGACCCGACTCTTGTTCCCGTTTGCGACTTTGCATGGAGGGGTTCCACCACGAACCCGATGTCTCTTCCTCCGCCGTCCCGATATACCGGCCCGGCGGTGATACGACCCGACTGTCGAACCAGCAGAGAACGCATATGCTGGGGTGACTTGTTCGATGAGAAGTTGGCACCGAGCCTTCTCTTGGGGCATGGGAGCAGGATGGCGGAGGAGACAAGCCGACACCTCACCTGGGTTGGAGAGAGCCTCGAAAACATACCGGAAGCACCTCATCCAAACTCGTTCAACCTGAGAACCTAGGGCAAGATTATCGACATTCCGCTGCCACTTTCATGTGCTTGTGCTTCAAAACAAGCCCGACGTGCAGGCACGGCGAGACAGAAAGCTCTCGATGGCGAGGCTTGGCACAACACCCTGCTTGCGCTTTCGCCGGAAGGGGTGTTGCTCTATCAAGGCAAGCAGCATTCTCGACACATCTCGGCATACTGCAGTCATGTGGACACTTCTCGACTATGCAAGTTTCTGCTTGCAATTGAGGGATGATACCATTGGAGCACCCAGGACATGTGAGACCATTGCTTACGCGGATGTATTATCGGTATTACCGCCGTGATTCATGACAACAGGCGGCAGTACCGACGCCAATGCTACCTGGAACACAAAAGTCCTCAATGCACCAACCGCGAGGAAACCTCCCAAGAGGCGGTTCATCCATGCGGTAGCATTGTTGGAGAAACCAACCGGCTAAAATTGGAAAGGAATCGGGGGAAGCAGGGACCGTGTAATTCCATTGGTTTCTTGCAAGGCCGATACCGCACCCAGGACGATGCAGCTTTTCTCTCGAGCCAAAGACCTTTCCCGCGGATCAATGAAGGAACTCAATCATGATTATGACCAGCGGGGCCAATTTTCACGTCAAGGGTTTGTGGGATCTGATGCCCTCATAGGTCGCGACTTACGACGCTCCTGACTGCTCATAATCGTCCACGAGAAGCTCCACGACTCGCTCTGCTATCCCGGAAGGAGTCGGAGAGTCCGACAGCTTACCCCCTCCAAGTCTTCCCTTAATGAAGGGCTTGGTTCTTGTGGTGAGAGTGGGTGTGGATGAATTGGATGAAGCCGTGGACGCGGACAGCTCCAACCGTTGCGAAGGCCATCGGCAATCCCATCGTGGGTTCGGGTAATGTCCGAACCCTTTCCCCAGAGACGAGCTCTCATCACGAAGAACCAATCAAGGGCCGCAGTCTCAACTTGATCTTGCATTTGGCCGCATCTCGTTGGTGCCCGAGAGATGCAAACCGGGGTAGGATGGAGGAGGCGTAAAAAGAAAAATTGGTATTCCGAATTACGGAGACTAACGGAGCTTGTCGGAAGCATGACAGCTCGAAGATGCTTTGTGCGGGGTGCGACGCCCCCGTCTTTAGCTCCATGCGGGGCCGGGGCCCGTCTGAACCTCTAGCGTCTAGCTCAAAGGAGCCGCTGGTGAAGCCGGCTAGCCACGCCGGTGTGGTTCGTGCGGGTTGGCTGGCATGTACGTGCCACGACAACCGCCTAAAGGCCGGCGTTTACCTGCGTCGTGTTTAGAATCTCGCAGGGAATGCCTCTAGAGCAGCAGGTGAAACATAATGATTTTGTCAGCAGTATCTGTTTGCTTCTGGGCATGCGCAGAAAACAAGGTCATTAGATAATGTTAGGTAATACATATTGTAGTCGGCGTCAGGTGCCTGGTCAGGTGGACGGCATGGTCAAAGCGGTGAGATGGAAGACAAAATGTTGGGTTAAGGTTGACGCGTCCGATCGTTGTTGACAAGAAGCTTGGCGGCGTTGTCTGGATGCCAAGTTCGCCAAGGCCAGGAGCAAATCGCGGGTGAAGAAGGTTGTCTCAGCACGTCTGGGGTGAATCACGGTACGCTAGCCACTGCTACGATGATGTCTCGGGCGATGGATGGCAGTAAACAATGACGGGCCAAGCTTGGGCTTGCCATCCAAGGTTAGTGATGAGGGGGAAGCTGATGGTTCTACAGGCGGGCGTCATTGCAATCTCTTCGCCTGCGAGCAAAGTTCAGCTCAAAGTCTATGGACAACCGTCTCGGACGGACCTCCACGATGCAATTGCACGCCCGAACCGCCACGAGCCATCGCCTAAACATGCAGCGACCGAAGTTGGCATGGTGCCGAGACGAACGCCATGCGCGAGCTCAAGTACCATGAACTTGGTCGAGCGAGCGGCATGCATCATAACAAGGACGTCCATTTAACGTGGTTTCGTCTGAAGTTTCGATCTGAAGTATCGTCACCAGTAGGCTCGCCTTGTCCAGTGAAAATTGAGAGCGGCACTCAGGCATGACTTCTTGTGCGTGCTTCAAAACGGCCGAAACTGTGATTTGAAAGCGATTTCGTGTTAGAGATGGGTGGGGGGGCAGGTGTCGAGACTCTTGAGGACGGTTTGGACGCGTGGAAGTCCTTGTTTCAATCCGCAAAAGATCCTTATCGAGTCTGATGAACGACCAGGAGTAGGGGAACAGGAGGGAGGTGCAGTTAGGAGGGAGCGTGGGAGCCCGGTTGGGGGAACCAGAGCCAGGGGTATGAAAACTCTGGAGCCAGGGCCTGGCTTTCGGTACTGGTGGGTCTGCCGTCAGCGTGCGATATGGATGCACGCTGCGATGGCTTGCCGCTAAAGTGGACTCCATGTGGAGGGGGTCGGGCAAAGTCGGAAGCTCGTTGAGTTCGCAGCGTCAAGGGAGAGTCATGCCGCCCATGCAGATGTCTCGTGCTCTTCGTTCTAAGTCTTTTCCCCCTTTTCCAATCTTCGATGAATTGGAGATTTGGGGCTTTGGTCCACCTCGCTCACGGGATAGTGTGAAGATGGTGGGCAGCAAACGGCGCCGAATCGGGTGTTGAACACGAGATCCCCAAGGGTCACAGCCTGCGGGTTATCGTAGACCAACGTGCCTGTTTCCAGAAAGGCAGACGTGAAGAGGACTGTAATCGTCTGACAATTCGTTGTCCCGATATCTGACCGAGCGTTTGTGGTTCTGTATCCATTGAGGAATCTGTCTCTCGAGCGTCGTCTTTTCAGGCTCGGATTGGAAAGAGTTCAGCCAGATTCCAGAAGGGCCCGGAAAATGCCAAGGGGCAAGGTACGTACTTTGGTACCTGCAGGGACACCGTCGCAATGCAAGACAGCAGGGGTCCCAATTCCGACGGCCGACCCGGACCCAACAGGTTGTCGACGGCCGGTAGGTGCATCCAGCCCGAA